GCCCCCCTTGTTACTCCTTCCTCCTCCTCTTCTTCTCCCATCTTCTTACTCCCCTTCTTCTTACTCCCCCTCTTTTCTTACTCCCCTTCTTCTTACCCCCTCTTTCTTATCTCCCCTCCTTCTTCTTACTCCCCGTTCTTCTCCCCTCTTCTTACTCCCATCCCTTCTTCTTGAGTCCCCCCTCCCCTCTTCTTACTCCCCTTCCCCTCTTTTCTCCCCTTCCTCTTCTTACTCCCCCCCTCCCTCTTCTTACTCCCCCCCTCCTTCTTCTTCTCCCCTTCTTCTTACTCCCCTCAGCTTCTTCTTACTCCCTTCTTGCATTTGTGAGGCTAGTACGCATTTGCAGCAAATCGGCATTTCCTCTTATAGATACATTGACTCAATGCATCTCTATGGAAAGCATTCAGTATCTCCATGCAGATTGTGGGGTCGCTGAACCCTGGTTCCTGCAGGCTGGCTGTCCGAGTGTATGGTTGACAGTCTGACAGGTGTTTCATAACTGAATTATAAAGGAGCGGAATAGGTTAGTTGAGTGGTCTTTTAAGTCCAAAATAGCTGAATTGTGAAAAATCCTCCAAATCTGTTATGCTTCCAGTTTGGATATTTTGGCCTTAAAGAACCACTAGGGTACCCAATACACTTCATCTCAATGAAGTGGTTCTGTATGTATCCTCCGATAGTGATTGCCATACTGAGAGGGAGAGAATGAAGCCCTCAGGTTACATTAGACTACATTATCTCCCACCACTGCCAAAACTGTTGGTCATATTCATTTTTCACCCATTTTGTGGGAAAATTGTCCGTCTGCACAAATGTTTGAAATTTTATTCTCCCTCCCCACCCCCCAACAGTTTAATGATGAATTTCACATGCCTTATGTGTCCTACTGGTAGTTCAAAGATTCTGCTTTATCTGATGAGAGCAGCAGACCCCACATGTATACCTTTGCCAGTTTTTGGGGGAATGTATAGGGTCAAATTTCAGACATGCCCGAATTTTGGCATGCCTCAATTCTTGCTTCCCAGGCACTAGCCATGGTACAAACACCTGGTGGGCTGCGATGGCCAGGGGTCGAGGCTGCATTAACCCAAGTTTGAATGGAATATTAATGTTATTAATATTGCTCCCACAAATATATGAATGAGTTAACACAGGTTACTACAGCAATATCAATACTATTCCCAGCACCAGACCAGAAGAAGCAAATAGGAGTGCTGTGGTCCACATCAGTCGGAGGTGTAAACCACACGTTCATCCAGCAGACCATAGATAAACATACCCTTGCCCGGTACCCAAGGTAAACAAGAGGGAAGGAGGATTACATTTTTTTTTTTTTAAATGAAAGTCCCCCCACCCTCAAATAATTCCCTCCCCGTTTACACATACTACAGCCCTGCAAGTAAGCTTCCCACACTCAAAACACAGGCAGCCTACATACACTTACAAAACCAAAGTCTACCCATATATACCCTCTCCCACCCAGTCCTTTTTGTTCCACATTAGATAACACCAGAGGCAAGTAACGAAAATCACTTCTGCTATACTAAAAACACAGGACATTTCCACAAAGTCTTCAACAAGAATTTGAGCAGAGGTACCAAGCAGACGTGCACTATTTGGGGACGAGATGAAGATTTGACCTGCGTGTCATTGGCCATGACAGTACAACCACCCTCCCTGGCTACTCCCATCTTGTTGGGCCGCTCTACCTGTAAATGCCCAGGCCAAGTGTTTGCCCCAATCTGACCCTGGTCAACATCCAACAACTTTCAAATTTTCTCGCTCTAGCTATAACCAAAAACAGAGACTAAAATGTATATATTTGAGGAGGATTTGAATAGTAATGTTACTTTGTGGAAGCAGCCTCGCCACTGGGCATTGGAGAAGACTGATTGCCAGCCTCCTGCCCTGTGACTATGGCCCCATGTTGAAATACTGGATTTTCCCCTGCAAAGACCCGAAAACCGTGTCATTCGGTACTTTCCCTATGTGAGCAGGGATACCCCAGATAGCTATGCCATGGAGCCCATTCGTATAACGAAAGACTATGTGAAAGACTTTGGCTCCATGGCAATTGAACTGTATGTGTGTGCTCTGAGTGCCATTCAGTAATAATTTGCGCTCAGATCTGAGCTATCTGGGGATATGTTGCATGTCCCCATTTTATGCAATCGCTGCACAGTTATATATTTTGATGTATTTTATTGTATTTTGCTACTATGTGGCTAATGGAGTTTTGCCTCTGTCCTTGGAGATAATTGGATTACTTCCCAATTATCTCCAGGATAGAAGACTCTGTGGAACTGGTTTTGGGCAGAAAAACCATGCTTCATTTTGTCAAATAGGACTTTCCCATAACTTTTTAACCCCTGAACCGATTGCCCTGATTTTTGAGTATGTGTATATTTCAAGCATGCTGATTCTGAAAATGTATGTTTTATGTGAATGGCATGTATATTTTGGAAGTTATTAATATTTTGTAAAAACTGTATTTCTCTGCCTGTAATAATTATATTACCCATTGTGTTCAGTAATCATATCACAGGCAGAGGGGAGGATTTTGTGTGGAAGTGTCTGTGTGTATTGTACGGATTGATTGGTTGCATTTCAAAACCCTGTGGGCAGTACTATGTTTGTGGATTGTGAATAAAAGAGGCTGCTTGACCTCAAAACGAAGTGTCGTCTCGTTATTGGGGGAATTGGATAGTATGCTGATTGCCAGGAGTGTAAGCTGATTGTATGCTTTTCCTGTTCAGCTGCTTACAGCATTCATATTCGTATGCTTCTCCGGTTCGGTGGTTGTGGTGTCTGCTGCAGTGCTTGAGAGTCCTCAGGAAGCGCTAGGAGCATCCTTCAACGGAGGTACCCAGTTGGGGTGCCACGTGATCCATTACACACTTTAAATTATAATTTTTATTGAGCAGTTATATACATCATAGCACAGGCCTCCACAACATCCAACCTGCCCAAAAATTCCAGGAGTGCTGCGAGGAACCACAGCCAGTGCAGCCACTGGGCTGCACCGGGGCCCGCTCAATTAGCGCCCCATCGGACGGCCCATGCATTTAGGGCCACCCAATGCCTATGTTCAGCAACAGCCCGGTTGGGCACTGTAGTGTTTAAACAGCACGACTGGCCCCTTGCTAATCGGCAGCACGAGAGGAAGTGAGTGTTGTATCTAAAACCAACTTTGTCTTTAGCAAAGATTCATGCGCAGTTGATGTGATAATCACACCGAAGACATGCTTAATTCATTTTAACAATTTAGTAGATATACCCAAATGGAAACATTTAATTGTGCATTCTTTTCTTTGAGGCTATATCCGTCTCAAGGAATACTCTATTTGGGGGCTTCTCAATGGGAAACCTCTGTGCTGGAACCATGAGCAAGCACAGCTTCCCTGTGCTTCTCAATGATGACTGTGTAAATGGCACATTGTGGTGCGATTGGGTCATGTGACTGTTGTATTTCAGATGCATGATGGGGCCCGGAGTGGGTGCTCTGTGCTATCTGGGGAGCCTGAGACTCAAGATTTGTAGTTTATTTATTTTTTTACTTTGGTATGATATATATCCCTCCTCCTTCTACTATACCTGCAACACACACGTTACTATTTGAGATTTAAGGGATGTTCGGTTTATCATGTTCTAACAAGTTGCAATGTTTCTATTTTTCCAATCCAAAGGGCCTGCTTGTCCCATTGTGGCATCATTTGTTTTGGGATCTGCGAGTCCTACTAATGTCTTTATGAAAAATTTTAATTAAGAAAAAGAAAGAAAAAAAAAAGTTAAAGGGACACTATAGTCACCAGAACAACTACAGCTTATTGAATTTGTTCTGGCGAGTAGAATCATTACCTTCAGGCTTTTTGCTGTAAACACTGTCTTTTCAGAGAAAATGCAGTGTTTACATTACAGCCTGGTGATAACTTCACTGGCCACTCCTCAGATGGCTGTTAGAGATCCTTCCTGGGTTATGGCTGCCTAAAATGCATCCAAACATTCAGAGTCTCCTCCCTCTGCATTGATTCAATTTATCTCTAGGAGGAGATGCTGATTGGCCAGGGAAGTGTTTGAATCATGCTGGCTCTGCCCCTGATCTGCCTCCTTGTCAGTCTTAGCCAATCCTATGGGGAAGCATTGTGATTGAATTAGGCTACCACTTCTGATGATGTCAGCAGACTGTTTTGAGTCAGGGGGGGGGGAGAGGGGGAAGAGAGACAGGCTCCAGCTACAAAGCAGAGCAGCAAGCTAAAGTGTTGTGTGTGGAGTATCCCTTTAAGTTTTGTTGTTTCAGCAACGCGTGCAATGTATCCAGACAGCTTAGCACTCACTACATGGCTGCTGAGCTAACTGAATAGGTCTGGGATCCCAGAATTTCTGCTTGCAGATTGAGATTTGTGATCACGAATTGCATACAATGCTGTAACAGGTTGTCACAGCCATCTGACAGTTACTGGAAGATTTACTAATGGGGCTTCCAGTAATAGCACTGTACAAGACTGAATCGCAAAGTGTACCACTGGATCTGGAGTTTCAGTGTAACAGCCAATATTGAGCTGTAGAACTAAATTGCTACTTGAACCAAGAAAATGAAACCCTCATCTTTCTAACGCCATACACTATCTACTGTGTGTATCCCACCAAGGCTGACCACATGTGAAGTGTGCATGTTCAACCTTTTCATTAAATGTATACCATGTAGTTGCTCTAAATCATCACCATAATTAACCACAGTAGCATCTTCAGGTTTTCCTACTGGCAACTGCAGGGTTGGAGAATTCTAGCAGAATGCCACAAGACCTTGGCCTAGCGGTTGGCCACTAGTCTATTCTTTTAGCTGCAAAGATCTACCAGCTGTTAGAAGTAGCTTACAGCAATATTTAAACTTAAAACTTTTTGGGGAGGTTGTCAGTTTAGAGAGGTTACAGTTTTATTTGTTACTGCAATATACACCCCAGTATGGTTCTAAGTGCTTTAATTTTATTTTTTACTGTAGATGGGACTGAAGTGCACAGTGACATCACTGTTCGTTAGGAGTAAATACACAATTATTCCACAGAATTAGTAATTTTGAAATCAATACAAACATTTTAATGTAAAAAAAAATCCTTTATGTACAGAAAATGGCATGGGGATAAAAGAAAAAAGTAAAATAAATAGACAAATTGATAAAAGTCACCTTTCATTCTGTACGTGGTCAGCAGCAATGTAAACTCTAGTAATGTGTGCGCTTGTTTGATGAATTCCAATACTTCAGAGAAGTAAGATCAGCACACCTTGCCTAGCTCATACACACAGGGTTCTCACTAAAGTAAAAATTGTCATGAATTCAAAGTGAATTAATATTTTTAGACTGAAGTAGCCAAACTGGAAGCGTAGATCAGTTCTAGGATTTTCCCACTGTGTATTTTGGCTTTAAATTATTTAAAAATTCACCCAACAATTCTCACTTTAGGGTTAGATCCGAATGTTATATGCAGACCAGTCTGCAAGTAACTAGATGTTGTCACTGTGTGGTCACCTTTGCAATTACGGTTTTTGTGTTTGTGCATTTGCAATTATAACTTAATGCAGATCAGTGGTTCTAAACAAAGTCAGCCTCTTGGTTACACCAACATTTCAGAATTAAGGGAGGAGCAGATGTCCCCCAACTTGCTAAAATCTGGACTGTTAATGATTTGAGAAAAGGTTTTAAAACCACTGATCAGGGACAGCACCGGACGTCAGGCAATCAGAAGAGTCTGCACTTGAGTCAAACTTTGCGTTGAGTACAAGGTCAGATAGCTTCAAGAGCAGGTATTTTAGAATAATAGAAAGGAGCACAAATAAAATATTAAAGGGAAGCACAATAAAGTTGTTTTTGAGAAGGAAGACTATTTCGTAACATATTAAGTCACATAATCTATACATATTGAAATACAGGATTTGAAAACCCACATAAAAATGTATAGGAACGTTTGTGTGCAGAGGCAGATTCATAGATCCACAAACACAGGAAAGTAATGACAGGGACGTAAAGTAAAACAGTCAATAAAAATTAGCAGTTTCACAGTATATCCATGCTACAAGCCACATCACCCTACACGCCCAGGCAGCACGCAATGCAGCTACCACTGGCAGAAGTATAATGATGGGAACAGAGACAGGAAACAAAAAACAAAAACAAAAAAAAAACCCCAAACAACCTCCAAAACCTTTAGGCACTTTGTCTCCAGCTTCGGCCACTTTCTGAGAACGATGTGCAAATTAAAAACAAAAAGAAACAGAACAAACTAAAATTTAGATGCATTTCTCATATCAATGTTTGAGATGGGAAACTGCTCGTTTTTTGATTTGCTGCCATTGACAAGAAAAAGGAGTTTCCATGCAATTGTTGGTGATTTAACCCATCAGTTCAATGCAAGCTTTGTAAACAATGAAAGGGTTAAAATGGCCAGTTCTTGCCCCAACATTAAAACATGTTAAACACAAATGAGACATTTGGTGCACCGTAAAACGGGAGGATTACGTATTGCTGTGATTTCAATGTGCAGGAGAATGGGGGCATCTTGTCTTATCAAGAAGGTTCACTGCAATCAGCCAAGTCCCGCTGCTCAAAGTATCTACCATAGAAAAGAGGAAAAAGGAAATACATTTTTATAGTAGGAATTACACCAGTTTTGTTCCAATCAGATTCAAGCTAAAAATAGAACAAAGTGCAGAGCGTATATTTGAAGCACCTGAATGCAATACTGATCGCTAAAACCTAAAAAGGCATCAAGAAGCAATATGGCTTTCAGAATTTACTATATGTTCAGTCCACTTATCTTTTCGACTTAATCCAATGCCTAGCAGTAATCGAAACTGTTTTTAAACAAGCTGCCTGGCAAACTCTGCATAGTTTTGATTAAATTAAAGTATAAATTAACCCCACCTCCTCTGTCCTCACCCACATTCTAAAGTTCTCATTCCTTGCGTGTTGCTGTATATAAAATAATGTGTAGGATATAAAGCATGTTACCCAGCGACGGAAACGTGAATACAATGCATGATAGTGTAATACACTCAGGCATCACTCAATAGGTGGATAAATATTGCATCTACAAAACAACCTTAAATATATAAAAGCCTTGAACTATGCATTGTTCAAAGCCTTTAGGGAGTTTGAGACTGCTATATTTAGCCACATCTTTCTTATTACAGTACTTATGATAAATGATGTTACAGCTCTATAAGCTCACCCATCGTATCTTTTCCTCATGGGAGGACAGCCACGACCCATTAAAAAAAACCACAAAAAAAATAAAATAAAAAAAAAAAACACACACTTTACTTTCAGCAAACTCTGCTCATACACCTCCAATTTGAGCTCACTCAGGAGAGAGCTTCTGGGAACACCAGTTTTGGGATGTGCACACGGGAACCCTGTGTTTTTATGGGTTTTGTTAGCTGGTGTTGAGTGGTCTGGTCGCTAATTAAATTATCCATCTAATTACAGACACCAAGGCACTGGGAATGGTGCAATCTCATTGTTTCTCCTGGGGACAGGGACCTCCTGTTGAAGCCCCAGGTATAAAAGGGTGACCCCATTGTCCCAATAAAACAAATCTTCACCCTCCACCAAGTCTCGACTAGTGTTTGGATGAGACAGCTATACAAGATATAAACACTGTGCTATTATCACTGTTCTATGCGATGAGAGGTGTAATCACGGAGGGAAAGGAGATCTTTGGCAGGGACACTCGGGTCCTCCTATGTGTAGACCGCCACAAAAATCTATTAAAATCTAGCTACGAATTCCAGAATACATGCTATAAGCACAATGGAGGTTGGGTAGGCCAGAGACTGTTCTGGGTTTAACCCAACACTGCAACGGTTAGACTTCTTTGACTAGAATGAAAGGCTCCTGACTGGCCAAATCTTTAACCCGTTAAGGACAACTTCAGAAATAAAAGGGAATCGTGACGGAATATTTCCATCATGTGTCCTTAAGGGGTTAAGAGTCTAAATATTTGCAATTTACTGAAGCACCATTACTCCTTGGATTTGCCATCCAATATTTGAAATAAATAGAGAAACATGTGGGAAAATAAAATCCAGACAAGTAATTCACACTCCAAAGTATTAACCAAATAAGTCCCTAAAACTGTAGACCTCATCACAAACAGACAATATACCAAAAAGTTTAACAGATCTCTTTACAGCAAGTGACTCCTTACCTGCCAACTAGACAAATGAATAGATTTAGGGCAGATATTCGTTCATCATCTTTCCGCTCCTGGGGAAAGAAAAGGGGGAGGGGAGTAGGAGTAAATTTTCAGATCGATTTAAGGTTTATTTTAAACAAGTGTTTGCAGACAAGAAAAAACAATGGGTATGTAGGCCATGAACAAATGCAAATCTTATACATATAAATACTGTTCTAGTGTAGTTGTTTTAGAGATAGATGTCAGAAATTAGAAAAAGGAGATTCTTACCACCCCTGCGCGGACTTGTGAACATCTTCTTGCCAGCTGCCTAATTAGTGAATGAGCCTCTGGCAGCAGTGGTTTCTCCAGACAAGCTAACAGTGCATACAACCATCGACCCTGAAAAAGGTGGATTTAATTTACTGCACGTTAACTTCCCAAGCTTGGTTTAAAGACAGGCCGGTTAAGGCAACAAAACATGTCACACTCCAGTGCTTGCATAATGCACAAGATTAACACAGTACGTATTGTGACATACAGTCTTTCAAATGGTTCATACCAGCTCCGGAGTAAAATCTCTCTCTGCAAACCAGTTCACCAGGTACTCCAGAACGCTTGTAACAGTAGCCTAATTAAATATATAAAAAACAAACAAAATAAATAATATTACTAAATGTGGTAGGAAAAAAAAATAAAAAAATCCTTTCACTGTAATATACACACACACACACACACACACACACACAATATATCGGAGTGTAACATATAACACAATATTAACAGAGAAAATAAAATTAATTTCATGCTAAACAACTAATCACAATGTGCACTGGGTAGAGGCGGTCTCATGCCCTGCTGCATGGATAGAAGCATTCGACTTATGGTGATAGCTTTTAACAGTGATCAGATGAGTGGAGCAGTCTAACAGTATTACAGAACTACCCTGTGTCAGAGGGCTGGTATTTACCAAGACTACAGCTACAAATCAGGAGTTTCTCTTTCTATGTAAAATAGCACCCGATCATTTTTACATCAGCCAAAGTGATCAGATGCCCAAGGGTGGGGGAAAATTACTGAATACTTACTAGTGAATCCAGCAATAGCTATGTCTCACAGTAATTGGTGATTTAGATGATGGACATACTCTCTACATCTACTATCACGATCAGCATTAGTGAAAGGCATGTCCATCACGAAGAGGTTAATTTATCACATTATCCAACACATTGAAAATAACAGGGGATGTCTTTAAATGGGCAGTCTAGCAATAAATAAATATTGGGATGCCCGTAAACTTCTACAGATAATGGCGTTGATTAAAGTGTTTGGTTTGACAAAAATGGGGGCTCCACTTGGCACCGAATAAGGCCTTTCTTACACATGATCAATATCCATTATGTCCAACCTGTTTAGCAATATAAGGCCAAGAGTTTTGGGGAAGGTAACTCCATATTTAGATGCCTTGTTAAGGGACACAACACAGCCAAACACCCCCCCACTCCCTCCATAGGCTCACCTGACTCATTCTGCTAACAATACTCAGCAGAGGTGGAAATCCCACCTGTAATGGGAATAAAGAGATACATTTGGTTATATGATTGCAATAGATTTTTGGAGGAGGATGAATGTAATTGGCAGAGATCAGAGTCGTTATATTCTACCTTTATATAATCAATTCCTGGGTTTTGGTTCTCGCTGTTCAGGGCTGCCGCCAGGTCACAGTACAATCTTTCCCCCAGACAAAACTTCTTCCAACTCTCTTCATCTTCTGTATTTGGCTGAAGAAAAAGTAAATTAACTGTGCATTCATGATGTAGGAGGAGGGAACAATAAAACCACCAGAACAACAATATTGCAACCCCCACCCACAGTGTAGGAGTACATGGATAGGTATGAGAGAAAAAAAAAAAAAAACCAGTGCATGAAGATGAAGATGACTGGATCCCAGCAGCTCCACTGGACCCAATGGAAAGAATCCACTTTAGCTCTCTCAAAGGTAAGGAGGCTGGTGTGTCACTATGTGCTAGTTAAAGTGTGTGTGTGTGTGTGTGTGTGTGTGTGTGTGTGTGTGTGTGTGTGTGTGTGTGTGTGTGTGTGTGTGTGTGTGTGTGTGTGTGTGTGTGTGTGTGTGTGTGTGTGTGTGTGTGTGTGTGTGCGCGCGCGTGCGCGCACCCCAATGAGAGTAAGAAAACAAGTGGGAAGCTGATGCGGTCAGAAGACGAGCTAGGACAGTCACAAGGGGATAACCCTATTACACGAAATACTAACTAGAAAAAAGGAGGAAGTGAACTGTCCAAAGGTGTAAGTCAAAAGTAAAAAAAAACCAAAAACCCAAAAACACAACAACAAAAAAACCCCAATAGAATTAAATGTAAAAGTTACAAGTAACTTAAAAAGGGGAAGGAAAGAAAATGTGAACAGTTTGCTCAAAGTAATTCTGTATAGAATAGACTAATCACAGTGATAAAAATAGTCAAGCAAAGACCACTGTGAGTAAAATACAGAGATACTGATGTCAAACAAACACTGCTTGTAACGTTATATATAGTGGGTACTTTACAATAACAATGTATTCACTTCCCGAAATAGGAAGTATTGGAACAAAGTAACACTGTAGCAGAGATGGGTACAGCTGCCAAATATCATGTATTTAGCTCAATAATATATAGAAGAAACTTCCAAGTGAGATAATTATCCAAGTGAGATAACAGAAAAGCTATATACAACGAAAATGCAACAAAGAAGCAGTAAATGGGTAAAGTTAAAAAAAATGATAGATATAGATATCTATATGGAAAAGGAATTGCAGCAAATTGATTAGGTTGCCATATAAACAGATTATGAAAATAACTATAGTCAGTAGCGTCCTAATAACTGCTAGTTCTTTGAATCTATGTCTATACGGGCACTAAACTTTCTGAATCTGTGCCTTCAAGGGCACCTAACTTCTCCGTAACTGCCATTTAGTGCTAGTGAATAAGTGCCTATAAGAGCACTCAAATCCCTAGCGTATAAGTAGCTGCTATCCTACGCAAGAAAAAAAAAAGGGAAGAAAAATCTTCACGTCCCCTGCTCTTCTCCACTAAAGTATACAGATCAACGAAAATAAATGTATCGTGATGAGGCAGTCGTGATGCCACTAATACAAAAGTCAAGTGGTAGAGACAGGTTGTGTGTATGAGCCCCGACTCGCGTTTCACCAGTAAGGTTCTTCAAGGGGGAACCCATATCCTGGGTTTTTAGGTTTAAATAGCGCTCCCTTGTTTCTGATTGGACCCTTAAGTTGCTATGGAAAACATCACATAACGTCATTAGTTACTGAGGCGGGGAAGAACATTACTTTATGTAGGATATTCGGCAAACGATGCGTTAATGGATTTTAAAATCACAACAGTAATTGTAGAGCTTGATGAAAGCTTGCTGTCTGTTGAACAGTGTTTATTAAATAATACGTGTTAAGACGCTCGGAGCCGATTGGCAGACAAGATAATAGTATGTAAATATGCAGTTAGAATGCAATCAAGAAATTTGATAAAAATATATTATAGTACTATAACCTAGTTAACTTAGGGCACAGTGTCAATTAGTCGGCATATTATAGAATTGTGTGAATTAGGTTGATAGAGCAGACACACGGACTGCCATGAATTACTATTACAGAATATAGTATAAACACCTGATCTTTACGGACAGTGAATAAGATAATGTAAATACAAAATGCAAAGAGCTGTACAGACCCTGATAGAGGGGTAGTGTTAGATAGTTTTAGCCTCTAAGTAATGTTTGATATCTAAATCAGATTTTAATAGACGATAATGACCGGGATAGAACAATGTCAGTAGAAATAATAAACTCCCACAAACTGTATCCATAACAATATTAATGAGGGAATAGAAGGACAAGGTAAGGGGAAGAATACATGGATCAACAGTTGAATATGTAAATTATTAAATCAAAATATACCTTGAACAGAAAAGAGAACTAAATGAACTGTGAATCGGAATAAAATAAAAATATAATGATTGTATATTAGTATGAAGTGTTAATTCTTATGAAATTATTTCGCCTTCTGGGAACTCAATTATGAATGAATGATGTATATTGGAATTCTTCGTTTAATCCTAAAGAGGTTAGTGTCTGAAACAAGTACACACTCTTTTCAGCAAGCTAAATTTGTTTAGGAGTCTGGAGTGACCCTTTAAATGAAGTTGAAAGGAGTGCCACACACTTGTTTTCTCAAAAGTTGGTTTTCAAAATAGTCAGTGAACATCCGATACCAGTCAGAATAAAGGGGTGGTTGATAAAGATGTTGCACATGCACAGATAGTTCAAGATTTATCAGGCAGTTGTGAACATATCTGCCCAACATATCACTGAAATTGAATAAAAGGGTATATACTCACCATAGTAACATTGCTGTCAAGAGGCTGAGACCTCCAGTGACTTCTGTGTTTGTTGAGACTCTGGAAATTACAGCAAAAATAGGCTATACATTTTTATTTTAAACACCAAACCTACATAGTTAAAATCCACTTTTCAGAAGATTAGATTAAATAAGTGCGAGAAGAGGAATTGTGTAAATTGACACTGTTACAAATTATAAATCTTCCCTTTGCAAGAACTCAGGTGGTCCTCTGAGGCTATAACAAGAACTGGGTGGACTATGCCTGCCAATCCCTGGCCTCCCATTCATCATCTACTGTACTTGTTACTGCCAATGATATGGGGGTACCTAACACACAGCCACCTATATATCACTGTTAGCATTGAGAAAAATTTAGGAATGCAATAGTTCACAATCCCATGTAAGTCACATCATTTCGTCAAGGGTTACCTGGCGAACAGCAGAGAACTGAGCTACTTGTTGCTGCTGCCATCTGAGGCTTGGAGAGTAACCTTCCGGAGCTGGCTGGCACCCAGATAGCTGAAAGAAAATATATTATAAATCTACCCTAAGTCACTAATAGCAAGCACATACAGTATTCGAGTGTGTTCAAATCTTAATATTCTAGAAAGAAACAAATGTATGATTGACCATAATGATCCATGCGTTATCTAAATGCATAAAGGAGCTTGCCAAGCACGAGCACATTACATGCATGTTTTTATGGTGCCAGGAGTCCTCTTGTTAGTAGTCAAATAGTTGAAATGCCAAAATAAAATAGTGGCTTCAAGTATCTGCTCTTATTGCTTGACATTAACGGCAACAGTTCTAATCTTGCTATATATTTGAATTACAAAGATATACATTTTCTCCCAGTAATCAATTATGGTTTAACCTAACATCATATTACAATTCACCAATAAAGTGACCCATCTAGTGAAAAGTGCAGCTGCCTCTTTAAAACATTGCTTTATTTCAAATTTAAGAAAATGTTAAAAATTTTAATTTCAAGGCAGACAAGCAATGGCAAACGGACACAAAACAGAGACACTTCTTGCAGAGTACACAATCACATGTGAGTTAATATGGCAATGCTTAACTTTTTTTTGTGGGGAGGGGGGGGGAATAAAGGATGCTTTTAAACGAAGCAGCATCACTTTTCACCATATAGGACACGTCTTTATTGATGAATTGTAATGTCAAACAGTTTTTTACATTTACCTGGGTCCCTCTGGCACATGTATTGCTAAATCAGAAGTTCTCATTTCACCTTAGCAAGTCAATTTATCCACTTTTCCCTCCCAACTTTCTTTGTTGTAACAGTTATAGTATTTAATTGGTTTCAAAGATGTTAATTAACAGTATCTGTTCACCACTGTAGCACCATAACTCCAAGTCCACGAGTGTTACCTTAAATGATCCCGTCAGGCATCATAACAAGTTCATCCCAATTAAGTTGTTATGGTGCCTGGGAAACCTGGGCACCATCTTAACTTTAGGGGCCAAGCCTATTACAAATGGGTTAAACCCAAATGAAACTCATCTCCTCCTCTTCATCCACCCCAGTCCCCAGCTTCAATGTGGCAGCTTCAGACTGGGCAATAATGATAAGCTTAGAGTGGCAAGTGAGCATGCGCAATTGCATCAGTGATTCGGCTCATGCCAAGGGCTGAAGACAGATCCAACAAGAAAATGACTTTGCCCATGAGGAAGCAAGTTTAACATCCTTTAGTTTCTTTCCCCAGGATGCCACATAATGAGCGCATGCTCCCCAAGGGAAAAGGGTTTGCAAAATATGCAAACACCCAACAAGTGACATTTGCACATTAAGCGACTGAAAGAATGAAATACAGAACAAAAATTAATCCTACGCAAATATTGCTATTTTACACTATTATTAATAAGACGGCAACAAGTTCCGTAACGCTGAACAATGGGTGGACTAACAGACAAGTATCTGCTTTGTAACAGACACTACAAAGCAGAATCTGAATTGGTTTGGTCACTTTAATGTTTTTCCAATATGACAGAGATAAGCAGATAGAATGTCACTCACGGCTATGCTGACTGTCTGCTTCTTTCTCAGCTTCTTTGGGTCAATTTGTGCAATTACTACATCAGGACAACGAGCAGCTTCTAGCCTGAAAATATGAAGAGACATTTAACATTTTGTCAAAGCAAGCAGTCTAAACCTTAATGAAGTAATGGGTGCATTAAGAACGTTCATTCAATGAATGATCCAACTAAATTATCTTTTTTCCTTTAGATAATCTGTGTGTATGCAAGTTCACTGGTCACGTTCACAAAACCTCATGATATTTTGGAAAAAGTACAGTTTGCCAATTGTGCCAGACCAGCCTGGTTTATGAAGTTGTTCTATAAATAAAGGTTGTTTTACTAAATGAACAACCTTTAGTTAGGCATTGGTAGAGAATGGCCAAATTTCATTTTTAGTTATAGGAGACACCACTACATAACAGGTAGTGCCAACGAACACTGAAGGGGTTTCTAACCCACGTATGGACCAAGGATTCCACACTATAAGTCTGTAGCATCATTCTTGAGGTTCTATGCCAGACTGGTATTCCATACTTCAGGGGTGACCAGATGTTGTAGAACACCTTCCATGATGTTTTGTTAGATTTATAAAAAGAATATGTATTGATGCTGGCACTCAACCATTTATTTGTAGTGTATTTCTTATATTATAGTATTATAATATTTATAGAGCGCCGTCAAATTCCGCAGCGCTTTACAATGGGTGGACGAACAGACATGTAGTTGTAACCAGACACACAGGAACAGAGGGGTTGAGGGCCCTGCTCAATGAGCTTACATGCTAGAGGGAGTGGGGTAAAATGACACAAAAAGTTAAGGATAGTATTAGACTAATGACAGTTGCAGAAGAGGAATCAGTCAGGAGCTATTAGTTTAATTGATACGCTTTTATGAAGAAGTGGGATTTTAACGATTTTTTGAAGGAGTGGAGACTGGGTGAGCATCTAACGGAGGAGGGAAGCGAGTTCCACAGGAACGGTGCAGCCCTCGAGAAATCTTGAAGGCGAGCATCAGAGGTGGGAGTACAGAAGATAGACGTAAGTCTTCAGCAGATCGTAAGGGCCTAGACGGGACATACTTGTGTATAAGGGAGGATAGATAAGTGGGAGCAGCATTATGTAGAGATTTGAAAGCAAGAATTTGAACCAGAATTTTAAATTGAGCTCTATATTTTATAGGAAGCCAATGTAGGGATTGACAGAAGGGTGAGGGATGGGAGGTGCGGCAGACAAGGAAGATTAGCCTCGACGCAGCATTCATTATGGACTGTAACGGCGCTAGTTGGGAGCACGTAAGGCCACTGAGAAGCGGATTACAGTAGTCAAGGTGAGAAAGGACAGTGGAATGGGCCAACACCTTAGTCGCATCTGGCGTTAAGTAGGGGTGGATGCGCGCAATGTTTTTTTAGATGGAAATGACAGGATTTGGCGATAGATTGAACATGAGGCTTAAAGGAGAGGTCAGAGTCAAAGAGAACACCTTGGCAGCGAGCCTGCGTGGTGAAGCTGATGGTAGCATCATTGACTTGGAGGGAGACAGACACAGGAGTAACAACACTTTAGGGAGGAAAGACCAGAATTTCAGTTTTGGTCAAATTTAGTTTAAGGAAGTGGGCAGCCATCCAGTTAGAAACAGCAGAGAGGCAGTCAGAGACACTAGTCAAGAGGGACAATTGGTGGCACATGTGGAATAAAAACAGGGCTACAGCCCTTCTAAGTAGGTTTTAAAAAAAAAAAACCCCCACAAATAAACTATTAGATTGATTTTATTTCCCTCCCCCCCAATCTTTGTTAAATTTATTTATTAAGAAATAAAATGGTGATCTTCTAGCCTAAACTTAGTGCATGTTATTTTCTTATTGGTGAGTGCAGTTTCAGAAATTCCCCTCCTCTCCAGATCCTCTGATACAAACCATGCAAGGTAATGACATTTTCTAACATGATCTCCAAAGAGTATGTTTGTTTTTCTGATGTTACAGGCAGTCACTGGTGTAGAATTAATGTTATATCCCAATACTCTGGGACACAGTACACCTGGCTTTCTGCCTGCCACTTGCACATACACCACCATAGGGGTGATAATTAACCTTTAGTTAGCATGCCAGCTGTGGAAGTGGACTTTATATAGAGAGTTTAATGTGCCAGGCTTGCCATTGCACCCCAGCAGGGGACACCTACCACACAGTCTACCTACCCCCATGTTTCCCTGTTTAATGTAACACTGTGTCCATTGTGGGGACTCCCACAGCCACATGCACCCATGGACACTTACTGGACCCTCCGCAGGTACTCTTGTGGAGTCCGAGGAGGAACTGACGGGTCAAAATCATCGGGGAGATCACAGTCCCCCACCGGTAAGAGCCGGGGCATCAATTCCTCTGGTCCGGAGTCCATGCTGGGTCGGCTCCGACGTCACAGGCCGTGAACCGCACGGCACTTTATGAATGGAACGCATTGAGTATACGCTCATCTGATTGGCTGTCCTCCAACTGTGTCCTTAGTGGCCGCTTGGGGTCACGTGCCATCGTATTTCTGACAATGAATGGAACGTTGGCTGCACTGCAGCAATGTATCTGTAAATATCTATCTATCTATCTATCTATCTATCTATCTATATATATAGACTGGGTTATTCATTATAGGAAATTGTGTTAGTTGACAGATGCAAAATGTGGTCACAATCCTAAAATGGAAAAAAGTCACTTTTTTTTAGTTTTCTGCATCCCTCTTTGAAATCCTGACAAGTTTTACTGTAGTGAATAAACCTGTCATATTTTAATATTATAACAATCAGTGAAAGTGATTTTCAAATTTAAAGTGGCACTGTCACCATTTTGGGATTTTGTCGAATTCGCAAAGTCCCCCACCAGTGACGTCACAGCTGATGGCCCGGGGGGAAGGTAAAGGTTAGTTTACTTACCTGAACTTGTCCCTTGTGGGCGCGGTCATCTTGATCTGGCGTGGTTCTCTTCGGTGCTGGCGTCACCTGGAAGACCACGAGATCCTCCACAGACAGTGACGGCTGAGCGGATTGACACTGATAGACTTCTAAATGTAAATTAAAAGGTTACTACAAGTACCATGACAACTTCAGTGATTTCAAGCGGTCATGGTATAGTATGTGCCGTGTTTAACCTCTGTGCTGTTGGAGGTGTAACTTTGCCTTGCACAGCATCATTGAACTAGAGTTCCAGGCTGGCTAATATCAATTCTGTGCAAATTGTTATGCATAATGTGCTATTCTCTGGCTGAGGGCAGACAGCTGACACTCAGCTAATGAATGGCTATAGGATTGTATTCTGCAGGTCTGCAGAAGCCGGACATGCATCAGTTGAGAAGCAAGGAGCTTGGGGTAGCGAAGACCCAGGTTATAGGGCAAACTGTTGGTGACACTTTCCCCTCTTAGCGTGAAAATGAGCCAGCTCCTGGCACCATAGCTACTACAGCTGCAGTGGTTATGGTGCTTGAAGTAACCCTTTAAATAAAAAGTTACACAACTTTTAAAGTGTTTCGTGGAAATAAGTGCTTAGCTGGTTGAATTAAGATTGTCTCATTCTAGTCCTGGGGGATTGATTTTATTCCATTTCCATGTCTAGTAGGAGTTTGTGGAATTGTGTTTAGTTACTACAGCTGAATTTGAGAGCATTACCAAATGATCACTTTTTGCCTAAATTTAGCAATTCGGTTTACAGTTCACAACAGATCAGTGTTTAATGAAAGGCCTACAGGTTACATTTCCCTGGTCAATTTTCCACAATACCCAATATTGTTCATTAATTTTGTTCTCTAAACTGTGAATTTCCACTGACATTTACAAGTTGCAAGGAATAATAGATTTAAAAAAAACATTGCAGACTTGGAGATTTGTTTTTCCACACAGGCTATTTTACCCTTGAATGCATGCTATTTCTGGCAAATTCCAGACATTTCATAGTTTAGTGAATAATCCTAATAACGAATTGACAAGGAAATTGCTAAACCTATACCACAATATCCAAGCTGGAAAAACAGTCATGTGAGAATGCCCAATCCTATTCACTATCCTAACATCTAACCCTAATGTTTCTAACATTCTCCTCAATCCTCCACCCCCAAAACCCAGCTCTAATACATCTAATCCTAACTGCAATCAATCTAGCCCTAATGTCTCTAATCCAAGTCCCTAACACTACCAACGACTCTAACCATAAAACGATTAACACCAATACATAACTATTTTCAAAAAATGAACTAATTGATCATTTACTCAACTCTTATCAATTGTGGTCACACCAAAAGCAGGTACCAGAACGATTGTGCTAAAATGACCCATACTGACCTAGATTGGGCAAATCTTCAGATTTTTCTGGACACCACACTGAAAAATTGATTTAACGCAAGAAGCACAGGAGCATCTATTGGGCAGCGCTTCCAAAAACTGCAGTACTGAAATGGGTCACATACCACAATGTTGGACAACCTTACAGATACCATTCATTTGTGTGTTGCCACAAAATTGGAATAAATGGGTAGGAAAGAGGGGCAAAGGTATTAAGACAAGATCATTAATGAATTGGGCAGTCACTACACCTCTACTGGGAGTGATGATGACCTAAATTGTAATCCAATGTCTGCTTTGGAAGACATACAGTATAGGGCAGGGGTGCGCAAAAGGTAGATCCCCAGATGTTTTAAAACTAGATTCCATGATGCTTTGTCATTCTAAAAGTATTCCAAAGGTATGCAAAGTATCATGGGAGTTGTTGTTCTACAAACATCTAGGTAGCTACCTTTTGAGCACCCCTGGTATAGGGAATGATAAAGAGGACTAGGCTGCAGTTAGTACCCCCTGTACCCATTATAAAACTATTCCATAGATTTGCAGGAATGCTTAAGCTATTACATGAAAAACGGATACATTCTATTCTTATTCTTTAACCTCAATTACCATGTTCCAAGAAACCGTCAGACATTGAAATCAGAAATTGTATGGATATATACCATTTTCTTGTTTGATACAGGTGCCTGGGTTACATGTCAGCTCTGTTGAAATCTATTTTAAATATTTAGATATCAAACTAGCATCCCTGATCAAATAGAATCAAAAGAACAAACCAGACCTTACAATTGCAAGTTCTCCATCAGAGCTCATCAGAATAGCAAATACTGATAAAACTGGCATTAAATAACAAGCCTATTGACTTACTTAATTGTTCTCATTTTTACCATCTAAGAGCTCTTAGATAGCTCAATCAAATGTGAGTGGATCTCATATAGTACTAATATTCTGATTTGTATCCTAATATACTGTATTGCAGTTTTATTGTGTTTTTTAGTCTAAAGTACGATATCATCTGAAGATTTATGTGCGTATAATCTTTGGGCGCGGTACACACCATTTTCATTCTACTATTTGTTCATTCACGAGGTTTGGGAATCCTTGCACTGTGTACTGCAGCCCACATAAATTAGATCTTTTAGCTATAGTGAGCGCCTATTACTTTTTGCTTTCCACTTTTCAGTAATAGCTGTACTCCTGCTCCTGCTGACTCGCAAGGTCAAAAAGAAGAAAATGAGATCCACAAATCAATTCTCGTTCACTTCAGCTGTAATATTTGTGTTTCAAACGCACCCATAGCCCTTTCTATATAACAGCTCAAGGCCCAGAAAGGCCATTTTAGCAGCTGCTATGCCATATATACTGTACAGATATTGCATGCTTTCAGCCACACAACATCCTATTTTATGTGACAAAAAATGTATTTCTACCATTCTAATATTTCAGACTGTCTGCGATATTGGAAAATAAGGTAATGCATACAGTATACTTTGTAGAATATGTTATTCCCCCCATATTGTTGTAAAGGATAAATAAATAAAACATACACTTGTGCAAGTTTACACAATTTTATTGTCACAGTCCCTGAACATAATATCAAAAAACCTTTACAGGTGACTGCCAGGGCTCCTGCATGGTTAACTAGTGCCATATACACTAGTAGTGACTGCCTTTAGATGTGATTGACTAGTGCCAAATACACTGACAGTGACTGCCTCGGGATCTGATTGCCTAGTGCCAAATACACTGACAGTGACTGCCTGGGGACCATGATTGACTAGTGCCAAATACACTGACAGTGACTGCCTGGGGACCTGATTGACTAGAGCCAAATACACGGACAGTGACTGCCTGGGGACCTGATTGACTAGTGCCAAATACACTGACCGTGACTGCCTGGGGACCTGATTGACTAGTGCCAAATACACTGACCGTGACTGCCTGGGGACCTGATTAACTAGTGCCAAATACACGGACAGTGACTGCCTTGGGACCTGATTGACTAGTGCCAAATACACTGACAGTGACTGTCTGGGGACCTGATTGACTAGTGCCAAATACACTGACAGTGACTGCCTGGGGACCTGCCTGATTAACTAGTGCCAAATACACTGACAGTGACTGCCTGGGCACCATGATTGACTAGTGCCAAATACACTAACAGTGACTGCCTGGGGACCATGATTGACAAGTGCCAAATACACTGACAGTGACTGCCTGGGGACCATGATTGACTAGTGCCAAATACACTGACAGTGACTGCCTGCGGACCTGATTGACTAGCGTCAAATACACTGACAGTGACTGACTGTGGACCATGATTGACTAGCGCCAAATACACTGACAGTGACTGCCTCGGGACCTGATTGACTAGTGCCAAATACACTGACAGTGACTGCCTGGGGACCATGATTGACTAGTGCCAAATACACCGACAGTGACTGCCTGGGGACCATGATTGACTAGTGCCAAATACACTGACAGTGACAGCCTGGGGACCATGATTGACTAGTGCCAAATACACTAACAGTGACTGCCTGGGGACCTGATTGACTAGTGCCAAATACACTGACAGTGACTGCCTGGGGACCTGATTGACTAGTGCCAAATACACTGACAGTGACTGCCTGGGGACCTGATTGACTAGTGCCAAATACACTGACAGTGACTGCCTGGGGACCTGATTGACTAGTGCCAAATACACTGACAGTGACTGCCTGGGGACCATGATTGACTAGTGCCAAATACACTGACAGTGACTGCCTGGGGACCTGATTGACTAGAGCCAAATACACGGACAGTGACTGCCTGGGGACCTGATTGACTAGTGCCAAATACACTGACCGTGACTGCCTGGGGACCTGATTAACTAGTGCCAAATACACGGACAGTGACTGCCTTGGGACCTGATTGACTAGTGCCAAATACACTGACAGTGACTGTCTGGGGACCTGATTGACTAGTGCCAAATACACTGACAGTGACTGCCTGGGGACCTGCCTGATTAACTAGTGCCAAATACACTGACAGTGACTGCCTGGGCACCATGATTGACTAGTGCCAAATACACTAACAGTGACTGCCTGGGGACCATGATTGACAAGTGCCAAATACACTGACAGTGACTGCCTGGGGACCATGATTGACTAGTGCCAAATACACTGACAGTGACTGCCTGCGGACCTGATTGACTAGCGTCAAATACACTGACAGTGACTGACTGTGGACCATGATTGACTAGCGCCAAATACACTGACAGTGACTGCCTCGGGACCTGATTGACTAGTGCCAAATACACTGACAGTGACTGCCTGGGGACCATGATTGACTAGTGCCAAATACACCGACAGTGACTGCCTGGGGACCATGATTGACTAGTGCCAAATACACTGACAGAGACAGCCTGGGGACCATGATTGACTAGTGCCAAATACACTAACAGTGACTGTCTGGGGACCTGATTGACTAGTGCCAAATACACTGACAGTGACTGCCAGGGGACCTGATTGACTAGTGCCAAATACACTGACAGTGACTGGCTGGGGACCTGATTGACTAGAGCCAAATACACTGACAGTGACTGCCTGGGGACCTGATTGACTAGTGCCAAATACACTGACAGTGACTGCCTGGAGACCTGATTGACTAGTGCCAAATACACTGACAGTGACTGCCTGGGGACCATGATTGACTAGTGCCAAATACACTGACAGTGACTGCCTGGGGACCATGATTGACTAGTGCCAAATACACTGACAGTGACTGCCTGGGGACCTGATTGACTAGTGCCAAATACACTGACAGTGACTGCCTGGGGACCATGATTGACTAGTGCCAAATACACTGACAGGGACTGCCTGGGGACCTGATTGACTAGTGCCAAATACACTAACAGTGACTGCCTGGGGACCTGATTGACTAGTGCCAAATACACTGACAGTGACTGCCTGGGGACCATGATTGACTAGTGCCAAATACACTGACCGTGACTGCCTGGGGACCTGATTAACTAGTGCCAAATACACTGACAGTGACTGCCTGGGGACCATGATTGACTAGTGCCAAATACACTGACAGTGACTGCCTGGGGACCTGATTGACTAGTGCCAAATACACCGACAGTGACCGCCTGGGGACCATGATTGACTAGTGCCAAATACACCGACAGTGACCGCCTGGGGACCTGATTGACTAGTGCCAAATACACTAACAGTGACTGCCTGGGGACCTGATTGACTAGTGCCAAATACACTGACAGTGACTGCCTGGGGACCATGATTGACTAGTGCCAAATACACTGACAGTGACTGCCTGGGGACCTGATTGACTAGTGCCAAATACACTGACAGTGACTGCCTGGGGGACCTGGTTGACTAGTGCCAAATACACTGACAGTGGCTGCCTGGGGACCATGATTGACTAGTGCCAAATACACTGACAGTGACTGCCTGGGGACCTGATTGACTAGTGCCAAATACACTGACAGTGACTGCCTGGGGACCTGATTGACTAGCGCCAAATACACTGACAGTGACTGCCTGGGGACCTGATTGACTAGTGCCAAATACACTGACCGTGACTGCCTGGGGACCTGATTGACTAGTGCCAAATACACTAACAGTGACTGCCTGGGGACCTGATTGACTAGCGCCAAATACACTGACAGTGACTACCTGCCAGCACCCCCTCTCCCCAAACTACAGTCTCTGTGTGCCTTTATCCAGGAATTCCCCCATATACCATCACCATTAATATTTATAGTACATGGCAGTATCAGCACCTACAGTAACTGTAACTCTGCCTGTCACGTGGTTTCTGTGTGTTCGAAGCTCCGGATAGTGTATCCCTGCAGCCTGAACATTCCACTGATCTCCGAGAAGCTGTCACTCACAAGCTGCTCTCTGCTCCTTGACGTGGCACTGGGCGCCGCCATGCTGGTGACGTCACACGGTGCGCTGCCCGGCTGCTGAGAGAGCTAGCGGTAGGAGCTGGGGAGTGAGACCAGGGAGGTAAGTGAAAGGGGGCTGTGAGTGTGAGTGAAAGGGGGCTGCGAGGTGGGTGAGACACGTAGACACTCCAAAGTGAGTGAAGACAGTGTATGGGGGAGGCTGAGTGTGAGTGACAGCTCTGAGCAGGGCAGTGAGTGAGGTATGGGGGAGAGGAAGGGTTAATGGGGAAAGTCTGAACTTAGCGGAGTATGAGTGAAGTTTCTCCTACCAGTGAGTGCTGCCTCACTGTGAGAGTAGGTGTCACTCACTCTCATTCATGACCTGCTGGAGGGTATATTTGAATTACTGTACATTAAATAAAGAACCACTAGGTTTTCTGATCTAAGGGTTTACTTACTAAATAGTGAATCTAGTGATCAATTGACAAGCACGTTTAGGCTGAAATATTAAAGTTGGACACGTTCTCCACTCTGTCTACTTTGTAACTATTGTCTGTGTTCCCAAGAACTCTCTGTTTAGTGAATAAACCCTTTATTGTAGAAGTGATGGCTCAGTCTGATTAGCACTTAGTCAAAATTCTGTTGGGTTTATTTATATTAAAACTGGTTATATCATCAATGTGTTTTCATAAATTATAGGCACAGTTTCAGTGCATTTAGTAAGCGCCCAGGCGGGGGTTAAATAACTAAAATCAAAGAAGATAAGACAAGTACATATCTTTCTAAGGATGCTAAGACTGAAAGTAGTTTACACTAATTCAAATTAGCTTTTTTTTTTTTTTTATCAGATAAACAGCTGAAAAGTTGCCACCAGTCTCACTCTAAAATTGTATTTTTATGAACATACTACTTTTTTTTGGGTGGGGGGTACTTTTATAATTAGTAATGCTTAGATAACGCTTACTTAAGGTAGCAGTAATTTTAATGTGTCTGAAAGTTTGCATATTCCCTAAATCTCCCCAATAACACGTAAAATACGGGTGCCCTGTTTAACTATATGAGTAATTTAGTGATTTTCAAATTATTGGTATCGATAGCTGAGCTTGAAAAAAATCCTGATAATTCACAGTGAATTACTCAATATTAATACCGCCCCCATCCTATAACCCATGTTTATCAAGTAAAATTGCTTTTATAGAGCTGTAGATGTCTTATTTATGTACACACATTACTTATTGTTTAACATTATCATGCACATTTTATGTAGATGGAGTATAAGTTGCAGAAAAGAGTATCTTCTGTCTTCTACAGGTTAAAAACCAATAATGTGAAATATGAATATTCATTTCAAGTTACATTTGTGGGTCTGCGTATGTTTACGCATAATTTTAGAATTATATAAAATTGTTTATCAAAAATGTAGAACCACACGTGAAACTATTGACATGTTTTGTGGTTCAAACACGAGAATATCCTATATTGAAATAAAATAAAAACCTTCTAATATTCACAAAGCCCAGGGGAATGTTGTTATTGTCAGTAGTAGTTACCACTTTTATAGGTAGTCATTAAAGGTGAAGTAGAAAATTAGTATGTTGCTAAGTGACGTGAAGCACTGTCTCTGACAGCCATACAAAACCAGTGTTATCATCCTTTCCCATAAGTAAGGCTTAAGTATGGTTGTTTTTTTGTTTGTTTTGCAGCAAAAGTGTTAACATCTGACCATGACAACCTTCCTGGAGTTTATTCAGCAGAATGAAGATAGAGATGGTGTCCGTTTCAGCTGGAATGTTTGGCCTTCAAGCCGTTTGGAGGCCACACGGATGGTGGTTCCAGTTGCCTCTCTTTTCACACCATTGAAAGAGAGACCTGACCTGCCTCCTATACAGTATGAACCGGTTCTTTGCAGCAGGACCACATGTAGGGCTGTGCTCAATCCTTTGTGGTAGGTTATCACCAATTAGCATGTATGTAGTTAAAGGTGTTCGTGAGCCTAATCTTCTAAATATATTTTTTAACTAAATTTATAATTCTTATTACTTTTTACCTGTTGAGTGCTTTGTAATGTGCTCAAACGGTTAAGTGCTCCTTAGGCTAGAGATAATTATATCATCTACAGAGATGCATTGAGGCTATTAAGCACATGCGTAGCTATTGCTTATGCCACCATGGGAAAACATTAAATCATCTCAGTGTGTTATCCATGCCAATATACCTGTTCAGTGATATGAGAGCTGGCAAGTATAATTTCTGCCTTACTGATAGACAGGGCATCTAGATGGGGATATAGCTCCACTTTGAAGCCTTTTAGGAGAGTTTGAGAGGGAATAAAATGCTAACAAACTGAACAATTTGAAGTGATTATACAGCTAGCGTGTTCCTTTAAAAATAAATAATGGGGGCGTGGTTTAGCTGCTGAGAAAGATGGTAGTGTTAGACAGAGCTCTACAAGCGACAGGCTGTTTATAGCAAACCCAAGTCATATTATTATTGCAGAACACTCCCTCCATAGCTGCTGAAGATGTCCCACAGCAAGCAGAAGAAGAAAGGCGATAAATGAGCAAAAGTTATTAAAGCAGAATAAGGGGTGGCGGCAGACCATATTTCAGCAAATATGCTTGGGAATGAGCCCTAGAATAAAACTCCCCTCTATGATATATTGGTCACCTGGCATGGGGGAAGGATATGGGAACCGAATTAACTGAGGACCAAGGGAGGTGGGCTTTTAAAGCATCTAGAGCAGGGGTTCTCAACGTTAGTCCTCAGGACCCCCTACCAGTCCAGGGTTTAGGGATTACCTGGGTGTGTCTAAGGTGTTTAGAAAAAGAAAAAAAAACACCTTAGAGTCTAAGACTTAGAGTCTAAGGTGTTTTTTTCCCTTTTTCTAAACACCTGAGACACACCCAGGTAATCCCCAAATCCTGGACTGGTAGGGGGTTCTGAGGACTGGGTTGAGAACCCCTGATCTAGAGTATGGGTTCCCAACCCAGTCCTCAAGTACACACCACCAGTCCAGAATTTAGAGATAACCCTGTTGTGTCTAAAATGTTTTTTTTTGTTGTTGTTTTTTTTTAAATTCTTTATAAAAACACCTTCGATACAACTGGGTAATCGGTAAATCCTGGACTGTTAGGTGTAACTTGAGGACTGGGTTGGGAACCGCTGATCCAGAATAATGACGAAATGCTCTACACAACTGGAAACCATACAGAAAATAGTTTACCGTTTGTGTCTGGTACCGGCTTGGTTAGCCCATATATATCCTGGGATATCCAACCTATGTTGGAGTTGTCTCACAAGGGAGGGTATGATTTGCCATATCTGGTGGTCATGTGTGGCCCTGAAACCATAATGGCATATGGTGAGTTTGATAACTAATTCAACAGAAAACAAATCTGTCAGGGTCCCATCCAGAGACAAGGTGATTTAACAAGTGTCATTAAATTATTCTTATGAAGAGAGGGCTCATATTAATATATGGAATGGCAGAGGAGAGGCCTTTTTCTGGGACCTCTGGAGGTATTACACAAGAGGATCTCCTAAAGAGCAACCCTAAGGAGATGAGGGGGGAAGGGTAGTGGAAACGCGAGTCCCTGTGTTACTGATGGCCAAGTACACAAAATGGGGTAGTGACAATGCTAACCCATTGTCCAAACACTTTAACCAAAATGTTTGGAACACTTTGTTATAATTGTTTACTTCTTACTCTGTTAATTTTCTCTCTTTACCCTTTCATTAATATTGTTCAAAAACCACATGTACTTGTAAAGTACATATCTCAAGTCGGCGTTGCTCATGAATATGTGAGCACCAGGAAGGAAAATGTCATGGTTCCCCAGTGGTTGTGGTTGGATAATGGAATGTATAAGTATACATATGTGAGGTGAAATGTCTATATATATATATATATATATATATAAATATAGTGTGTGTGTGTGAAATTATATTTCGACTGAATCTATGACGTGTAACCGATCAGTGGCTCAAATGTTACATAGTTACATAGTTACATAGTTACATAGCTGAAAAGAGACTTGCGTCCATCAAGTTCAGCCTTCCTCACATTTGTTTTTTGCTGTTGATCCAAAAGAAGGCAAAAAAAACCAGTTTGAAGCACAATTTTGCAGCAAGCTAGGAAAAAAATTCCTTCTTGACCCCAGAATGGCAGTCAGATTTATCCTTGGATCAAGCAGTTATTACCCTACATTGAAAGATTATATCCTTGAATATTCTGTTCTTGCAAGTATGCATCTAGTAGCCGTTTGAACATCTGTATGGACTCTGATAGAGCCACTTCCTCAGGCAGAGAATTCCACATCCTGATTGTTCTTACAGTAAAAACCTTTCCTTTGCCTTAGAGAAATCTTCTTTCTTCCAGTCTAAACGCATGGCCTCGTGTCCTATGTAAAGTCCGGTTTGTGAATAGATTTCCACACAATGGTTTGTATTGGCCCCGAATATATTTGTATAATGTTATCATATCCCCTCTCAGGCGACGTTTTTCTAAACTAAATAGGTTTAAATTTGTTAACCTTTCTTCATAGCCGATATGTTCCATTCCTTTTATTAATTTTGTAGCCCGCCTCTGCACTTTTTCTAGTGCCATAATATCCTTCTTTAGAACAGGTGCCCAAAATTGCACAGCATATTCAATATGGGGTCTTACCAGTGATTTATAAAGAGGCAAAATTATATTCTTGTCCCGAGAATGAATGCCCTTTTTCATGCATGACAATACCTTACTGGCCTTGGCCACTGCTGATTGACATTGCACATTGTTGCATAGTTTGTTGTCTATAACAATTCCCAAGTCCTTTTCATGTGTTGTTATCCCTAATTCGCTTCCATTAAGGGTATACGTTGCTTGTGTATTCTTTACGCCGAAGTGCATAACTTTGCATTTTTCAACATTAAATTTCATCTGCCATTTGAGTGCCCAGTCCCCCAGTCTATCTAAATCCCTCTGCAGCAAAGTAATATCTTGCTCACATTGTATTGTTTTACAAAGTTTGGTGTCATCTGCAAACACTGAAACATGACTTTCAATGCGGTCTTCAAGATCATTTATAAACATGTTAAATAGAAGGGGTCCCAGCACAGACCCCTGAGGGACACCACTTGCCACCTCTGTCCAGCTTGAAAATTTACCATTAATGACAACTCTTTGTACTCTGTTTTTAAGCCAATGTTCTACCCAAGAACAAGCATTTTCATCTAGACCGATTTCCTTGAGTTTGAACACTAATCTATTGTGTGGAACTGTATCAAATGCCTTGGCAAAATCCAAAAAGATCACATCCACGACAACACCCTGATCTATACTTCTACTTACTTCTTCGTAGAACGCAATCAAGTTAGTTTGACATGACCTGTGCTTCATAAAACCATGCTGATTTTTGCTGATAACCATGTTCTTCTCAAGGAATTCTTGAATATTATCCCTTAATAACCTTTCAAATATTTTACCAGCCACAGAAGTTAAGCTCACAGGTCTATAATTTCCAGGCAAGGATTTTGAACCCTTTTGAATATAGGAACCACATCTGCCTTCCTCCAATCCTCCGGAACACTTCCTGAAAGAAAAGAATCTTGAAAGATTAAAAACAGAGGTTCACTTATTTCTACACTTAGTTCCTTAAGTACACGTGGATGGATACCGCCAGGCCCTGGAGCTTTGTTTATATTAACTTTCTTTAGTTGCTGCAGCACCTTGTCTTGAGTTAACCAATTACAATTATTCTGCAAGTTTTTAGTAGCAATCATTTGCACATCTATTGCCATGGGTTCTTCCTTAATATATACGGAGGAGAAAAAGTTATTTAAAATTCCTGCCTTTTCCTGGTCTTCATTAATTAACAACCCCGTTTCAGTTTTTAGTGTACCTACACTTTCATTTTGTTTTGTTTTTTAGAATTTATGTACTTAAATGCTTTGGGGTTGGTTTTGCTCTCTTCAGCTATCATTATTTCATTTTGAAGTTTAGCAAGTCTAAATGTGACTTTGTATACACAAAACAATGTATTTATGCTCATCCGATGTATCAATAATCAATAAAAACATATATAAAATATATGTGGGGTAATTCCCAACACCCAATAGGTTTACATTAACCAATTTATTTTGACTGCTTTAGGTTCTTTCATAGAGACTGATTAGTTGTCGTTAGCCTTGTAACCTTGTGAGGAGTTGAAAGACTTATTAGCAATAGCAGCAGAAATAAAAATAATCTGCCCCAAGATATACAACATTCTGGGGAGGTAATAGTCCATTTTATATGTGTTTTGTGAGTGTGTAGCATAGAAACCACTTAAAAAGACAAAAAGGGTGTTATATGATTGTACCACCACTGGAATGAGAGAGATGGTTCAAATGCTTTTCCTTTTCTCTCATAAAATATTTTGTGACATGTTGATGTATAACTTTCAACTCTATGGGACATCCTTTCTAAAGTACCATTGTAAACTACTTACTGATACTTAGCGAGTAATTGTATAGCTTACAGGGACCACGTGAGGCACTCTAAGCACTTAGCTTATTTAAATGATTATGGTGCTAGAATAGCATCCCTGCTTTCTTACAATTTAATTCATTAATATACACCAGCAGAAATAAGACTGGGAAATATAAATCACAAGAAATAAATGTATATTAAAATGAAACACTATGCGAAAAGAATCACAGCCCAATTACACTATAATTGTTTTGGATTAGTATCTGATGAAAACCTAGACATTTGATGGTTGCATCCCCATCCCCATTACTTATAAATTATCTAAAAAAAAACTGTGCAACCTTTGCTTTCATAAGTTGCATCATTACTTCAATAAAATCCACCTGTGCACACTTAAGGTCACATGAGACCATGATCTTACAATAAATAGAAGATCCTGTAGTTTCTTAGAGAGAGAGAAACATCTACCCATTAAATCCAGTGCATAGGATGACTGTGTATCAAAAGTGTACCATAGCTTGATTCACCAAACTGTGATATGACTGATATCATTTTTTAGAGTGGTTACGCTAATCCAGTGGGATAAGTGGAACTGCTCTTTGAGGGTAGAATACTTGCCCTGTATGGGTGTATAGAATAGAACCAGACCCTATAGACTTAAATAAAATGATTTGATTGAAGTTGTCACCTTAATTTGGCAAGAATTGAAGGCAGACCCACTAAACAGTGATTTGACTGGGAACCTTACAGATAATAGGTATTTTTTGTATACTTTACTGTATAATACATTTAAATGTAGATAGTCAATTTCATCCCACAGTTTCTCATTAAAGATAAAGAAGATATTTTGGACTACATCTCTCATAATGCTCTTACAGCCATAATGCTGGTAAAGCATCATGGGAGATGTAGCACGCAACATCTGGAGTGCCGAAGGTTGCCTACCCCTGCATCACTCATTTGGGTCTTGGGATTTAAAGGCATGCTACACAGCTCTCGGATTCTAGAAACCATTACAATGAAAGATGAACATTTAACCGCTAGAACTCATTGGAGATGCACAAGAGAGAGATCTGTAACATAAATGGCAATATTCTCTTCTGGATGCATGCAGCAGCAATATTATTGCATCACTCCCATTTTTTTTTTTTTTTTAAACGCCATTCGCTTCCCTCCCCTGTTTCTCTGCACCTTTATTGTTCATGTAAAAAAATTCTTAATTTTGTGCTTCAACATACTCTTTGCCCATTTTTATTTTAAATATAACATTGACACAACTTTTTCTTCTAGTCAACCTCCCCGAAAATATTTTTAGTGATTATTGTCCCCTAACCTGTTTTCACCTTTTAACCACCATTTTGTTGAATCTCTCACTCCTTCTGCCGTAGCTCTCCAACATGTATACATTCACATAGCGTTATATCCTCGGCTGTCTGATTTTCTAATATATATATTCTTTGTTGTTTGCCATTTTTTTTTATACTTCCAAGGACAACCTTAAATTTGAAAAACAAACTACTTAAAAAGAGTTGTGCATAGATCCTTCTATTATTGTTCCAAACAGATTGAAGTAGTAATAATATGCCATGTTGGATATCAAAAACATTATTTATGTTTACTATTCTTTATTTTTTTTAATCTTTTCCTTTGCTGTACTTGTTTTTATAATAGACCAATATATATTTATTTATTTATATATATGTGTATCCCATTGTACAGCACTGCAGAATTTGTTGGCGCTTTATAAGTAATTATATAGCGAAGCGTTGTGATCTTCAATGTGTCGTATAGCATTGTAGGTATTCATTCAGGAGTAAGTAGAACTATCCTTTCTAAAATTCCTTTCAAACTGAAGAGGTTGCAAACTTGCCTGGACTTGGTCCAAGTGAAATGTGATCTGTTGTTGGGTAAACATCTGACGTGTAAAATCAGACCCTCTTAGTAGTTCTGTGTCCTGACAAGTCTGATTTTACGGCACTTGGGTCTTATTTGCTAAAGGATGGTAAACATGATCACATGGGTTATTTCATGATAAAATATTAATTCATTTTAAAGTACAATTGTTACATTTGTGTGTTTTGCACAACCAAATAGCTAACCAAAGCTTGGCTATGAGTTGTGCTATTTTTCTTTTGTGTTATCTACATTGCATGTTCGTGTCCTGGCATTGCCAAGGCATACAATGTAAATGAGCTTGACTTCCATGGTAACATGTGCGTGAACTATGAGGGAACATGCATGGCACTATGAAAGGAATCCCTGAGCCGTCTTTTGGCAATTAGCAAAGAGATACCAAACATAGATAAAAAATTGGAGCAAGAGCTCTGCCCGAATCCATTAAAAAAGTGCTCCCTTTTTTTAAATTTTTTTTTTTTTATGTCTAATATGGATACAATGCCATAATCTGATATGTTATTGTTTTGGAATGGTAAACTAATTTCATAGAATTTGTAAAACTTTTTTTTGTTGTTGTTGAGATTTTGAAAAGTAGGACTGAATTGGATACTTATATTTCATTTTGCAGCCAAGTGGATTACAGAGCAAAACTGTGGGCTTGCAATTTTTGCTATCAACGAAATCAGGTGAGACAACACATACAAACTCACACAATCAGAACAAACATCAAACATTAAATGGATATGAATGGTGTCATATGTTATTGGGTTACGTCCTTCAAGATGTTTAGTTCTCTCTTCGTGACAGCAATCACTCCCCTGACAGTCCTTTTTTTTTTGTGTCTAAGTGGTGGGTTAGCACTGCTGCTTTTGCTTATGAGTGATATGAGGTTAATAAAGGGGGGAAAATGCATGCAAAATGCAAAGATAACACAATATGATTAAATTGTTCATTCAGGTCATAACCCATGCATGGGCATGAAATCTTGTTTTTTAAAAAATCTGCATGCAATTGCTAAGGAAGCCTTAATTAATGTTTGTTTGATGTATTTAAAAGTGAGACTTGTCAATGTGTCTTTACATGTGTTGCAAAGCATGCTGGAAAAGCGTGCATTTTCTAAGGCTTACTTTGGGATATATAGTTGATGCACAACCGTAAAGAAAAATGTTTGCCTCATGTAAATTGAGCAGATAAGAACCGTTTGGCCCATCTAGTCTGCCCAGTTTTCTAAATACTTATATTAGTCTCTGGTCTAGGATAGCCTTCTTCCTATACCACGCATGCTTAAACACTGTGTTAACCTCTACTATTTCAGCTGGAAGGCTATTCCGTGCGTCCACTACCCTCTCAGTAAAGTAATAGTAAAAATTAGCACAATAGAAGTAATATAACAGCATCATCATGCAAAGCTATTCAAAATAACATATTTTATTTATAAGTAGGCAGAGCGTGGCAAGAATCATTTGTTTATCTCTACACACAGTCTTATTTAAAGGGTGATAAAGCAACTGAGATTAGTAGAAAAGAGACCAGCTGCTAAGAATGCATACCTCCCCACATTTCATGGATAAAGAGTGATACTTAAATTTTAGGGGGGTGGCCAGTGATGGCGCTGTTATGAGAAATAGGTGACTTACTAATAACAATTTATACAACTATAATGTAATTTAGAAGAACAATGCATCTTATTTACACAGACTAATTTCTAAACACATTTATTGTAGTTTAAAGACATATTACTGTGAGTATTATTGCTGTGGAGCTCTGTTATACACTCAGACACACCAAAAATATGGAGGTCCTCAAAAAAAGGAACAGAGAGATTTGGGCCCAAAATAGGGACTGTCTCTCCTAAGTAGGGACACTTGGGAGGTATGGGTTTGCTAATTTAGATTTGCATATACCACATTACAGCTGAATCTTCGTCATTATTTGTTTACCAATTCTCCTCATACAAACTAAGGTAATTGCATCCTTAAAAGTTTAACCCACTTGACCCTAAAGGGACACTATAGACACACAGACCACTTCAACGCACTCCTGTTCCAGTTTGGTTTTAGATTGGCTGAAGCCATATTCAGTCGAATCTCACTGCCGCAATAAGATCTATTTAAACATTGCAGGGACCAATTCTGTATCAAATTGTTTAGCAGTAAGTAAAGCGAAACTCAGAGAACTGAGCACAATGAATATGACCAGCCTTGCTATAGTGGATAGACCCACATATGTTTTGAAATGCTTTTGACTATAGGTAGAAAAGCCTTAATGATCTTGTACCGTCTCATATATATTAATCTGTCTTTACCACAGCTGATCACTGACAGAGTTTAATACGCTTCTTTCCTTTCAGTTCCCTCCTACATATGCTGGAATATCTGAGGTGAACCAACCTGCCGAACTCCTGCCCCAGTTTTCAAGCATTGAATATGTAGTGCAGGTAAATAAGACCTTTTTAAACCTTGTACTTTCTGTTTTGCCAAGGCAAAGATAGGATTGCTTAATTTCAAGATGCATCTGATTTTAAATGTCACATATCTAATAGATGCTGTAAATTCTATAGTTGTTTTTACCTTTAGTTAACCTTTAACCCCTTAAGGACCAAACTTCTGGAATAAAAGGGAATCATGACATGTCACACATGTCATGTGTCCTTACGGGGTTAAAGGACACTATAGTCACCAGAACAACTGGTAATGTGGTAGTTGTTCTGGTAAGTATAGTAAGTTCCTGCAGGCTTTATAATGTAAACGCTGCCTTTTCAGAGAAAAGGCAGTATTTACATAGCTGCCTGGTTACACCTCCAGTGGCCACTCCACAGACAGCCACTAGAGGTGCTTCCAGTAGGGCATTGACGTTGACGCCGAAATCTCCCCATATAAATGCATTGATTCAATCCATCTCTATGAGGAGATGCTGACTGGCTAGGCAGCATATGGACCCTCCCCTGCCCCACCTCCTTGGCTGAGATCATTTTTTCTATGGGAAAGCATTGTAATTGGCTGAGATTATCAATTCTGGTGATGCCAGCCAAGGAGGCAGATCCTGTGCTGCACTGGAAATAAGGTAATTTTTCTTATTATTTAAGAGGTGCAAGGGGGAGGGGGAGCAGGGACCATACATGTGTTTTTAAAACTATAGGATCAGGAATACACATTTGTGTTCCTGATCCTATAGTGTTCCTTTAAATTAGTCAAAGGGGCTCATATATTTTGAGTTTCTTTCTCTCCTACATGGTTGCTTGCTTTTCCTTTTTTTTTTTTTATAAATTCTTTATTTGTGCAGTTTAGTGACATAAGTGAGGTTACAGAACAAAGAGAAAGCGTTGAATGGTACCGTCATACACATCAATGACCACATAGATTTACAGTTAGTACAGTTACTTGTCGATTAACAAAGAGTTTGTGGGATTTTGTGGGGTGTGCATTCCCGTACCCTCGTGTGCATGAAAGATGTTCCTCCTGTTCTGAACGTGTGTGAGTCTGTATTTATTTTTGTCTTGTTTATTGGAGAGGAAGAGAGAAGAAAAAGGGGGAAGTGTTGACGTTGTCGGTTCGTGAGCTTGCTTTTCCTTTTTAAATGATTGTAGTTGAAGAAATAGCAATAAAAACTATTTGTATCTGTGGAAAGTTGTACGATGACATCATTAGTATTTTTGAAGAATCATGTTATTCTATAATGCTTTTTACAAACTTGAGAAACCCTAAAACAAATGCTGGCAATGAAATGATAGCAACCATTTTTTCATTTTACCTAAATTACAAAATTTTAGACCTCTAGTCAATATCTTTGGATAAGCTTTACAGTTGATTTAATAAGTTTGGATAAACTTTGTAGTTTTTTGTATTTTTTTATTTAAATAATAATATATCAAACACATATATATATATAAAAATTTAAAATATGTTTTGAAATATAATATAATTTTAAAAGTTTATCCAAAATTATAATCCATTAGCAAAGTTTATCGAAAGATATTAAATTGAGGCATTAATTTTATTATTTTGGCACTTTTCTGCTCCTTCATTTTACTTTGATGTGCTTTCTCAGAGAGGTCCTCAGATGCCATTGATCTTTCTTTACGTGGTGGACACTTGCATGGAAGAGGAAGACCTTCAGGCCCTGAAAGAATCTATGCAGATGTCTCTCAGCTTGCTACCTCCCACGGCGTTGGTGGGATTAATCACCTTTGGAAGGATGGTGCACGTGCATGAACTGGGTTGTGAAGGCATCTCCAAGAGTTATGTCTTCCGAGGGACCAAAGACGTGACGGCAAAACAGCTCCAGGTAAAAGATACGCCATCATCAGCAAATAATACTGTTATGAAGGATCTGTATTCATTAAATGTGAATGTCCTCTTCAGAATGTCCTCTTCAGTGAAGCTACATTTTGTACTTCCTTAACCATATTTATTTCTGGCTTAAAGCGGCACTGTCATGCCGAACTTACCTTTCCATAATCGCTTTCTCTTCTCTTTGTCTCCCGAGATCTGTTCTTCATTTCTTCCTCTCTGCTCTTGTTTTCTTTAAAACATAAGACAAAGTAGGGACCACTTTGTCTTATGTATATTTCCTACGCCTGACCAGCTCAAGCTAGTCAGAGAAATTTTCCCACAATACTCACCCTTTCCTCCGCGATCTTGCGATGCCTGCCTTCACTATTCCCGAACGACCTGTCATTTAGACAGAACGCTGGCGAAACTACAGAATGAGAACAGTTTGTTCATTCATGTTAGGATGACATTCTGTACTTTTAGGTCAGTTCGAAATTTAATTTGAATGAAATTCCGATCCGATGCGTGCTGCAGCTGCATCTTGCAACTGCTTAGTAGATAGCTCCATAATTCCCACGGAATCACAGAGCTGTCTACTAAAAGGCTGAAAGACCAAGATTGGTCCTTCAGCCAGCTTTACTAAAACTAAGTAAGGATTACTTCGAATTAGTAATTAATCTGCCCCTACTCGCTATATTGTGAGTAGGGACATGTCTAGTAAACAGAGGCTGCTCTGCTCACTGTGGTCAAAAATAGAAAATAAGTAAAGCCCCCCCCACCAATAAATGGCCATGGTGGGGCATTTATTAACTAGCGGGGCACACACACACCCATGCCCCCCGAGTGGGGGCTATTCAACTAAACGGGGGACATAGGGTCCACACCCATGGTGCCCTTAAGGACAATGGGGAGACGATCTATTGTCCTCCCCCTGCAGCCCCCAAGGCGACGGGTGGGGGCTAAATGTAAAAATACCCCCCTCCCCCTAAAGTGACTAGTCCCCAAGCCCCTAGTCACCCCCCAACCCCAATAAAATTAAATAAAGCCCTACCTACCCCCCTCACCCTAAAAATAGTGAGGGGGGAGACAATAAAGCTAAATACCTGTAAATAAATTTAAAAATACTTACAGTTTGATGTCTTCTTTTTTCTAAAACCTTCTTTTTTCAGCCCCAAAAAAGGCCAAATAAAAATCCATAATACCTGTCGAACATATAAAATAAAATAAAATAAAAAAACAAAGTGCAAAAGAAAATATGCCCCCCCCCCCAAAAAAATCCTGACACTAAAAAAAATTATCAATAGGTCTCCCGTTATTGTAATTTAGGGCCCCCTCCCCCATTGTCATTTAGGTCCTCCACCCGAAGATTATGGGTGGGGGCCAAGGGGTACCCATTTAGTTGAATAGCCCCCACACGATGTGTCCCCCCGCTAGTCTTTTTTTTTTTTTGTGAGCAGCAACAGGCTAGGTCCGGGCAGAAAATAAAGATTTAAAAAAAGGTAATATGGGGGGCCTAAAGGCATTTGGGGGTGTCTAGGGGGGAAATTAGATGTGGTGGAGTCGGAAGGGGGGTTAAAAAAAGCGGATGTGGCCATGACAGTGCCGCTTTAATAATTCAAATACATTTAATGCTTTCTTCACCTTTATTATTGTCAGCATCCACATATATATATATATATATATATATATATATAAAAATAAATAAAAGCCATAAAATTGAAATGTATCAAGTATTTGGACACATATTACTTGCATAATGCTAAACTTAAAAAAAACATTTCCTCCCTAATTTCATATCTTAAGAAACGGGATAATTCATTTTGAAGGTTCTGACGCATGTCTTTAAAACGCGTCCTCAGGCTTTCCTGTCTGTTAATCCATGCTTTTAATGCAATACTTTTTATTGTACTTGACTACCTTGTTACTATTAAACTTGCGTTTTGGATAATACCCAGACAATGCTTAAAACTAGTTACTTTTTTTGGATCATATATTTCCAGTAAACTAATTTAGGAAGATGTAACACATGCTATTTAGACCCAGTGAATGGTTTTAGTCATGGTTATCTGCTGTCCCCACTGTCAACATGCAATTTGCTTAAAACGGTAGCTATCTATTTTTCTAAAATATTCTCACAGAATGATGTAGATGAAACGTGAAATTGTTTGGAAGAGGAATTAATAATTAAATGCATATGTGTGCCTGTCTGCTGTGAAGTTCATCTATGTTCTATAGGATTTACTTTGTAAATGTCCACCGTTCTCTTTCAGGAAATGCTATCATTGCAAAAACCTCCAGCTGCTCAAGCTGGCCGTGGACCTCAAGTTCAACAGCCTCTTCCTTCCAACAGGTACTATTTATTATTTATATGTATATAATGCCACTATATTCCACAGCACTATACGATCATAGAATGGAGATAACTGAAAACAAGTGGTTGACATACAAAATATTAACCCCTTAAGGACCAAGCTTCTGGAATAAAAGGGAATCATGACATGTCACACATGTCATGTGTCCTTAAGGGGTTAAAGGGACACTATAGGCACCCAGAAACATTTATCTCATTTAAGTGGTCTTGGTGCCGTGTCTCTGTCACACTTAGTCCTGCATTGTAAATCATTATATTTTTTGAGAAGCTGCAATGTTTTCATGGCAGCACTAAGACAGCCTCCAGTGGCTGTCTATCAAAACTTCTAGGATTTTACTGGACTTTAGATCGTCTAAATGATGCTGGATGTCTTCACACTCTGCATGAGGACATCCAGCATCAGTAAAATTCCCATAGGAAAGCATCGGATGATATCTGAGAAATTGGATTGCCGAGGGATCAGATAAATAAATAAAGGATTTTTTACCCTTTTGTTGGTCGGGGGGCACGAGGTGGGGGCAAGGAATTTATAGTGTTAAAAATACAGCTTTGTATTTCCTAACACTTTAGATTCCCTTTAACAGAGACAAAAAATCAAGACGGCACTACTCAATCAGTATATTTTCAGAAATTAGAAAGAGCAGAAGGGGACATTCTTGGGACAAAACATTAAGCAACAATCTGTTTAGTAATTGTCATTCCATTCTGTTTTATGGCTATCCAGTCTTGCTTCTCCGGCTCCTGTAGTTATACATTTTTCATCGTTATGCAAATTGTAAGCTTGAACACTAACTGGAGTCCCAAGACTGGACATCCCTGTTGTAGAGCATAAACTCAAGACAAATCAGCAAACGTTTAGTTTGAGGCCTATGAAAATGTTACCTTTTTTAATTTAGTGTGTATACTTACATTCACTTGCAGAAATATATAATTTCACGTGGAACAAATTTGCAAATTTTTTTGCATTATTACTAATTTTAAGTTCACGTAGTAGTTTTAAAGATAGTTTTTCTCCAGCTTTCAATACTGATTGTATTACAATCAGAAAATCGGAAATCAAATGAAGTTTTGAATGGACGTTTAATGAAGGAAGAAAACCAACGCAAACTTATCACATAGTTTACAAAATTCTTGATTTAGGAAAATGAGCTGTAAATGTAAAGACTGTTCTAACTGGTTTTCTTTTTTCTATTTAACATAAAGTAGTGTAACTTGAGGATATCTGTGTATAGGTCACCTGTTTCGAATACTGAAGGAATGTTTTGGCCTATAGCTATAGTGACTGGGGAAACAATATTGTTAATTAGAATGCATGTAAGGGTCAGACTTCCTTTCAGATTCCTTTCATAGTTGTCAGTTGTGATCTTCTTCTGTGCTATGGCAACTGAGCTTTCTCTAAATTCTATGTAAAGTTCCTTAGCCCCAACCAAGAGATGGGTTTACAACAAGGATAAAGAAAAGTGGGACTGACCCTTGTCTAATCAGTCTTGAATCTGTAGCAGTAAGCACACTGTTAGAAAGTGTGTAATAGGCAATGTAGCAACATTGCAGCTAAGGTTTAAAGGAACACTATAGGGTCAGGAACACAAACCTGTATTTTGACCACCCCTGCCCCCGACCCCCTAAATATTGTAAAATCTTACTTTTATTCCTGCCTGCTGCTGGCTCTGCCCCTGATCTGCCTGCTTGACTGACATCATCAGAAGAGGTGTTCATAGCCAATCACATTTCTTTCTCATAGGAAAACATTGTATTGGCTGAGACTGTCAAGGAGGCAGATAAGGAGCAGAGCAAGCACAAGCCAAACACAGCCCTGACCAATCAGCATCTCCTCTTAGAGATGCATTGAATCAGTGTATCTCTATGAGGAAAGTTCAGTATCTCCACGCAGAGGGTGGAGACACTAAATGACAGTCACAGTGTGCATCACTGACCAAGGAAGCACCTCTAGTAGCCATATAAGGAGTAGCCAGTGGAGGTATCCCTAGGCTGTAATATAAACACTGCCTTTTCTCTGGAAAAAAAACATTGTTTACTGCAAAAATCCTGGAGGGACTAATTAGACTCACAAGAACAAATACAATAAGTTGTTCTGGTAACTATAGTGTCCCTTTAAGATTTAGAGGATCAGAGAAAGAAATCTTATTTGGATACTACATATGAAATGGCACCGCAAAATTTATTATTTGCAAAGCAAACTAGCTTCACAGCATTCAAACTTTGACTTTTCCAAAATTCAAATATTGACTTTACAAACATTTCAGCTGTGTGCTACTTACAAACAGGAACATTGAGAAAGCAAATATGTACTAGTTGTTTCATTCTTTCATCTCTGCAACAACTCATAACCCTGTCTTTATTTCTTCAAAGAGAACGCGCCATCATAACATATAAACAATATTTATTTGCACGTCATTAACATTCATTCAATGAGGAAAAAAAAACTTTTTAAAGATTTCTTTATAACAACAACAAAAAACTGTTAACACTTCCCAGCTTCTTGCGTTGACATTGCACAAATTTGTACATATCGGTTTTTCTTTCTATCCATGTGTAAATGTTTTTTTGGGGGGGTTTTTTTTTCAATAAAGGCCATAATGAAACAATCACAGTTCAGCTGCAAATTCTGAACAAAATCAGTCATCGTCCACCACTTTCTTCTCTGATTCTGTGTTTTCTTGCAGATTTTTACAGCCCGTACAAAATATAGATATGAACCTCACTGATCTATTGGGTGAGCTACAACGGGATCCTTGGCCAGTCCTACAGAGCAAAAGGCCTCTGCGATCATCAGGAGCAGCTCTCTCAATCGCAGTCGGGCTTCTTGAGGTAATGTAGAAAGTGGGACTCGTCTATCTTCACACCGGAGAACAGCTTTAAAAAGAATTATGATATTGAAGGAACAGATATCCTGTAATTAAACATTGTCTGTTAGTTTTTTTGTACTTGCTTTAAAACTCAGAATGTTCAGCCCAGCACTATATCAGGATGGGTAGCTGGCAGGATTTTATATGTATTTTTCTCTCCTCAACCAGGATCAATTTCATTAAAGGACCACTATAGTGCCAGGAAAACATACTCGTTTTCCTGGCACTATAGGGTCTCTAGGCCCCCCCCACCCTCGTGGCCCCCCTCCCGCCGGGCTGTAGGGGGTGGAAGGGGTTAAATCTTACCTTTTCTCCACCGCCGGGCTCCCTCGGCGGTGGGGAATCTCTGCCTCTTTTCCCCGTCATCGGCTGAATGCGCATGCGTGGCACAAGCTGCGCACGCATTCAGCCAATCTCATAGGAAAGCACAGTGAGAAGTGCGGAAGCGCCTCTAATTAGCCCTAATGTAAACATAGCAGTTTCTCTGAAAGAAAGGGTTAATTCTAGATGAAACTATCATTAAGCTGAAGTGGTCTGGGTGCCTATAGTGGTCCTTTAATTACGTATTTACTTGAATCTAATGCGCACCTTTTTTGGAAAATACAGTTTTAAAAACTTGAATGCGGATTACATTCAGGGAAAAATTCTAAATTTTCCAGGGACTTGCATTCCAGCGAATTCACACTGGCGAATTTCATTCCGGCGAAATCACACAGGCAAATTATAACTAGTGAATTAAAACTAGCGAAGTCACACTGGCGAATTTCATTCCGGCAAAGTCACACGGGCGAATTAACACTAGCGAAGTCACACTGGCGAATTTAATTACGGCGAAGTCACACAAGTGAATTAAAACTGACAAATCCACACAGGCAAATGTTTTTCCTGAAAGAGGGCTTAAGAAAGAAAATACTTAAAATTCCATCAATGTTACTATGGTATATGACAATAAACAATTTAATTGTAGCACAATGTTATATAGTAGTATCTTCTTATATAAATGCGCATTACATTCTCCAGCAAAAAACATTTTTCAGCTTCCGGGTTTTTAAAAATTGAGGTGCGCATTGCATTCGATGGCGCATTAGATTTGTGTAAATGCGGTATATTAGCACATTTGATCTAGTTTGTGGATTTACTGAAGACCTTCTAGATTTTTTGCCATAGATTTTTTTATTTGCTAGTTATTCTTTATGTTGTAATTTTATTTAGGTTTTGTTTATAATATCTTCACTACATGTCCAGCTTCCTACTGATTGCATCTTTATTACACCTTCCTTATTGCATAGAAATGATATTCTTTGTAATTAATTTAGTAGTGTATTCTTTTAGATAATAGGTCCATTGAGTTTAGAGATCTGAAAACCCTGACAACACATTTTGTTAAAACCGTAATCTCGAGCTACACAGAATGATGCATTTAAAGGGCTACATTAAGCAATATAACCACTTTCTGAAGAGCTTATAATGCAAATACCCTGTCTATGCAGCAATTCAGAATTTAATTCTGCAAGATCTTAGTTAAAGGTGTTTTTTTGTTTTGTTTTTTACTAGAACGTAACTCCCCCTCTGACTGTTGACAATCAGCTAGCTCAGAATTTGTATCCATGTTTGATAGGCGCAGTCTGCGTACTGCACGCACACCTTAGTCTGAGCTCATTTTTCCTCTCACTGTATAACTCCTGTCAGTATACAGAGCAGTTCCACTGTATGGCTGCCAACAGCATACAGAGTTTTAGTAATAAACTACTTATGGGATAAGAGTTTGTTCCCTGTAACAGAGGTTTGCCCTCCGCTCCAGGCCCACTTAAGATTTTCTTAAATGCATTATCTTTTAACCCCATAGTCTGTCTTAAGTAAAAAAAAGTTTGTGACCGGTACGTGGAAAACCATTTTGACGCTGGAATTCACCTTTATTTTTAACAGTGTACATTTCCTAATACTGGGGCCCGGATTATGATGTTCATTGGGGGCCCAGCCACTCAAGGGCCCGGCATGGTAGTGGGAGACGACCTAAAGACCCCAATCCGCTCCTGGCATGACATTGAAAAAGATAATGCTAAATATGTCAAAAAGGCAACCAAGGTGAGCATTCAGTATCCTCTTTCCCTGTTATAATATCAGAGTCTAAGACGAACCATCTACATATTTTGAAATAAAAAAAAACCATGACATTGTTTGCATATTTTGTCATAAATGTAGAATACTGTTACAGAAAATGTAAAAGTAAAGGAAAAGCCATTCAACTATAAGCATAGATATGGTAAGGGCGTTAAATAAACATATTTGTCTTAATATTTAAAGAGGGACAGTCACTACATAGATTTTAGCACACTATTCTTGCACGCCATGTTTTACAAATGCCCAAGACCGTGGTATCATGGGGCCACGAAGTCATCCTGAAAACAGAAATGCTGAGAAATCGTGTTTAGTACATATATCTACAGCACTGTTCCACCTGTCCCCTCACCATAAACACTTCAGTAGCATTTATTGGGCTGAGGGAGCACAGTTATTATTATTAATGGTATTTATATAGCACCAGCATATTCCGTTGCACTTTACAATATTATCAAAGGGGGAGATTTAACAATGAATGAGACAATTACAAAAACTTACAGGAACAATAGGTTGAAGAGGGCCCTGCTCAAACAAGCTTACAGTTTACCTCTTTCATATCATGTGATGATTATTTTTAATATCATGCTTTTCTGTAGAATAGATGCGACTCACATTCAGGTCCTTCTCTCTAGGCATGATTTCAAATGACCTTAAAGTTTTTAAATACACACTCCATGTGGTCTGGGATTAGTGCCCCTGCTGTTTAATCCTGCTTTGTAGAAACAGCAATATTTCCGATATTGGGTTAAGCACACCTCTAGTATCTGTTTTTCTGACAGACCACTGGAGGCATTTCCACTGTGAGAACGAAGTCCGATTCAGTTCTCAATCACATGAAAGAGAGCATATGATTGGTGCAGTGCAGAAATTTCTAGCGCATGTGCACCTCCCTGTGCAATTGTTCCCTACGGATTAGCATTGGATTAGTTGCGATTTTCAACCTTGATGATTTCAGGGGGGGAGACAGGGCAGCAGCACGGGGACTGGCATGGCGAGGGCTATAAAGTAAGTAAATCTGCCTTTTTATTGCAAATTGGAGGGGCAGTCACCTAAATAGAAGTTAGGGATACATGGTTTTATTCCTAAGTGTTTCTTTAATTGAAATGAAAAGCAACTGAATGGTGTAAAAGATAAACCTGGATCATTAAAAAGAGCAGGGGTAGGCAACCTTCGGTACTCCAAATGTCGTGGACTACTTCTCCAGCCGTAATGCTGTAAAGCATCAAATTAGATGTAGTCCACAACGTCTGGAGTGCCGAAGTTTTGCCTACTCCTTATATAGAGGGAAACTTGCAGTTTAAGTTGTACATACTCACAGTTAGTGTGAGTTTACTTACTGTTTCAAAAATTATATTTTAAAAATGGACGTGGTTCCTTCTGCTGATAACACGGAACTTTGCCATTATCAATTAAAATGTTTCTCTGCTGCAGGAAGAAATGATAGAACCCCAAATTTAGTGATTTATTACGATCTAGCTATTGTGCTGTTGCAGTGAAAAGAACATTAACTTGGGAGCTAAACATTTTTGAAATCCTGCAGGTGTGTTAGAGGTTATGTAATCTGCCCAGATACCTAATATTTATTATAGCATGAAAATTCTATTACAAGAAACCCATTATTTTCCATTTGAAGTTTTACAAAATAGTGAAGAAGAACACATTCAAACCGAAGCAATGAACTGCTCACTTTTAGAATTAAAAGGATGTATAAAACGTGATACAACACAAGGTAGTATGCAATTCTTAGCAGTGTTACTTCGGAAAAGTTCTAACCCAATTAGAATATGCTAGCACCACTCAGTCTAGCCCACTCTAGTTACCCTTGTTAGTTATCCTCTTTCCTTTTTTAGTCAAATTAAAACCGTGCTTTAAAATAGTTCTCTCTTATAGCAATTATTCTTAGATGTTTATATTGTACACCAGTGTTTCTGTTTTCAGTATTCGAAATAGAACATAGAACTTGTGAGAACCATTGTTAGATTGATGGAAAGATGCGTTCTCTGAAGACAGATTGTGGAAATATTTATAATATGTATTAGAACATTAAATTTCCATAGCAGATCCAAAACAATTCTTGGCTGAAGCACTGCCCTTTCGGTTAAATATAATCATGTTCCATTTCCTTTTTGTGGATAATTTATCTTTTCATGTTTGTATCCTGGTTTGGGATATACCAAGATTTTCAGTGTAGTGGTTAAAGTCTAAAAACAGATGACGATATCCAGTGTAAGAGTTTTCTTGTCCTGCTTGAGAAATGCATTTTCCATAATAGTTTTAATGTTAGGCATGTTAATACTTAAATGAACATTTTAACCTTATGGGGTTTTTGTTTTTTTGCCCCAACATAAAAATTGTTCCTTTCCTTCTTGCTCTCAGCACTTCGAAGCTCTGGCGAACCGCGCTGCTACATCCGGCCATGTGATTGACATCTATGCCTGTGCGCTGGACCAGACTGGGCTCATGGAAATGAAGTGCTGTCCAAACTATACTGGGTAATACTGTCTACATACTTCATTATTAATGCAGTATGAGCATCTGTGTACTTGGTGCTGTAAAGACGTATATTTTTGCTTTCTCATCAGCTAACAATTTTTATGGTTAGTTAGTTACTAGGAAAAATTGATCTGTGTAAAGGTGTAAAATAACTAACCAGCTATACATATACATATATACATGAGGTCCATCCAGAAAAAGTCCAGCCATTGTTAATCTATCGAGAATGGTTTGCGCAACATCCTCTTAACCTGACATCCAAACAGACTGGACTGGAATGCGCATGCGTGAACAATGATGACTTCACTGTACTAGTCAGTGGGGTTGCTAAACGTCGTTGAGTGAGCTTGTGTATTGTGTGGCCGTCGCATTCAAAATGACTGAGCGTGTAGAGCAACGAATCTGCGTCAAATTTTGCGTTAAGCTTGAACATTCCTCTGCGGAAACTATTAGGATGATGCAGAAGGCTTTCAGGCACGATGCAATGAGTGAAGGGCAAATAAAAGTGTGGCACAAACACTTCAAAGATGGTTGAGATTCTGTTGAAAGATTTGGCACCCTGCGACTTCTGGCTTTTCCCAAAACTAAAATCACCTTTGAAAAGGGAGAGATTTCAAACTGTCTATGAGATTCAGGTAAATACAACGGGGCAGCTATTGCCAATTGCAGCAAAGGATTTTGCAGAGTGTTTTGAACAGTGGAAGAGATGCTGGGAGAACTGTGTGAGGTCCCAAGGTGCCTACATCTTAACATCTGGTGGGCTATCAAAGATGTAAATAAAAAATATATTTTTGCTATTTTTACAAATTTTCTGGCATGCACAAAATTACTGTTTAGAATATCCATGTTAGTTATGTGACTGTAACTGATTAATTTTGCAGATCCATTCTTTGTGAATGTTTTATAGATCACACGTAGTACGTTGGATATCTTCACGTTTGGTACATACATTAAATACCCTGCATGGGGGATGTGGTTACAGAAAACAAAAATAAGGTTTTTGAATGTATATTAGCTGAGCACACCGCTTTCTCGGACAGGATTAACCATAAAAAGGAAACTAAAATCTATTTCTGCAATCAGTCTCTTCTGTCATATGCAAACAGACAGTGTATAATATTAAGGCAATAAAGCTGATTAAACAAAACCTTTGTACTGCAAACATGTACATCCAGATAATTCCTTGAACCACAATTGTAAGCTCCCAAAAACTAACTAGAGGGTATGTATTCATTTTTCTTTTTTTCCCCTTTTTTATTCATACTTTTTTATTTGTTGGTCAGACAGCATTAATTCAGGCCAATCTGTTCTTCCAGAATGGCCATAGTGTTGGGATTAACGTTCTATTCGCTTATTCTTCCTCCTGCCTTTACAAGTATGTTTATGCCATACAAATCTCCATCAAGGCTACTTCTTAAAGCATTTTGTGAATGGAATAAACTTTTTAATAAGCTGACAAGAGCTGGGGTTCAACTGTACTCAGTTTATACAGTAGTTTCATTCATCTTCTGTGATAAATTGCTGTCAAGTGCTAGACTAAATAGCCCTTAATCTGCCCAAATACAAAATAAATTTTAAAAATCACTGTTTAGTAGATAAACTAGAAATGATGACTTGCATGTATTTAGTTATAATTTTTTTTATTTGGGGTTCATCAAAAACTGCTTGCAAAACCTGCAGTTGTCTTGTCTGCATCATTTGCAAGCCCTCCCCTTCTAACCCTGATCAGACTTTCTGTGGTTGTCCAATCACAGACTTCCCAATACAGCCCAATGAGAAGTCTTTGCAAGGCAGATGCTCTTGGCAATTGCTCCCTCTCGAGTTTAGCTCCACAGAGCTAAACAACCAGGAAGTAACAGGCCCAGTTGTCTGCTTGAGAGCCAAAGGGGTGTAACAAGGTTAATTTATAAAAGTATCACTTTCTGTGAAATGAAAAAAATAGGACACGCTCTTCACACAGAAAACAAGCTAAAGTGCTTTAGGGGTCTGAAAAGTACGTATTTGCAAAAAAGCTTGAAAAAAGTGGGGAGCTGAGAGTGTTATTCAGCTGTGCCCTTGTCCAAGGCTTCTTGATTCAAGTCTTGGATGAAAGTGGAAAGAGAGGAGCTGGATTCAACACTTTGTAGTGAAACTGTTTATTAAAGGTTTAAACCCTAAAGGTGAGCCTGCACTGGGGACCTCTTGGCACCATAACAACTTAAAGGACCACTCTAGGCACCAAGACCACTTCAGCTTAATGAAGTGGTCTGGGTGCCAGGTCCTTCAGGGTTAACCCATTTTTTTATAAACATAGCAAACTGCTATGTTTATCAATGGGTTAAGCCTTCCCCCTAATCCTCTAGTGGCTGTCTCATTGACAGCCACTAGAGGCGCTTGCGTGCTTCTCACTGTGATTTTCACGGTGAGAGCACGCCAGCGTCCATAGGAAAGCATTGTAAATGCTTTCCTATGAGACCGGCTGAATGCGCGCGCAGCTCTTGCCGCGCGTGCGCATTCAGCCGGCGGGGCGTAACGGAGGCGGAGAGGAGGAGGAGAGCTCTCCGCCCAGCGCTGGAAAAAGGTAAGTTTTTACCCCTTTCCCCTTCCAGAGCCGGGCGGGAGGGGGTCCCTGAGGGTGGGGGCACCCTCAGGGCACTATAGTGCCAGGAAAACAAGTATGTTTTCCTGGCACTATAGTGGTCCTTTAATTACGATGAGATTATTGTGGTTCCCACAGGGTTTCTTTAAACCCTGGCTGGCCAAGGATTTATGACATATGCTTACTACTCCCTTTGAAAATGAGTAGACAGGACTAGCTGACATGTCAGCTACTGGGCAGATTTTATTGCAGGAAGCTCCTGAGGTGAATACATTAGGGATTTCTATCATTTGTAAGTATGTTCTACATAATGCATTCAAATTACAATTATTAAATGGTGAAATGTGTTATCTCCTCGTTCAGTAACAAATTTTTGTAGTAAAGGTGTCCACTATCAGCAGTGAGGGCCTGACTCAAGCCAACCTGTGTACATTTATTAATGCATTTAGTTAAAAGAACACTATAGTGTTAAAATCACTATCTACCCTCCTTGCCTCCCCTTGTCTTCCCAAATATAGTTAAGTTGTACATTTATTCCAGTCTGCTGCTGCTAGCTCTGCCCCTGATTTGCCTCCATGGCTGACATCATCAGACATGGTGATCTCAGCCTATCACAATGCTTTCCCATAGGAAAGCATTGGATTGGCTGAGATTGTCAAAGAGGCAGATCAGGGGCAGAGCCAGCATAAGCCAAACACAACCCTTGCCAATCAGCATCTCCTCATAGAGATGCATAGAATCAGTGCATCTCTATGAGGAAAGTTAAGTGTCTCCATGCATTGGGTGTACACACTGAATGTCAGTGCTGCACACTGTGCAGCACTGCCCCAAGAAGCACCTCTAGTAGCCACCCGAGGAGTAGCCAGTGGAGGTATCTCTAGGCTGTCATGTAAACACTGCCCTTTCTCTAAAAAAAACACATACATACCAGAACAAATACAATAAGCCGTAGTTGTACTGGTGACTATAGTGTCCCGTTAATTTCAGACAAGCCACAGATTATTAGCTTAACCATAGGGATAATATGCATTAGTGCTAATTGTCTCCCGTCTGTGTTTGTGTGTTGCTCTATTAAAATATTACTATTTCATACATTAAAAGCAGCTTTAACCAAGAACAGTTTATTTTTTTAATTATTTTTTTACTCTCTTATTTATTTATTAGAGCACATTAGAAAAAAGGCATGAGAAAATTTGTTTGGTAGCAGTTATTTAGATTCCATTTTGCAGGTTACATAAATATCAATCACTCGAATTATAAACAATTAAGTAACAATTTATAAAATTCTGTTACAAAGGTTTATTATGGAACCCCCTGATAAAAGGGGTGCCAGTACCACAGCTTAATGCATGGGTTACAGTGCGTAGAGTCTTTGACTGCGATCGTCTTCAATCAGGTTGACAACAAACACAGTATATCACAGACCTCCAAATCCGGACTGAAATGAGATTGTTGATAGAATGAAAAATAGTGAAAGGCATTGGAGAATCAAAGCATTTCTGAACTCCCGTTGTACTCAGTCTGCGAGATGATTGACTGTTTGTGGCGACCCTGCTGTACCAGTTACTTAACCCCTGCAGGCTGTAGTGCTTATGGTGCATACAGTGCCTCTTTAAGTATGACAATATAATTTATTGTTTTTCTGTGATATAAGACTTTCCTCACATAACAACCCACAAGAAAAAAAGATTCAATGTAACAGCAAATTGGTTGTTTTATAGGAAATACATATAAACAAATTTATGTAATTAGCAGAACATTATTTATGGTACTTGCTCTCCAGTTAAACCCTTAGGAGTAAAGTCATCTCCTCCTTAATTTATGATGTGAGCATTACATGTCAGATTTAATAAGATGTTATGAGTTGCTAAGAGATGTTTACAAGAGCCTTGGTAGCAAGGAGATAAAACATGATCAATTAGTTTAAATGTCCTTTTGTCTGTCATCAGGGCTTTCCTGTCAACACTTCCCTCTCCCGTTAACGCATCCATTTCAGTTCGCTGTATTGTTTTATTTTCTATAGAACTTGAGACACAAATTACTTGTAGTAACATTTAGTTCTCTTTGAAATCAAACCATTTGAGCCTCACTTCTATTTTTCTTGTTCTAAGCCACAAAAGTTGCATTCACATTACTAAATCCTCACTGTCGCAACATTTTCTTTACAGAAATCAATTTAAAACAACAACCTAACAGGTAATTATCACATTCATCTTACCAGTCTGTTTTAGATCAAGCTGTAAATATCACTCGGAATTTCTGACTGTTTCAGTATAGTCAGGCATTCTGGAATGAAATCAGATTTATCTTTGACAGAAGAAACGGTATAATCAAAGCACGAAGCAGAAACCGAACAGCTCCCAGTTTCCCTCTGCTCAGGACAAAAATAAAAAATTCTTAGAACTTTCTCATGTGTTTTTAATCAAGAGTCATTGAGAAATATTTTATTCTGATTAAAACAAGCGAAGCACACATTCTGAGCAAATTTATAAAAACAAAAAAAAACAAATCAACAGAGATATACACATTTTTGAAAATACCATATGATGGTGAGATCTGTGATATCCTTCAAAAGTGTTTATTTAAAACTTTATATCTCACCATTCACTTTGTTTTGTTTTATCTTGTGTCTTGCTTCTAAGTTTTTGTTCAGGGATAAAACCATTTACAGACATTTTTCCTATGCGACAACTCGGGCCCATTGACAAACCTCTGTGCAAACCCACGACTCGGGTCCCGAAGGCTGGTATTCACACTGTTGGTCATGTGTCGCCTATGATTTATCTTTGCTTTTTTGATATGCTTCCTCTTGTCCGAGACTCCCAACAGTTGGGGAGTATATGGTCCGTAGGACATTTCTGCTGACAGTCACACCCTAAATATATAACATCTTATTTTTACGGATCAAGAAGAACATCTTTTTTTTTTACAGAAGGCAAATTGTGTTAATTTTTATACTTCAGCAGTATTGGAATGTTTTGAAACCTCCCTCTTTGATGTGCATTGGGTGTACTTCCAAAGAAAATAGACAGCAGTGTTACTATACATGAATATGCAACTATATATGTTTGCTTCCTTGTAGCAAACTGAAGAAACCAGAAAAAAATGTGTTTTGTTCCACATTCCCAAATTTCTAATTCCTCTTTATATCATGCAATTAAGATTCACTATAAAACACAACTGATTAGACACAAGGGCTCTCCAGATTTACAAACTGCCGGGGGAAAAAAAATAAGTTTGCAGAGCACAAATTGCACAGTCCTCTGTTATGAATGATCCTCTAGTGTAAGAAGTGATAATCCCTTTAGAGCGAGAACTATGGGAACTCCTTTCCCTCTGAAATATAGCAAGGGAACGGGGTTCCCCTGAGTTCCTACTGCATTGGAATAACGTCTGTTTAAATTAACTATAGGATTTAGAACCATTTACTGCTATGAAATATAGTTTTCTTGGAGCAATATTTGTTTAAATTGGCATGTTAGATAATATTAAGAAGTATCCTCTGAGTATGCAATGTCTTGTTTAGTAAAAGTAAAGCATTATTTTTTTTTTGTAAACGAACCATTGCAAGTTAATTCTCACTCTTTCTATTTTCGCAGTGGATACATGGTAATGGGAGATTCCTTCAACACGTCTTTATTCAAACAGACCTTTCAAAGAGTTTTTACAAAAGACCCACAGGGCAACTTTAAAATGGCATTTGGTGGCACTTTAGAAATCAAGGTGAGTACATAGTCTTGTAAAAAAAAAAAAACTGTAATGTATTTCTTGTGAATTCATTATTATGTTAATATTGGCAAAATGTGTGTTTAATATGAAGATCTCTGTTAGGATGATAAATATATTTATTAAAGGAACACTGTAGGCACCCAGACCACTTCAGCCCATTGAAGTGGTCAGGGTGCCAACTCCCTACACCCTTAACCCTGCAAGTGTCATTATTGCAGTTTTTATAAACTGCAATACATACCTTGCAAGGTTAAGTCCTCCTCTAGTGGCTATCTACAAGACAGGCACTAGTGGGACTTACGGCTTCTTAGACGACTTTTGGCGCTATGCATGAGGACCTCCAGCGTCCCTGGAATTCCAATAGGAAAGTATTTAATAATACTTTCCTATGGGGAGGTCTAATGCACGGACACGCGGCCATTGCCTCGCATGTGCATTAGGTCTCGTCGGCGGGGAAGGAGCGGTGGTGGAGCCTGGCCCAGCGCTGACGGACATCAACGCTGGATTCGGGTAAGTGTCTGAAGGGGTTTTAACCCCTTCAGCAACGTGAGATGGGGGGCGGGACTCCAGTACTCTCTAGTGCGATATAGCAAGTAAAATAAATAGAAGGTATAAGTGTAAGTTGAGGAAATGTCATTGGATGTAGAATAAACACAGTGCAACACCTGTTGAGAAGGAGGACATAGAACAGGTCAAGTAAAGGAAAGGGAGCGGAACGAGGGGATACAATATCTTCTCAAGTAGAGTTAAGAAAGGTAAAAGGACACATGATGGGGATCACAGTGAACTCTCCTGGTGCATCAATGAAGGGTCAAGTTCTAAAAGTGGCAAGCTACCAAAGGGGTGGCATATACTGAGAAGGCGGGAAAGTCATGGTGACTCAATAGGAGACAATATTGGCTCGCCTTTCATATCAGGAAGTATTTTTTTCTCATCTTAATTAGCAGATGGAAAAGCTCTTCCCTAACCCTAATATTTTCAATTTGGTGTATTGTAATGGAGGAGTTAAGGCTTTGAGTATGGCTGGTTATGGGAACACATAGTAAAACTTGGTAGACAGAAAAGAGCTTCTCGATGCAGTATTTATTGACCATCATACAGATTTCCAAACAATCCCAAATTAATGGATATTCCTTTCGAAACACAATGTAATAAACCTCAAATCCTTGATTACTGGTCGTCTTTGATGACTGGTTTGAGATTTTTATATCTTCAGTTTCAGTAAATTCTTGTGAATGCATGTTTTTAGAAATTCCCAGCTGACCCTTACTGTTTTTTTTCCCATGTTTCCTGGAAGACCTCTAGAGAGCTGAAGATTTCTGGAGCTATTGGACCTTGCGTATCTTTAAATGCCAAGGGACCGTGTGTGTCTGAAAATGTGAGTTTCCTTTTATTACATTCTAAATTACGTTCTAGTTTAGAAATTTCTTGTTTTAAGAACAGTGACCATAATGTTACCCCGAAGGGATGTTTTACAGAAGACTGTGGAATGATTTAAAATGTGTTAATTAATGACGTTATGAAAAGTATGTTTCATTACCTTCTCCCTAAAGAAATGCATGTTTGGATGGAAAGATGCATCAATCAGTGCATGTGTCTGGCTTTCTATCTATCTACAGCAATGGTTCTTAAAGAGACACAGAGGGGCAAAATACCTCCTATTTTAAAACATTACGTAAATCAAGTTTTAAAAATAATGAAAAAGCGTGAAACATCTCATTTTAAAGGTTTCTAATGTTATCGATATTTGCACAGCAAATGACAGCTCTGTGAGATGCCATTCACTTACTCTATAGAGTGTTGGATGCTCCTGCATAGAATTTCCATTCGCTCTTCTGAGATAAACCCTGCCATTCAGGGCCAGCTCATTGGCTGAGAGCGTCAACTGGTTGCTCTCGCCATTGAACTAAGGCCTGCACCACCGGGTTTAACTCACTGCAGACAGTTTCTGGCTCTGGTAGAGAAATTGACCAGCAACCACAGATAAAAAGTCAACTGCTGGCAAACAATTTGTCTGCCTAGATTAGCGTGCTGTAGTGATTATGGTGTGGGGAGAGTTCCCTGAAAGGTAATGCAATGGCTCATATGTATACTTTAACGTACTAGTTTTAACCATAACTCTACTATTGGATTTGTGTAATATAACTTACCGCTTCTTTAAAAAAATGAAATTGCGCCTTTAATAGCGCACGATGAAACTACAGAGCTTTAAATATTTTATTACCTAATTCAGTAGTGAAATAGTATTTACCTTTTTTATTATTACACGTTTCACGTGTTACTCAAAAGACTATCAGCCTGCTACTAAGTAACTGGACTAAAGGTCCATACAGCAATTAAGCAGTTAATTATTGGAGCTATTTAGTCATGGGTTTTAATGAACCGGTAATAGTATCATTTAACGTTGTTTAATGTCAGCGGATATTATATTGAGAATTTACTGCTTGAAGAGTAAAAAGCCTTAATGACGTTTACTAGGATACAGAAATATTGAGCGCAATTGTAGCCCTAATTGTATCTAATTAAAAAAAAAAAAAAAAAACTCTTAATATTTGTGTTGTCTATTTTCTTAGGAGATTGGAACCGGTGCCACATGCCAGTGGAAAATATGTGGCCTGAGTACCACTACAACACTTGCAGTTTATTTCGAGATAGTCAATCAGGTAAGCTGTGCTTGCAAATTGCAAATTATTATGGGCATGGCGAGTCATCTGCCTTTAAATTGTGTCTTTTTTTTTTTCCGTGTTTTTTTTTTTGCATTTCTTTATAGTAGTGTATTTGTAATGTGCAGATAATAAAAGGCTTGGGAATCTATTTCCTCAAAAAATTGAATGGCTTAGCAGGACTTTTCTGTGGTATCCATGTAACATTACGATTGAATGTGGCAAAAAAAGATGCGCAGATGTCCAATATTACACAGGGCATCCATAACTACAACCTTCACGAACACGGCATTCTTATAACTTACTTCATCTGTGACACTCGTTGTATAAACACTAATCAGTTGCATATGTGGCACCCACATTGCAACAAGGATTATAATTGCAACTTCTTTATCATATTAGGTAAACACATCACATGCAGTACCCACGTTTTTATATCATATACAACACCGATAACAGTGTCATTCATATAACAATACATATGGGACGCTCGTGTGTCATATGCTTACTCATGTGATGTCCCAAAACAAATATTTTCAAAGATATCTTGTGCGCACAATACATACCGATTCAAGGGCAGTGAATGTAATGTAGCTCTGGCTACATTGTGTATCTGTGTTCCCATTTTCCCATATAGTTCAGCAGACGCCTGCTTAGTGAAAGAGGGTGTTTGGTGCGCGATGGAACTTAGTGGGCAATCAGCATGTTGTATAATATATCCATGAGGCTGAATGTGTCCTGCATCTGTGAGAATACTGGCTGCAACATTCTGCACAGCGTTGCACAGTGCCCTTGCGGGATGATTCTGTTACCAGGAGACATTTTGGTGTCCCCTTGGCAACCTGGAATGTAGTGAAGTGTTTTCCAAACCAGTCCTCAAAACTCACCAACACTCCATGTTTTGTCAGTATCTCTTTTGGAATAAAACAGGGAAATACATAAATCCTGAATCGTTGGTGGGCTATGAGGACTGGTTTGGGAACCACCGATGTAGGGTGTTTCAGGGTCCGGGTTAAACAGGACCACATGAAGAAAAAGAGAAAAGGTCTCCATATTAGAAATATTGAGCTTTAGAAAAAAACAATTGCAATTTAAAAAGAGAATCGTTTTGAAGGTTCACTCTAAGCACCATAACAGCCTTGCATCATTGTAAAAGTTACAGTGCACATTGTCTCTCTTCTGAGAGTGGTGTGACACCGCAAAAGGAGTTTCTGCTTTGTAGATGCACCAGTTTTGTCCAACTTGTGAGTGCAGTATACTCATACATCACGCACAGGTAAAAAGGAGCTCTCTTTCTTCCTTGGAAGCTGTGTATAAACTGATAATCGCCATATTGCTGCTTTATATTTATTCAGCAATTCCAGTTATCCTATGTGAGCGATAAACTACTTATCCCCTTATTAGGAAAGAGTTTATAGGATAAGATCAGACCTACGAGGCCAGAATGAGAGGTTATATTAAAAAATAAGTGGTCTGTGTTTTCCCTTTTACTCTATTACTGAGCTATTACATAGCTTGTTCAGACTGATGCTCAGTTAAGATGAATTTGACATTTGCTTGCTGGGCAGTCCAGCGGGGCAAAATTCAGTGCAGTGGATTAGTGAGTTAACTGCTTGCTGAGCTAAATACTTCGAGAGTGTAAGCAGTGTGTTCGATCTCCCTTCGTAACAGGCCACTCTTACTGCCCACTTCCTCCACATTTTTATGCAGAGACATGTGTATTGTACATCTATAGCTAAACTGACTTAGTAGTTTTAATTAATATTCCAGTAGAAATCACGATATTAATGCCAATACTTATTTTAAAAATGGATACCGAAGAACTTTATTAAACATAATGCAGCCCTGACGTGATTTTGTTTGTGGCATATTTTAAGGCAGCGTTCTGCACTCCAGATGTTGTGGGCTACATCTCCCATACTGTTCTTACAGCCCTAATGCTAACAATGCAGTCCACAACATCTGGATTGCCCACCCAGAGACGGCTCTCTAATTAGGCGATTTAGGTGGCCGCGAGGCTTAGACTGACCTGTTGGGTCCTAGGTCTGTGACCGAGGGCCCGGTGGCTTGCTCTGTATTCCACCGGGTGCGAGGCCCCTTCATGCAGTCTGCTCTGAGAGTGAGTCCATTGCCGCCCGTCTGTCAGGTGCAGAGCTGCAGACTGAAGTGTCTCCCAATCTCCAGGCAATCAGAGCATTGCTGCGGGTTATCATGGCAACACTCTGACTGGGTCAGTCATAAAACGCAGCTTTGCCTTAAACACAGTGCACAAAGGCCACTGGCAGCCCCATTTACACAAAACACTGCAAGCAGTAACCCCACACATACAGTCCCAGACACAAACATACATATGCTCACAGAAACATAGATTAACCTACAAGGATGCTCACTGTCAGACACACTCTCAGGCACATACACAGGTAGACAGTGCAAAACACACTCAGAAATACACACAGCCAAATATATACACATTGTGACTGTATGTCTGTATTAGTCAATATTTTTGTCTCTGTGCATCAGTGTGTTGTGTGTGTGGGAATGAGCATGTATCATTGTGTATAAGTATTTGTGTATATATATATATATATGTGCATGTATTAGTGTGTGTTTGTGTGTCTACATCTGCAATGTAAAGGTGATGTTGTATGGGCAATGCAAATGTAAAATGGCAAGTGATATATATTATACACATACATATACAATACTTGGGGAAACATATATATGTAAAGGATTTTAGAATATGTGGGGAAAATGTCTATGACACTGTTTTCTTATTTGTACCTTTATTATTATTTGGTAAATTATTTTTTAAAAGCCCAAACCAAAGTTTTACACCGGCACTTATGTATATATGACTGCCAGGCTATACAACTATACCCTGCAATCGTGTATGAACACTTAGAATAATTGCAAATTAAATGTGTTTATTGCAAATTATGCCATAACTACAGTCAGAGAGCTTACAACGCAGTGGCACAGGGAGCCGCGACAGTGCAAGCCTCTGAACGATGAATACAGAGACTAGCCCTCTATATCCAACGCTGGTAGGCCGCCCTTCAATATATCTGCAGCTCTTTATACACACACATATGGCAATTGTTCACAATTTTATTGTTCACTAATGGTGTAAGTGGCGACCTCATGCTTGAGTTTTTGCCTAAGGCCTCGCAAAGTCTAGAGCCGCCACTGTTCCTAACCCTTCCTTAAGGTGACTTGTGACTTCTGGTGGAAAAACCACATAAAAGTCTATTTTATTGCTGATCAGCCGACTTTAATTCTGGTTACTGGGTCTTTTGTTGTACAATATGACACTGTTTTGTTTTAATGTCCAAATAGTTTAGCCTATATTTGTCTAGAATGTATACAACTAGTAGTCTGTCACTGATGCACACAATTCTGGAACATTTGCCAAAGGATTCCACGGAGCTCCACTGGCCCAAGGAATGTATATCCTACTAGTTCTGTATTCAGAGCCAGAAAATGCTACTAATTTTTTAATATATGACTGCTTATCTGTATACATCCTATTAAATAATAATTATTATAAACACTTTGAAAGACAAATATGTCGGTAATGTTTAGTATAGATGTGTAAATCACAAAAGCTGACTGTTCCTTTGTAAATATGAAATGAATTTTGTGCTGCCCTTGATGTATGCTTTGTAGCTCTGTGATATCCTGTAGTAAATATGATCATGCACACTACATAGCTGTGTTGTAAACGTGTACATTTCTGATCCGAGGGGTACACAACAATGAAGAACTACTGCTTTAAAAAAAATAAAAAATAAATACACCCACATATACAGACGCAGTTATTTTCAACATATTGTACTTCTACCAATGACCGTATATTTTTTCCATTCTACATTGTCACACGTAAAACACACATTACATTTTGGCTGAGACAGTTAATAAATATAGATTTGAGGTTGTTGAAAAAATAAAAACATTAGAAACAACATTTTAGTCATTCGAGATCAACAATAAAAAAAAAAAAAAAATTTTTAATCCACAGTTTCTTCTGAATGCTTCGTCTGTTAGTGACCACACATTTCCTGTCGTCTACTAGGGTTATGTCATGTTGCCCATTTCCCAGCACAGCATTTTCGCTAAACGTTTTGTTTTCTGTCGTGAAAGCGTTTATATTTTCCCACTGCTTTTATCCAGTGCAATCCTTTACTGACTTTTTTTTTTTGTAATTGTCCAAAACCATATGTTGGCTTTCTTGATAGAACTAAAGTGTCCAGCGTAATGAAAAATACACCATTGCAGTCATTTTATACCAGGAGTCAGTTGTGGACTTGAATTTCAGTTTGTCTTGGTTTTATGCATAGATTCTACCTGCAGTGAATAAAAAAAAAAAACATGGTTTAGTTTGATTGCACTTGGCTGCTTTAAAAAAAGTGCCTAAGAATCATGGCAAATATAGTTAGCAAACATTTGCAGTGCCAAAACAACTTTTAAATCTGATCTAATTGTTTAATTTTAAACCTTCGGGGTTTATGCAATGAATGTAAGCAAAAAAAGGAAAATTCTAGTTTTCTTAAGACTGCATGATGCCCATACTAAACCTTACTATCCTGTATCTATATTCAAAGACCGATTTAGGGAATAAAAAACAAGATACATCCAGTCAGCTTAGTCCAATACCAATAACAATAATTGTTGCATTCAAAACATTAACACACTCCTTATTTACAATACAATTCAGACCTGACTCTTGGTGACCTGTATTATGTTGTGTAATAGGAGACGTAGGGTATTCTAGTCCCAAGCTTTTTATTTTGGTTTTCATTCTTTTAAACCAAAAAGATACAATATTTAATTTAAAGGGACACTATAGTCACCCAGACCACTTCAGCTCAATGGCTACCCTGGTGTAGAGAGGGTATCAGCCGTTAGGGACGTCCTTTTCTTCCTGGCAGTCGCTGTGTAGTGATGGAGTCGCCTATTCCCTTCTGCTGGATCATGAGTGGAAACCAGGTGCAGCTCTGAAAAGAGCTAAGTGATTAAGCTGCAGAGATTCCCCTTTCAAGAACGAGACAAGGCTACGTTTTGAAGGGTCAAGAAGAACTGAGGTTTAATGACACACACTCTGCTTTTATGAGATTCTGCCCATGCAAGGTAGACACCCACATAATTAGCAGAGTAACCAATCCATGCAATATACATTTGGTAACTTCCCTCCCCTCAGATAACCACATAACATAATTAAAAAGGAACAGTTTTTCCCCAAAGTTTGGATGTACCCCAAATACTTGGGGTACAGACATAAATTTGGTATCCCCAGATAGCCCATAGTTCAGGTACCAACATATGAAAAAATCAACTCAATCGGTTCAGCCGTTCGGGAGATATGGGACTTAGAAGATTTGACCGACTGCACGGGTACAGTAGCCGAAAACAGTTTCATGAATGCTGGCCCTGCAGTCGGTCTAAGAACGTGGGTAAAAACACCCGAACGGCATGCCATCCTGGGTTCGCTGAAATCCCCATCTGCTGTTAATCCTTTCTACCGAACGCCCGGTCGTTCGGTAGATTTGGTGATATTTTCCCGAACGTATGGAGGTCTCAGCGGTGTTCGCCTGTTTGAGTGTCCGATTTTAGTTCCAGACAATCATCGGCAAACACCGCTGTTCGGGAGTTAAAATGGCCGCGAACATGTGTAAGTCCCGAAATGGCGGCTGAGCTTACAGTTCCCATAGCGTTCGTGCGGTTCATTCGAATACAATGCCCATCAACCAGGGAGGTAAATTGGCCCTAATTAACAGTCAGGGTGGCCTGTTAAGGCAGGTAAGCATTCGCATGGTGAATGCTTACAAAATTACCGAACGGCTGTATAATCCATTTGTCCTTTTGTAGGCATACTGGGCTTGTTGTTACAGTCTGGTTGCCAGGTCCCTCCAGGTTTTAACCCTTCACGTGTAAACATAGCAGTTTTAGAGAAACTGCTATGTTTACATAGCAGGGTTAATCCAACCTCTAGTGGCTGTCTTCCTGACAGCTGCTAGAGGCGCATCTGCGATGCTGGATGTAAAATTTGCATCCAACGTGCAGAACGTCCACAGGAAAGCATTGAGAAATGCTTTCCTATGGATTGTTTAAATGCGTGCACATTCCGCTCCACTCGGGAGCAGACGTGGGTGGGGTAGGAGAGGTCACCAGCGCTGAGGGAGCCCGGTGCTGAATTAAAGGGAAACTCCAGTGCCAGGAAAACAATCCGTTTTCCTGGCACTGCAGGTCCCCTCTCCCTCCCACCCACCAATCCCCGGTTGCTGAAGGGGTGAAAACCCCTTCAGTAACTTACCAGAGACAGCGACGATGTCCCACATCGCTGCTTCTTCCTCCGCGCCGTTCCTCCCTGTGAATGTGTCGGCCGGTGGACGAGACTGATCCCGCCCACCAGCCGGGGAGACCTAATGCCGCACAAGCGCATTAGCACTCCCCATAGGAAAGCATTGAAAATGCTTTTCAATGCTTTCCTATGGGGAAATGAGCGACGCTGGAGATCCTCACACAGCGTGAGGACGTCCAGCGACGCTCTAGCACAGGATTTCTGTGCTATAATCCAGGAAGTGCCCTCTAGTAGACAGCCACTAGAGGTGGAGTTAACCCTGCAAGGTAATTATTGCAGTTTATAAAAAACTGCAATAATTACACTTTCAGGGATAAGAGTAGTGGGAGTTGGCACCCAGACCACTCCAATGGGCAGAAGTAGTCTGGGTGACTGGAGTGTCCCTTTAAGGTAAGTAGCTGAAAGGGTTTTAACAAACGGGTTTGTTTTCCTGACACTATAGTGATCCTTTAAACTAAGCTTTGATTTTTGGAGCTGATATAATTTCTTTGAGCGCAGTGATAACTAAAGTAGAGCACCATCACTATTGCAGCCTACTGTGAACACCAACAGCTGATGGTGGTGACAAGTATTGGCCTCCTTAAAAGGACACAATAGGCTGGAACTGAGTCCAACTCACTTTAGTGCATCATGTAGATTATACCTTAAAATAATGCAAAAATCAAAATATAGATTAGAGCGTGTGTAATGTTGGTGAGATGTGTTGGCTGTGTGTAATGTGTGTGTTTTTTGGCTGTACTGTGTGTGAATGTAGTTTGTGCTTGCTGTCTGTGTGTGGTGTGTGGTTTGTGTAATGTGTGTGGATGTAGTGTGAGTAAAGTGTACTCTGTTTTGCCTCCGCTTCATGCAGAAATCTTAGCAGGAGAAGGCAAAACAGAGCACACATTATACACTGGACCTCCACACACACTTTGTGTGCTGTGGTCCCTGGTGGTTCTTTTGTGGCTTAAATCTCTGGTGGTCAAGAGGAACATGTGGTCTACAGTGGGTGCAAACCACATTAATAATGCCTTTGCAGTCTGATGTGTCGTTGAGTCAGCCCACAGTGGCCGGTATCCCCAGCTTTCACTCTTGACTTACTAGTGAACATCGTAACGCAAAGAAGTGATTCCTTTGGCATGCACCCACCAGAGGTGCAGATAGCATACTCCCATCCCCTGCTCAAGGCAGCTCTGCTGCTGCATCTAGCCTGTGGCATGTCTAAATGCCCAGAATAATCTGTCTGCTTGGTACCCTGAACTTCATGTCTGCAAAATTCCACAACCCCGGCCAGTGCTTAGAATAACCCCCCTAATATCATATTATCTTAAGAGCAGTAACTTTAGGTTCCCCAACACACTTTTGTTACAGTGAATCTAAATTTAGATATTAGGGCTCAGTACCAATTTATAGCCATCTGATGACATAATTAACGAGACACTTGTGACAGTGAAGGATGTTTTCATGGCAATACATGTAATTCTTACATATTAGCAGAGGTAATCATCTATTGCTTCCTCTTAAAACATACAATTTAACTTGAAAGTTGTGTGGATCTCTTCATAACCCCGGAAAAACAATACATAACTAGAAGAGAAGCCAGGAGAATCAAAGATTCTTGCTCCGCATATTGTAAACCAATAACAATCATAATGACTGGGGTGTCCATTACTCCTACCTGAGCCCCAGGTCCTCCCACAATTCAACAGACTATTCTATTACATAGATCAAAGCTCTTTGTATATATCTAATGGATTAGACTTTGTGCTAACATGCAAATATAACCTTTAAATGCATTCAGTACTTTTATTCAAGTGCAAACACAGAGTAATCACACCATACAAGAACTTGTACAGCCATCTGGATTTTCACAAAAATCAGAAAAACTACATCACAAATATAAAAGAAATGGGAAAAAAACTAGCTTTATATTAAGTGTTATTGCTTACAGTGTTTGGAGTGTTCCACTAGTAAAAGAAATAGTATGTTGTCCTCCTATGCTATGTTTATAAGGAATTAGTAGATAAAATAATGCTAAGATGATGATGTATTTTGCTTCTTACCTCCACGCTATGTATTTTGTGTATTTTGAAGGTTCTATTTTTCTTATCATGTTTGAGCTAGATTCACTGCATTATTTCCTGGCAAACATTGATGGGACTGGATGCTGGACTGCCTCTCGTTCTCATTTGTTGGCTCGCAGTTTGTTCCCATATTCTCAAAGATCCTCTTCAGCTTCCGCCAACTTTCTCGCATAGCCTTTCTATATTTCCTTTGGCAAGAAAGCACATGTCAGAAAACCCTTTAAAAATATCTAAAAAACTTGTAAAATATTTGTTATAATGTGCCTAGCTTTTATTTTATGATGAACTAAAGAGTGTCCAACTTAAAAAATCCTTGCTGTGAGCGCTAGTGGACATGCAATTGACTGGTCGTCACTTTACCACTGTAATAGTTAAAGGGATACTCTAAGCACCAAAACAACTTTTGCTTAATTAATTGGTTTTGGTGTATAAATCATGTCCCTGCAGTCTCACAGCTCAAGTCTGCCATTTAGGAGTTAAATAACTTTTGTTTCTGTTTTATGCAGCCCTAGCCACAACTCCCCTGGCTGTGACTCACACAGCCGACGTAAAATAAACTGTTAGTTTTAGATCAGATCTTACAACACAGGGTGTTTACTTTAGAAGTTATCTCCTGTTCTGCTAATTTTTTTCTTGTGCTTCTTAAGCATGTTGTTTAAAACCTTATCTTCCAGTGACCCCAGTTTCCATAGGTTTGGCAACAAATTCTACAAAACACCGCCATCAGACGCTTTCCATTATCAAAAAGTTTGTAGTGAGGAATGTAGCTACTTTGGACAATGTATTAATATAAATTATAAGACTCCCCAACTAGTCAGTGTGTTGGAGACATCAGTAAAAGATAGGGGCAGTGTTGCCTTTATCAATGATAATGTATTCATTGGTTTAACAAGCTGAGCAAATATACGCTTCTTAATATTTAGCAGGTTAACATATTGCTAAGTATTTATTCACGTATTCAATAACCAGAAATAGTAAAGACTTGACAAGGGAGATTGGTTGTAGTCTCCATTCTCACTTGTACGTTCTGTTTTTCAATTTCTGAAGTTTCTTTTTTTTTTTTTTAAATGGTATGCCAGAGAGGCAATGTAGGTTATTACAAAATCTAAATAATAAGGTTATATTTTAGGCTACTAATAGTTCTTACCTTTGGGCCAAAGCATTGATCCAGGGGTTTAAGCCGGGCATCAGAATTGCAAGCCAAATGGAAAACATTTTTGCACCCGCTGGAACAATGTTCGGGTGAAAGATTTCATAGAAACTAATTGTTACAAATGGGACCCAGCAAACCAAGAGGTAGACTAGAATAAAACAGATACGTAGTTAGCAAAACTTTGCTTACCAGGATAAATGAAAGAGATAAAACAAGTGTGCAGCATTTTCTTAGATGTGGTTAATTCAGAGGATAGGAGCAAAAGGTGTGCTTTCACAGTTTACCAAGAAGTCAAAGAGTTCATCAGAAAAACAACACTCAATTAACTTTATAACTTTTCTGGTGTTTGTCACTATAATCTGTGAAGTGTGGACAACTGACAAGGTAATTTAGGCCGAATTTGCCGAGCTTAAAAAAAGCAATTGGAAACATTTTACAATTTTGCTGTTTTGGGCTCAAATTCCTTTGTCAATCGTTCACCAATCCTGATTTTGGTGAATGAGAATTGGTAATTCTATTGAAATCTCTTTGCAATTGTTTCTCAATTACTCAACTCACTCTTTGACTCCAGAGTTGGCAATGTACACATTACAGGGCAATCTCTTGGGTGCTGTATCTGGGAAATAAGAAATTATTACCACGTCATTTTGAGTTGTTTAAGTTAAGAGTGTTAAAATTCACCCATCTTCTCGGATGTTGCTGGATTAGAACTCACAGTTTAGAGCATTATAAGAGATGCAACCCAGACAATGACCTGAACGATATGTTTAAAGTTTAATTAAACCTGTTTATAATTTTCATACTTGACTCATGCGATGTCTAGTTTTATTTACGCTCACACCCAGCTCAGTGCTATGATGCTTTATTCTGCATGATCCAAGGCGCATGTGTACAAAACATTATTTGAGACTATCAGGGTTATAAACCAAATTGAGAATTGTTGTAAATTCAAAGTGAATTCAAATGAGAATTTAGAATTTAAGGCACGAACCACTGAAATGGGCTAATTCTCTAAATCAGTTTTCCTTCTATTTTGGCATTAAATTTGCAATTCTTGCCAATTCTCAGTTTACAAAATAACCTATATGTGTGCTAGAAAAAAGTATGCACATTTCTGATAGTAAAGGGACCCTCCAGACACCATAGTAACATATGCTCCTTGCTTATGTTAAAGTTCAAGGATGTCCCCTGTCCCCATCTCCCTGCGAGCAGTTACTTATAACTGCATTGTTTTGCTAAAATAACCTAGAAGCCAAGTGTTTCATCAACAAATATCACAAGCGGAAGGAGTGCTTACCACTGTCTGTCCAAAAATGTGTAGACTTTATTCATTTCAACACCCTGTTCGTACTTCTTTCACAACTCACTGGGAAGAATCTGACTTTGTGGTGCGTTATCACATCTATAGTTCTATTTACATAATTGTGAACCTGCTGTAATTAAAGCACCTTTTAAAGAAACCCAGACCATTTCTTCTCAATGCAGTAGTTTTAACCCTGCAATGTAAAGCATGACCGTTAAGTAAATACGGCACTGCTTACATTGAAGGGTTAAATATGCTGGTAGTCTTCCAAACAAACACTAGGGGGCGCTTCTTCTGTTAGAGCTGAGTCAAACTCGTTTCTCACAGCTAACCTCCAATAGGTGCACAGCACTGCCATGCATGCACTTATTAACAGCATTGGATTGGACATTTAGAAGCGTTGGTGGACTTGATCTTGACGCTGGAAAAAAAAGTAAGTAATACCTTTCTTTTTCCCAGTTTTTATTTAAATTTAGGGAAAGGGGCTCGGAATGTAAGTAAAGAGGGGAGGACACTATAGCGTTAGGAATATAGGTTCGTATTCCACTCTAGTGTTCCTTTAACATAAGCAATGGTTTCACAGGTGAGCTTCTTAAGGCCATCTTAGAAGCTATTCCTTCTACACAAAGTCATTGGGGATAAAGAATATCTGGGGATTGCCAAAGCTTAATATTTTCCTGCTCTGGAATTAATTAACCGCATTTTAAGCTTTGTGGGAATACATGTCATTTAAGATTTATGTTTTAATTATGCTTTTTATATGGTACATGAGAACGGAAATAGTTGCTTATTTAGTTAAAAGATTCCAGTTAAAAGAATATTTATATATAAGCAATTGTTGTGGTAGAATGGCAATAAAAAATCGGAATATTTTTAACTGTGTTGAATTTAATGAGAAACTATTTGCCAAAAATAAGACGCACATAACTATTCTAAGATGTTCAGTATTTCATGCCTCCAGCAATGATGTTATAGCATTCTGGACCGCACAGAATATTACTTGCCTAACAGACCTTATCAGACCTGGCTAGAATTTTTTTAATCGTGAGTTACAAGTAAGCTGACCAACGTTCCCTATTCTGCTTCTAAGATCCTTTTTTGACAAACATAAATAGAAAGAAAAACTTCAGAAGATGTTGTAACAATTCTCTACTAAAATGCCACCTCTGCTTCTCGGAAATATACATTTCCCTGTGCCCTCTTAATTTATAGCATTGATGAAGTTATATGGAAACTCCCTATACACCCCTATTAATTCCTATGTGTCCTCCTAATTCTGAGTCCTGGTTAGCTACTCCCACCCTACTGTTTTCTGTTTTATTGCAAGCATCCTTGAATTTGTTTGCTTTGGAGAACACATCTCGTGGCTCACATTTGGTTCTTCTACCTGCTCTAGAAATCAAATGGTGGAGAACTCGTGCACAATAGTGGGACCACTTGGAGGATTGAAGATATTTGTTATTTTCTGACTTCCTTACCTCTTGAGTCAGTAGCTCTTAATATTGTGATCTTATTGAACTCCATTAATGTGTGTACTGCGCAGGCACAAATGCATATATATTTCCAGAGTGTTCTGCTAAATTGAGAATTCAAAGAGAATTTCAAATTTAAAGAACACTATAGTCACCTAAATTACTTTAGCTAAATAAAGCAGTTTTAGTGTATAGATCATTCCCCTGCAATTTCACTGCTCAATTCACTGTCATTTAGGAGTTAAATCACTTTGTTTCTGTTTATGCAGCCCTAGCCACACCTCCCCTGGCTATGATTGACAGAGCCTGCATGAAAATAAAAACTGGTTTCACTTTCAAACAGATGTAATTTACCTTAAATAATTGTATCTCAATCTCTAAATTGAACTTTAATCACATACAGGAGGCTCTTGCAAGGTCTAGCAAGCTATTAGCATAGCAGGGGATAAGAAAATATTAATTAAACAGAACTTGCAATAAAGAAAGCCTAAATAGGGCTCTCTTTACAGGAAGTATTTATGGAAGGCTGTGCAAGTCACATGCAGGGAGGTGTGACTAGGGTTCATAAACAAAGGGATTTAACTCATAAATGGCAGAGGATTGAGCAGTGAGGCTGCAGGGGCATGTTCTATACACCAAAACTGCTTAATTAAGCTAAAGTTGTTCAGGTGACTATAGTGTCCCTTTAAGCTAAAAAAAATAAAAATCTCCACTATGCTTCCATTTCAGCTACTCTGACCTCACATTTGGAACTCACTTTGGAATTCTCACCTTAGTAAATAACCCTGTCTGTCTTTCTACTTGGTGTGTTGTGACAGTAAGACGTAGACATTTGGTTTTGGTGTTAAGAGAGCCCCTTTAACTGTGTGGAATTGTGTTGTCTTCCTGGCAGGAGAGCAGAAAACAATTTGAAATACTTACAGGCAGAAACTGTTAGAATGACTGTATTCTTAAAATATGATCGAATGGGTACATAGTAACAGTGCTGATCATTGCACATAAAGGTTCCTCTCCTCGCTTGTTGCCTGGCAATACGAATGATGGCCAGGTAGAGCACACTGATGACCGTAATTGGAACAATAATTCCCACACTTAGTAGCAACACGCTGTAAACGATCGTGGATCGGTGGAAATGTGGGAGGCAAATGTAGACATCTTTGTTATAACTGTACTTTCCAAATCCAATGAATGGCAAAAGAGCTATTGCCACTGAATAAATCCAAAGGAGCGCTAGGATAATCCCAATCCTTCTTTTGGTTACAAGTTGAGTGTAACGCAGTGGAAAACGGATTTCTGTAAATTTGTCAACAGTTGCCCACACCAAGGAGTTTATTGATGCCAAATGGAGCAATACAAACAGGAAACCTAATAGGTGACAGGGTGTGCCATTTTCTGCAAATATTCCACCTCCGAACAAGCTGCTGTATACAGCTACAGGAATTACACTTATTCCAAAAATCATGTCACAAATGCTAAGGTTCAGAGAAAGGGCCCAGGTGTCCGTACGCAATTTCAGGTGGGACGTAAATAACAGGAGTAGAAGGAGGTTGGCGCCAACAGTACCAACCGCAGTGGCAGCCATTATCGTGGCATACAATGTCAAAATCTCTTTCATCTTTGACCTTGAGGTTCTTATCGTTTTCTCTGTATCATATTTTTGGCCTATAACTCTTAGTCACCATCCCACCTCTTGTCTGTAAAAAATTAAAAAATTAGTTAAACCATATAGTGTCTGTAATCTGTTTGGAAAACACCTTAAGTAAACAAGTTATTTTTCTGGAAGTTTAGCGATAAGTCCTATATTATATGGTTTGAGTGCATTACAATTGTCTGTAATAAATCAGTAGTGATCAGGCAATTGTAAATAGGGTGTTATGCAGCACTCTCGATCGTATTCATTAATTTAGAAATTCTCAGAATTCTTCAAATTGCACATTGTAGGTCAAAATAGCTGTGATTAAAATATGTCAGCGTTCAAGACTTTCAGATTTGCCTGTTTAGACCAACAATTCTCATGTCAACTCACTGTGATTCCTTGTTTCGTGAATTCTTTAGAACCTTTTTTAGAAAAATATGTTTTTGGAGTTGTAGTAGCTCAACAGGTGACAGTCATACCTGTAACAGAGTACTAAGCAGTTGTGTCTACTATTTGTCCCACATGTGTGTATTTATTTTTAGAAAGCATAACTGTTATGGTTAAAATCTTGAAATTAGTCATTGTCAGCTGACTCCAACATTGATCCCCACATCAATGACCCTCAGTCATGTAGTAAATAAGTCACGGAATCTTTATTCTTATTAAGGTGCCTCTCTTCTAGCCACCAAGGGATGACTTGGCGAATTGCGACTACCAGCAAGTATGGCAAAGACTTGTTAATAGTCAAAATGTTGCCAGATCCCCGTTGGTGGCTGGATTGAATGCACGTTAAAATAAAATATTCTGCAAGTTTTTTGCTGCTTGACTTTAACCTTATCTTTAATCTTTATCTTTAGCCTTATCTTTTTATAGTTTAACATTTGTTTAAGGTAGCTTGTAATAATATCTACTTCACAATCAAGCTTGCTCATTCTTTTTTTTAAGCTGTGAAACATTAACACATAATACCCTATTCCTTTTCATTTGACAGCAACATAAACAATCTCATTGATCCATGAAAAAGTTACACAACCTAATCCTATTTCAGCCAGAAATAGCTTAGTTTAAAAGACACCCTGTGTCTAGCATTATTTAAACGGTTCCTGAAGTCTGTCACCACTAATAGATACAGCATTAACGTATAGACGTGTTGCCTTGCAAAACGTAGCTTTAGTTCACGATTCTGATCAATTGATCTACTTTCTAACGTTCTCCAGCAGGTTAATGATTTGAAAACCAGATCTCAGAATATCCCAAAGTATTCACAATTCTTTTTGGAGTAAGATACTCACGTTCTAAACTCCCTTTTCTCTCTGAGCCAGTTTATATTTTTGCTTTCTGTCTCTGGGTCTTTCAAAGTTTTGTCTTAAGTGTATTTTTTTTTTTTTTTTGGTTAAGCTATATTAACCTCAAACTTAAAACTTCAACACGAATGTAAAAAAAAAAAAAATTACGTAATTTCCCCTTTTTTTTTTTTTTTTTTAATGCATGTGAAATTGAGAACATCAGAAGTATAGCAAAGGACTATGCTTCTGAAATTTTGTGGTATTTAAAAAAAGAAAAGGGAATTGGGTATTCGGATGTTTGTTAATGGCAGGGAAGTATGTGTGGAACTAATAATTGTAATAAGGTAGGTGTGAAGCTAGCTAACGCATTTAAAAAAAAATAATAATTCACCGTTAACATTCTTTTGTCTGTCTGAAGAACTTTGTGAATGGGTGGGATTCGTTAGCGTTGAAATATTCCCTGGCATAGGAAAAATGCCCTTGTTTCTTTCTAATTAAAGGAGAATTTTTTACAAAATACAGAATATTCTATCTACTTCAGATAATGGTATGTAAAAAAAACTTACGTGTAAGCCAGCTGCTGTCCCTTGTGTGTCGGAGTTGATCAATGAAGATTTGTGCTTTTAAAAAGGGAACAGCTGAAGAGATTGCTCTGGTTTTTGGATACTGAAGACTGTCTTTTGTGTGTGGACAGTTGTGTAGTGGACGTCTATGGATCAGCAATCATATGATATGCAGCATCCTGTTTTATCCAGAGTCTGCTAGCTGACTGATGCACACAAGTGTGTAAACCCTGGAGACGCAAACTCAAACAAAGTATTCGTAATCGTTTTCCTTTTTTTTTTTTGTTCTGTATTTTTTATTGCTGCTGTCCATCTTACAGCTAATTTCCTCGCTGTTGTATTCTGGAGATAATCATGTATATAGCATCAGTTGCAGTGATTTTAATCTCACCTGATGTTTTCTTAGAGTAATTATAAGTGATGTATCTCTGTTTAATTCTAACTCTGTTTAATTAGAGGAGGATTTGATGCAGTTATAAACAGAAGGATTCTCTTAACTCCCAGCCGTGTACTGATAATGAGTGAATGAAATAAAGATAAGAGACACCTTAATGGATTTTGTGTGAAATTGGGAATTTGATTGAATGTCGGTGTGCACAATATTATACAATTTCTTATTAAATAAAATGTAAATAATACAACATACAGAATTATAATGCATAGCATTAAAAATAGTAAGTAATAAACAAGCCAGTTGTAAATATATGAATTATAAATTCACTAGGACTTATTGTTTTTCCTTATTGAGAGGCTGATTTACTCGGGCACATGTTCCTAGCAGAAGCATTCAACATTTGCCTCGTTGCTGTATTATTGCACGCCGGTTCTTAGTAAATTATTGCTGCCTCATTTGAAAATTAAAATATTTAAAGGATATTTCTGAAAAAAGAGAAAAGGCTGTTTTTTTTATTGTTTTTTAAATAAAAATTTCAGTGTGTTAATGCTGGGAAATATATCCTTATTGTATTTTCACATTTTTGTGTGTCACGATTCCCTTTTTGTCCTTTTGAATTTCCTGGATCCTTCATCCCCCAGTTTGTAGAATGAAGGAGAAGCTAAAATTAAAGGGAAACCATAGTGCCAAGAAAACCAGCTTGTTTTCCTGGCACTGTAGCTTCCCCTTCTGTCAAGGTCCACCCCTGTGGTGCAGAAGGGGTTAATAACCCCTTTTGCCACTTACCTGGGCCCAATTCCAATGTCCTTCGGTGCTGGCTAGGTTCCGCCCACTCTCCTCCCCCTCCGACATCCGCTAGTGGGAGAGACCAAATGCACGGCAATGGCCGCATTCGCATTAGGATTCCCTTATATATACAATGCTTTCCTATTGTGATTCTGGTGATGCTTGAAGTCCTTATGCAGAGCGTGAGGGCGTCCGACATCACTTAAACAACCGGAAGTCCCTCTAGTGGCGGTCTGGTAGACAGCCACTAGAGGGGGAGTATTATTACTTATATAGTGCCAGCAAAATGGTTTATAAAAATAAGATGATGGGAGTTGGCACCCAGACCACTTCAATGGGCTGAAGTGGTCTGGGTGCCTACGGTGTCCCTTTAAGCAGTGGTATGGAGAAACACACACAAGTGAGAGAGCTATAGACAAATAAAAAAGGTAAGGGTGCGCCTAAGATGTATAGTAAACCATATACAAAGTATAAAATATAACAATTATATAAAATTTAAAATTGTAAGATAAGTGAGATAATAGTCCAAAACACTTATCGAAAGTTCGTAATAGCAGGTTCTCCTTGTAGAGACAGCAATCTTAGGATGTCAGACGGAGTTGAAACTTCACAGTAGTATGCTTGGATCCAGTGAGGTATATATAAAAGGAAAGCAGAAAATAGAAACTCCAATGGTACAGTATATCAATCAAAATATAAACTTTGAAATAGTGCAAATGGTCCTACTCACACTTTATGGAGCTAGAACTTAGCTCCAATTTATGCGCATGAAGTGGAATAATCCCCACTCACGGATATGTAGAGTAGTGTTTGATTGGAGGATTTCTAGCCCACGTTCGGCGTTCCAATTGATTTAACCCAAAAATGAGAGAATACAAATATAGTGCTCTCTCTGGATTCTTTAAATTTCTCCTGTGGGGGCTGGGAATCCAGGGACCAACATTCAGTGAAGTGTTCTGGGTGCAGTGCCTCTGTACTCTTAACTATTACAGAGCATGATACGCGTGCGTTTTACAGTGGTTCTCAAGTGAGAGAGCTACTTGTGCCCCTTTTTTTGTCATCCTACCCAACGTCTGAATTTCTGTCTCCATTTCACCCCCATTTGTAACCTATTTCACCCCACTTGTAATCCTCTTTATTCACCGACCCCTACTTTTTTACCTCTATCCCCAGATTTGCATGTCTACTTGTGTGTCTATCCTAATCCACATGTTTGTGTCCTTTGTCATACTTTACTTGTGTCTGTCTTTCTTGTACCCCTTTTTCTTTATGTCTGTGTACCGTGAACTTGTGCAGGGGCCACAGCAGCAAAATTATGTCAGACTCCACACAGAGAAATGTCAAGCAAAAAAATCTTACCCAAAAATCATATAATTTCTTAAATCTTATATGGACATCAGAGGGTCAAGGGGACAACTAACCAGCCTGACCCATTTAATTTATTAGCTGATCCTTAAAGAGTCCTGTTAGAGTGTCTAGTTCCTATTCCCTCTGTTTTCTAGAGTACTTACTACTTTTTTTTTCCTTTAAAGTATATGTAGCCAAATCCTAATACCATCTCAAACATAAATGTTTTTGGCTCAAAGGCCTACTTGATTAAGCTCTCTACTAACAGTATGCAGACTGTGTCACAATGTGTCCCAATATTACAGACAACAATATTAAAGCAAAAATTACAATAGGGAATAGATCTCAAATGGTGTATAAGAACATAGGCTTTCCACTTGTGATTCATATTTTACTTAACATTTTGGTGTCAAAGCTATATTACCCAGAAAATATCATTGCACTTGAGGCCTCTAATATGGTATTTTTAAAGTGACATTTTCAATGTCCTTGCCATGAATTTGGAAACATGGTATGGTTTGGATTTTGTGCAGGTAAATGGATATTCTGATCCTTTTTTGACACGTTAATATCCACTAAAGCAAGTTCTTAATGTGCTGAATTTTTACTAGCTACATTTGTAGATGATTTGTGTCTGTCTATTTTGTTTTGTTCCGTCCCATAGATGGAATGAACATTGGTTACCAGTGTAATAGAATATTCACTTGACATGAGCTTAGTTATCTTTTTGCCATGGTTGACATAATTTTAAGAAACGCACATATGTTCTGTGTGTTCTGTACATATATTTAAATTCGGCACCAGATGTTTGTGTGAGAACCTTTTAATATGTGTGGTGGTACCGGTGTGAGGATATTGAATATGTGATGTGGTGCCTGTGTGAAGATATTGAATACATGACCTGGTGCCTGTGTGAGGAGGTTGAATATGTGGCATGGTGCCTGTGTGAGGATATTGAATATGTGACCTGGTGCCTATGTCAGGATATTGAATATGTGACCTGGTGCCTGTGGGAGGATGTTGAATATGTGACCTGGTGCCTGTGGGAGGATGTTGAATATGTGATGTGGTGCCTGTGGGAGGATGTTGAATATGTGGTGTGGTGCCTGTGTGGGTATATTGAATATGTGGCCTGGTGCCTATGTCAGGATATTGAATATGTGACCTGATGCCTATGTGATGATGTTAAATATGTAACGTTGTGTCTGTCAGAGGATGTTGTATATGTTTAGTGCGGTATGAGTGAGAAAGTAGAATATGTAGCATGTTGAATGTGTGTATGGTGAGATCTGTATTTGTATATAACTGGTCCTAACGAAAGTTCCTAATTGGAGCTGAAATGCTTAGAAATAGTTTTTCGTGATTGAAAAAAAATAGGAAATTATTTTAAGTTCTAGAGTGCTGGGAGTTAATTGGAATATATATATAATTCTATATTTTTCATATATGCACACACACTGCAAAAATGAAAAAAATAATGAACAATGATGGTGAGGGATTCTCAACCTGGACAAAACGTTGTCTCTGCTTCTTTTTTTTTTTCACACAATATTTATTCTCAAGATTGTGACAGATCTGTGTCCTTATTCAAAAATTTGTGACGCTTATAGCTATATTTACCAATATGTGGCAATCCTTGGCAAGTTGAAATTGTTTTAATACTCTTAGCAGAGTTTCTTTACTTGTCATTTACTGTAATTAATGCTCCTTTTTCCCACCTTGACATTTCAGCACAATGCTCCCATCCCACAAGGGGGACGAGGTGCAATCCAATTTGTGACTCAGTATCAACACTCGAGTGGACAGAAACGGATCCGCGTAACCACAATCGCAAGAAAGTAAGAATCTTGTTGCTTAGTGGCAAACATGATGAGTGAGCTAATAGCGTGATCACTTTCTCGACATGTAAAATGTTGATATTAAAACATACTCTTGCAGTTATCCGACCAATCAGGGTTGGGGTTATTATGGCAGCTATTAAAGAATAAAGTCAATGGCAAATAAAGTTCCCCTCTACCTCTTCAATCCTGTGTTTTAGACCAGGAATGGCGAATTAATGGGGCTTTTCATTTCTCACAGTAACATAACCTGCTGTGAGCCGCATGACCTTTATACACAACAGGTTACAACATGCCTGGCCTACTCCCTTGCTGAGTATTCTCAGTTGAGTAATTAGCACGTTATTTAATTAGTAATCACAGAGTCTAATTGTAAAAAAATTCAGCTAACTCACAAATGTCCACAACTGCTATACTCATGGTCCGTTCTGCAAAAAATGCTCACCCTTTTGTAATTATAGGCAGTCAACGCAGTATGATCAGAGGTTAGTGACTGCTTACTGTTAAAGTAGCGTTTTACATTTAAATTACATAGGTATAAATCGTAGATTATGTTAACGTAGTGTACCTATAATTTTAATTTTAGTAATGACAGTAGGCGAATATTTGTATAAACGTTCTTTACTTTAAACTCAAGCAGCACAGATCAATCAAAAAGTTAAATCAATCCGAATCAGGAATCATTACTACATATAGCTCTGTGGTGCTTGCCTCTTCCTCTTTCTTTGAAGCGAAGTAATAGTCCAATGAACAAGTGCAACAATAAAAACTCAAATAACGATGTGGATCCAATGTAACCCCAAGGACCGCTTGAACAGTAAGGATGTAATGGACAGATCCAATTTATAATGCCAATTTTCACACTGAAAAGAACAGAAAGAAGTGAAAGGCAGCGAAATGACAGTAGTTTATCAATACTATTATTGAGGATAAAATAACGACCGCGTAGCGTTAACCAAACGGTAAGACCGACCCAACAAAAAAAATAAGAGAGGAATTTCAACACGAAGGAGACAGGGGCTGTAAAGGAATCTGAATCCCTCTCCATACACTAGATAGACCATTTGTTCCAGGCTGCCATGTAGCATCGTAAAGTGCCTGGTGCTCACAAATCCCGTAGGAGGTCCTTAATCATCTGCGATAGTCCATCGACATCCCAAGATCCTGAAATCGCCCAAGCCACGAGATGGAGCCGGTATAGCAGAATGAGTGGGTGCATCTCCCTTTGCAGGTTGGATAAGAGGAGCGGGAAGTCTGGCAGCATCAGTGGATGCTCTTATGAGAATTTTAATAGGTCCAGGAACCAAACCTTGCTCGGCCAGAGCGGAGTGATCAGCAGGAGCAATGTTTGGTGTGTCCATATCTTGTGCAGGACCCTCGCCAACATGGAGAAGTGTGAGAACGCGTAGGCCTCTTGGTTCAGCCACTTCTGAAGAAATGCGTCCACTACCTCGCATTCCGGGTCCAGGAGCCACCTGAAGAATCTGGGAAGTTGTCGGTTTGTCCATGAAGCAAAGAGTCTATCCATAGAGGACCCCTGTGCCGTGCCAAAGTCTTGAAGACCTCCAAATTCAGTCACTGTTGCCCCTCCAGTGGCGGGAGTACCAATCCGCCGTGAGGTTGCAGGTCCCTGGAAGGTATTCCGCTCTTAATGTGATATTCTTGGAGAGACAAAAGGTGTAAATGTCTTTGGTTGCCTCTGAGAGTGCCTGAGTTTGAGCTCTGCCCATGATTGATATACTGCACTGCTAAAATGTTGTCCATGCGCTGCTGTATACAACATGTACAACATCCGACATGTACTTGGCCAAGCTGTGGATGGCAAAGGAGCCTGTTATCGCTTCCAAGCAGTTCATGTGCATCTCTGACTCCTCGTGTAGCCATGGGCCCCCTGTGGAGGAGTCTGTGTAGTGTCCTCCCCAGCCCCAGAGACTGGCGTCTGATTCCACCACGAAATCTGGTGAAGGATCGAAAATGGCTTTCCCATTCCAGACTTGCATATAGAGGAGCCACCAATGGGGTTCTGTGCACACCTCTGCGTTGATCGGTATCAGCTGATCGTATAAATACCCTGCTCGCAAAAAGTTTGCCTTTAGTCGTTGCATGGCTCTGTAGTGGAGGGAACCTGGGTATATTGCCTGAATGGAAACGGACAGTAGACCCACTACTCGGGCCAGGAGTCGAAGTGGGATGAGTTCTAGTCACAGGATTTTCAGAATTTCCCATAGGATGGAAGCAATCTTCGACAAAGGGAGACGTAGTAGAGATGTCATGGAGTCGATCTCGAACCCCAGGAATTGAACAACTTGAGACAGTTTAAGAGCCGACTTCTCCCGATTCATCACGAATCCCAGCGATTCGAGAAAGTCCATGATATGTCGTCTGAGATACTAGTTGTGGGGCCGAGTTGCAGAAGATCAGCAAACCGTCTAGGTAAATCAAGTTCTATACTCCCGGAGATCGTAGACGCGCCATGACGAGTTTCAGTAGTTTCGTGAAACACCAGTGGGCCGAACTTGGTGGCCATGTTCATGTGCTGGAGATCCATCCATACATAGGAGGGCTGCATTGGTGTTGCCTAGGAGGCATACGCACCATTGTGCCTTTTCACAGCGTGGTCGCCGTGCGGAGGAGAGGACATAGATTAGCATCTGTGCAGGCAGACCAGCCTGATGGGGATTTCCCTGTTAGTAAAATCGGAGTATGCCCAATAGGCGTTACGCCAACCACCACGACACTCACACAGGTGATAAGTCAATCGAAGAGTGTGAGGGTTCACCCTTCACTGCCAGTCGTGGAGAGTGGCTAATATGTCAGGGATTGACACCCTGAAGTAGGGGGAGGCGCTGGAAGCCTCCAGTAGTGCAGGGGTTAACCCTGTGTGTCCCCTGTGGGGAGGTACAAGGTAATCGGAACTAGTTCGTCCAATGTAATAGTAGGGGCTCCCAATAAGGGTTTATGGTACTTAGTAATGTCCTGGCCACCTTAGTTCAACTAACACGGGCCAGTGCGAACGGCGGAATAAAATCACCCGATATCACTGACATCCAGCCAACTCACCCCCCCACTTCTCTGCCCCACAGTAGAAACCTGTACAAATGTGTAAAAACTGAGCCAGCAAAACCACCCCGCGCGCGGTTGAACCGGCTGCGTGGTGAAGTGGCAGACAGGCAGGGGTAGAGAGTCCATTAGATACAGGGTTTTAGCAGGAGCAGGGACAGTGGGGAAAGTGAGAGTAACACAAGAAACATAGATATAACAGTGACAATCAAATAAAATGGTGTGATTCAGTGTTTAGCAACAAATAGAAGATTCAATTATCTGACCTCTACTCTAGCAGGAGCAGCAAAGAAAGAGGAAGAGCAAGCACCACAGAATTCTATGTAGAAATTATTCTTGATTCTGATTGGTTTAACTTTTTGATTGATCTGTGCTGCTGGATCTTAAAGTAAAGAAGGTTTATGCAAATATGAAGCCTCCTATCATGTGGTAGAAATACGTATCTGTCAGACTGAAACTTGTCTACTTGACAGTCAAGGATATTGTTTTGATTTGTCTGGGTCTAACGATCTTAAAGTATATATAGAGTCAAATTAATATGTTATTTTGTATCATTCATTATGCTTATTATTTAGAATGCTGCTACAGCCATATGCGGCACTATGACCTCCAATAGTGGTTATGGTGTAGAGAATGTTTTGATATTTGTGTGTTAGAAACTCAAACCTCATCGTCCAATTCAAATAAGGAAGTTGCGATTCTTCACATCCTTTTAAGCAGCTTTGTTTAGAAGTGATAACACTGATTGCAGAGGATTTTAGGATTTTATAGGCAGCTGGCAAAAGGCTACTTTTTTCTATTTTCTAATTTTTTTTAATTAAATCTAAAATATTTCGATATGGTTATTTACAGAATACAATTATAATCTGATCGAGGCGGACAGCTAACAACCGGAAAATTCAGAAAAATACACTTTTACATTACGGTTCATTATAGGGCTTTTTTCCTGCACTAACCAAGATGATAGCTACATTAGTGGTTTGTAGAATATCTTCAAACTACTTTATAAAATAAAACCTTTCGCGGATTATGTGCATTATTTTCAAAGGAAAGAAAATGATACTCTTAAAACGGCTTAATATTTACAGAATCAGTTGCTTGTATCTCGGAATACAATTTAGAGTGCAGCTGCTCAAAACCAAATTGAATTATTTAGAACATTGTAACGGGGACAGAAAATAAATCGTACAGTAAAAAATTGGCTTTGGAAGCAAAGTATTTTTATGAATGCGCTACATCTTTGTGGAGAGATGCAAATATGGTCCTCGCATTAGCCGGCAAAGCGCAACCAGATAACCACGCTTAAAACCCACAGTGAGTCTGTGGCCATTAGTGATACAATGTGTATTTCATTGTGTCCCCAGGGCTTATTGCAAAGTTACTTACTTTGATTTAGCCCTGCAGTGAAATGGAGATGTGGTCACTTTACAGCGTATCAAAAATTATTTCAAATTATTATCTTTACAAACAAACATAAGGGAGCAGTTTGTATGTGTGCATAGTTGTCAGTCTGTCTATCATATGTGTATGTACATAAAAACACACGCATGCTAGGATGAGCTAGAATAGGATATTGTGGTCATTGCACTTACACAGCTATTCATAGCTTGCAAGTGGCAGATTTTGTGTTATTGCAACAGGCTTAAAGGGCCAAGTAAAAGTAAGGGTTTCATTGCATACAACCGATGACAAACTGTCAAACAAGAAGTAATTTTAAAGTTTTGTTTTCCTTTTCTATTTCCCACAGCTGGGCTGATGCTCAGACACAGATACAAAACATCGCTGCATCTTTCGATCAGGAAGCCGCTGCAATCCTTATGGCCAGGCTGGCTGTGTATAGGGCTGAAACCGAGGAAGGTCCCGACGTCCTAAGGTGGCTGGACAGGCAGCTGATTCGACTAGTAAGGCTGAAACAGGATTTAAAGACTTTGATGTTGAAGGAAACATGCATGTTTATTTAAACGAACACTCCAAGTTCCATAACCATTACTGTGTGCTTGTAGTAGTTATGGTGACAGCAGTGCCCTAGCGCACAAATCTCAGCTAGGAGCTCTCTTTGCTAAGCAGTGCAGGGCTTAGCTCATTGGCTAAGAGCGATCAGCTGATGCTTTTTGGCACTGAGCTTGCACAGCTGTGTACTCTGCCTGTCCCTGTGATAAATAATTTAAGAATAGACATAGGACTTTCTCACATGTGCACCAAATCATGGAAGATACAGCCTACATGCATATCCGGCAGCTGATCGCTTACTGATCTGCAGTTATTTAGCCTCTGCTTGATGTTCCTATTACTCTCCAAGACTTGTGTGTAAAAAGCAGAGCCTGGTTAAGGTTGCTTAGGGCCCCAACGCTCCCTCAACAAAGTCAGGGAGTGCAAGACCATGCTGCTGGTCAAGGAGAGCCCACTCAGAGTTGCAGCCGTGTGAGCCTGACACTTTTACGGCCGCCTTTGTCACCTAATGGGTAATCCAGCTCTGATAAAAAGGGACAACTTATTGGTAACTTTCTGGGTGTACTCTCATTATGCATATTGTGGGTGTCGTGATTTAAAGCAGTAAGCAGCTTCGTATTGTGAGTATTTCATGAATATATATATTTCCTGTTTTATATCATATGATCCCCATTATGGAGCAGGGATGATATTGGCTGGCTACAAAAATCATATAGAAGGCCACTCAGAAAAACACCTAAAAATAGAAAATATGACCAAATGAGCAACTTTTGAAAATTCAACCCTGGCGAGTGTGCCATGGATCCTCTAGGCCTGTAAATTTTAGACCTAGCTGGTAGAATACGATATGGAATTTTGAGCCCTTTGTTAATAAATACAGATAAAAATACACGTCTAACACTAATAAATATAGGTACATAAAATGTGTTTCGTTATTATCTCTCTAAAACTAATAAAATAATCATATATTTTTATAATCCAACATCAACTTGGATTAGAAAAATCAAAGGTATGTTACTTTCCAAATGAGATAAGAGGGTGTGATGGAAAACCTGAGAATAGATAAATGGATGGTCCTGAACTTTAAATAAAGTTAAACTAAGATAACACTTGAAATATTTTGTAGGATAAAAGAGAACCACATCAAGCATGGTGCAGAGCAGTTGGTTGAGAATTTTTTTTTAATTGTTGTTGAATTCCCCCCCCCCAACACCCCCCACATTGATGGGCAGATAGTGAAGTGCTCCTGTACAAAAATTTTCACTGTGAAAAAAGGAAGCACTTTTCATACCCAGCACATCTGAGTCGAAAATAAAATCAACATTATAACAAAAGAAAAATGCAATCTTTTAGCAAACTGCTGAGTGGTGCATGCTGCCATGCCAATGCAGTGGTCTTCAGTATGACAACTTTTCACGCCCTGACCAGCAACAAGCATAATTCTTTTTTTCAGATACAGCACTGTAGGTCTGCACATTGCAGTGTAGAATGTGCCAGGACAGCACTTTTCATGTGTTGTCCAACAGTTGTTTTACACAATAAAGCTACTAGACAAAACAAACATATGCTGCTGCCCAGTATTGGAAAAAGCATATTTGCCAGGGCAGCTCTTTTCATGTGCTGCCCATCTGTGTTAAATAAGCTATAATGCAGGTAATTTAAAAAAAATCTAAACGAATTCGAGGTGTCATCCAAGAATCCTGCAGCTTCACATAATATGCAGCCACAAGCATTTTACCTCGACGTGACTTGCCTAGGTGCAATTTATACACATCCTTCTAAAGTGGGAGAGTCGAAAATGTTTGACTTCACTTTAGACAAATGTATCCAACACAGAATGTAGAAGATCTTTATTTCATAGGTGTATTCCTAACATTCACGCCCCCCATCAGGGCATGGAAGCCTAAGCTGTGTTAAGGGGTCCGGTACAGCATAGCATATATTAGGCGGGGGTTATATATTTCTTTGAGTATAATTGTATGGGAGAGAGTGTGTCTGGGTGAGTGCACCCATGTATGGGAAAGTCTATGTTTCAGTGAGCTTATCATGGTATGCATGTTTGAGAATTTGTGCATGGCAGGGCCCACAGTGTGGTTCTTTAAAGGACCCGGCAATTTCTATCGGGAGCTCTTCTAACACTGGAGATACAGCTACATTTTATGTGTTAGAGCTACAGTTAGTACTGAACTAGTGCCAAGTTATAGATAATGCAATTCTAGGCATCATATCCATTTCAACTCATTGAAGTGGTTATGGTGTCCAGATTCCCTGGGCTCTGTCTCCTGATTCTTTGTTAAACAATGTCTGTACAGTTAAAGGGTGAATCATGATCGCTGAGCACCCACAGCCTTACCACCAGTTTATACCAGGTATAGCAGAGAGTTTTCACCTGATGCTCTCAGCCTTTCAGTGACCGGGACCGGAATGGGGGGCAGCAGAGACCCTGATTTACTTTTAAAATGATCAGAAATGTTTTACCAGTGAAATAGGATATGATGCCTGGGAACTCTAGGCACCATAACCTCTTTAATGAGTTGTAAAAAAATATTCAAATATAATCCAGATTCATAGAATACATACATTACTGATGTGATTTAGAGTGGGTATTTATTTATTTTTTTACTTTTTTTATTTGTGTGTTTGTGTATATTTGGGGACAAAGCATATGTAGTGTATATGTGAGCCCAATGCTATATGATGGAAGGCTATGTGATCTGTGTTGCAACAGGTCATCTGAGTCAATGCTGTAGTCTGGCATGTACAGTTCACATAGAGTACTCCAACATTCAGTCATTGACTTAGAGAACTAGCAGCGTCACTATAAGTCACAGTGACGATCGCCGGGACTTTGAGTAAGGATTCACAGTAAGCTTTATCGAACAGAGGTAGATATCACATGCTCCATCACTATGGTGATGGGCCCCGGGGCCAGTCAGGGTGATATTTTTGTCTACCTGCCAGTCCATGTACTCACGGAGCCCCTTAAATGCTGGTACTCCAATCAACTGTCTAATTAACTGTGTGTATATACATAGTGCCCTGTGCGTTTGTAGTAACATTGATCATTTCAAATTGTTAATACCACATTATCAACACAGCTGACATGGCGAAGGTTCCTAAGCACTGAGAAGACCCTGTTATTAAACAATTGGTATTAAATTGAAAAATGGTTACCAATTGAACCTGCTCGCTGTAGGGTTATATCTCTTAGAATGTCCCTCAAAGCTCTTGGGCCACTTGTAGTCAAAAGGTAGATCTCCAAATCTTCTGGAAATCAGCTACAATTGATAGCAGTAAGGGCATCGGAGCACAGTGGGGGACTGTAGTTCTGCAGTAGCAGGACATCTACAATTTAGATACCTCTTATTACATAATTTTGTGCATCTTTGGCGCCTATCAATCTCCATCCTCCAGCAGAGTGACTCAGAATACTTTTGGAAGATAAAAGTTACACATCATAAAGGGGGCTGAGGTGGGACAGACCACGTATAAAGGGGATTATGACAAACACGCATTATCACCTGACATGTACCGTATGATTTTTTAAATTTAATTTTGATTACGTGTGCACTAAAAACATTTTGTGTATTGCTTTATTTCTAGTGTCAGAAGTTTGGAGAATACCATAAAGATGACCCCAACTCCTTCCGGTTTTCAGAGACTTTCTCCCTCTATCCACAAGTATGTAACAGACATAACTTTATCTAATGTTACCAAAGATATAAGGGAAAAAACAATCAGTGCTTGTGTTGCATGCTCTGAATCCCATCTCCATGACATGTGCAAGAGCAGAAAACAAGCGGCCTTTGTACTCATTGTTTTCATTGCAATTTATATAAAGTACACAAGGAAATTGGCATATATGTGTCCACTAAATTATTGATTGAGACATGTTTAGTTTAACCCCTGCACCCTTTTCTTGTGCCAACTGCCATAACAGTTTATTTCAAAGTATCCGAAGAATGGCACAATGCCAATTTTCCATGTGCCCTGATACTATTATGACATACTGAAGTCCTTTCTAATAGTTAACCTAATCAATACATTTGTACTATAAATTGGAAGAAAAAAAGTCTTCCCAGAAAATCCAACATTCAGATCCAACAGTATAAAAGTATATAAATCATGTTACCACTGTGCCACAGGGACATAAATAGAATATTAAAAGACAAACATGTATAGGGCCATGTTCAAACAACTTCTCTAATGTAGAGATGGCCCTAACCTGCTGTTCAGCTAGATCAGTTATTCAGAATGTATTTTGTATTTGTTCAGAAATTATCTTACTAGAATACATTGAGATTTCTTGTGTACACATATGTCCTGAGGCATGCAAACAGCACGTCTGCTTGCGGAGTTGCACACTTAACACACACAGAACACAGATTGACATTAACAGTTTTTAAAAGTTTGGTTTGCTTGGAATGAATCATTTTCAGAACTTGCTGGCTTATGGACTATTAGGTCTATATTCGGTAGGTTATTCCACGTTTATTCACCTCTGTATTGATTGATTGGAGAGTAAGAAGCTAGCGCTATGGAGAGATCCAAGTCTATTGTGTGCCCTAAACAATTGTTTCAATCGGTGGTTGTATTTTTCTTTCTTTCTTTTTATTTATTTATTTATTTATTTATTTATTGGGTATAATGCTTATGTGACATACAGTTTTCCATCGTTTGTTCCTGTAGAGTGCATAATATTGTCCCATTCCAGCTGTCTGTCTGGCTCTCCGCACATGTTCCCTACTGATTTCCCATCAGAGCCATTCCTTAGAAGTGAACAGCGATAAGATAATTGTTTTGTGATTTTTATCTTCCAGTTTATGTTCCATTTGAGGAGATCTCCATTCCTGCAAGTTTTTAACAACAGCCCTGATGAAAGTTCCTATTACAGACATCACTTCATGCGGCAAGATCTTACCCAGTCCTTAATAATGATACAGCCAATACTTTACTCGTACTCTTTCAGCGGACCCCCAGAGGTATGGAGTTATGAAATCAAACTGATTAACAAAAAATTGCTTCATTATTACCGTTTTTTTCTACATGGGGGTAGGACGCGGCAGTGAACAGTGTGCCTACCCTTTAGAGATTTTGCTGGGTGATAAGAGGGCCATTTCATCCATGAATGTGGTGAAATTGCACGGCATATTAAGAATGGCTAAAATAATGAATGAATACCTATCAGTACATATATATATATATCATAAGTGAATCTGTTTGTGTACATAGATTTATATATACACATTGTTGCCTTGCCTTGTTGTGTATAATTATTGTCAGATCCTTTTCTTTTAATGATATTCCCAGCTCTCCCAGAATAAGATGCACGTTTATTTTTTGACCCAAATAGCATATCTTTACATTAAATCTCATCTTCCACCTACCTGCCCTTTTCGGTAATTTATTTGTATCTCTTTATAGACAGTTACGTATCATCCTGACAAAATATGTCATTGCATTTGCCTTTTAAAAAAAATAAATTATAATAATTAATTGTATGTATTTAAATGCTAAAAGGTGTGTGTCCTATTTCCTTGCCAATGCCTTATAATTTGGGGCTGGTATTATATATCGGAAGACTGGCTACATGCTATGAAGTTTTTTACCCTCACCTAACCCTGTGCTCCGAAATGATTTCAAAGCATTGAGAGATGCTGTTAAATATTTACTTCCCGAAGCGGCTAACATTTTACGGATACCAAAACCACTAATGCTGTATTTAATGAACCAGGACATTGCTTTCCTGTAATGTTAATTGCTGCAATTATTAACCTCTGGCACAGCAGGGGCCGTCTGTGGCATTTCCAGGTGCCATTTCTTTGTTTACCCTGAGCATGTTGAAGCTGCAAGAGAATTCTAAAACTGCAGTATTCTAAATAGCGACAGCTACACTTTTATTGGGTAGTTTGCAAACAGAAATTAATGTTTGGCGTTGATCTAATCAACAAGTCCTGAAACACAGAAAGTCCTCTTGCAAGCTGTGTGTAATTAATTCTTCTTAAGCTGAACGTGTTCTCATTCGTAGGAAAGCGCCTGCTATTCAGATGGTATAGACACAAAACAGAAGGATGGGAATATTAGAGCTTTCAGTTTCTCTTTACACATTGTAGTATTTATTGTTCAGTATTTCTCTTTTTTTTGTTTTCTCTGTTATTTTAATTATTTGCCATGTTTAGGTTATGACCACCTGGCATAAAAATGTAAATTGCACTCTCAATAAGTAACGGTCATACTAGCTTAGATCACCAGATATGTCATCCCCAAAGCCAATCAAACCATGACTCTACCTTTAAACACACTAAGGCTTTTACCCGGTTCTGTACATGCATGTATACATAATAGATGTGGTTCTTTGTTTTTCAGCCAGTGTTGCTGGACAGTAGCAGTATTTTGCCTGACAGGATCCTTCTGATGGACACATTTTTCCAAATCCTCATTTACCATGGAGAGGTGAGTCTGGGAGTACGCAGAGAAGAACGGTGAAAAGAAGTTGATGAACGGTGTAGGAAAAAATGTCTCTCCCCGCTTTCTTTTTTTCCCTATGTCTTTTCCCAGCCTCCCTTTCTCCTCTAATCCAACCAGAAGCAGGTAGAAGAAGCAGCTTAAGACAGAATACGTAGACCCAGGGTTGAGTCAGACTGTGGTTTGGAGATGGAGGGTGGCACATTCACATTTGCAGCATTTAAAACTGAAACCCTTAGATCTGCATCTTCATGTAGTACATAATGGATACTATGTATGTAAATACTCTTACAGTTAACACTAACTATCCCCCTGCGCTCTTTTAACCCTATTTGTTCCTTAATTGCCCATAATATCTCTAAAGTGGTTGGCTTTGTCACTGCTGTGGTCTTCTTGGCCCAGTGTGGCCCTGGATCTTATCCCTTTTTTTGGTTTCAGCTGTCTATTGTGTGGCATCCTGATGGCATTCTTGTGGTAATGACTTACCGCTGCAAGAGAATTATAAACATAAAGTGGTGCATCACGATGGTCAGCTGAGACATCACACAATGGACAGTGGGAGCTAGAAGATAGATACATTCAAGGCCATACTGGGACACAGAAACCACAGGCCGTCACTTGTAAACCACATGATTTATATACCAGGACTATTGTTAAACTGCTCACTAGTTCTCCGTGTCCTCTCAGGGCTTCTTATATTGCTGTGAACTGAACAACATGGGCCGTATATTTCACCATGGCATTAAACACACTTTATTCAGCAAACTTTACTGGCTTACTTACTGATAAAATAAAAACCAAAAAAGTTCATTGTGTCCTTCTTTCCTTATGATTTGCATTTTGTTTTCTCAAATCTAGACCATAGCACAGTGGAGAAAAGCAGGCTACCAGGAGATGCCAGAATATGAAAATTTCCGCCACTTGCTGCAAGCCCCGGTGGACGACGGGCAGGAAATCCTTCATTCCCGTTTCCCAATGCCTCGCTATGTAGATACTGAGCACGGAGGCAGCCAGGTAAATGCAAAAACTGTGCAAATACTTTGAATGTCTGTGAAACATGCATAGATATATCTATCTGGGGGGACATTTTTACATTTACAAAAATCTTTTTGCTTATTGCAGATAGCCAGATGTTCTAACTATAGAATTCACAGTTTTGTGTAAACTAATGTCACATTACTTATTAGAAGGGATTGTCGACAATAGGAAATATACACCCTTCATGAATATGAAACCCTTCAAGCAAGCAGATGTTGCGATTGTTTATATCTTCTTTTTTGCTATTGCATGCTACAACTGACAGGCAAAGTATTTCCACGAGGCTGAGTTCTCCTATTATAATTATTATTAGCATTTATATATAGGAACAACATAATGCTCAGTGCTTTACAATTATAGAATGGGAATGTTTGACAACAAGTAATTCACATACAAAATATTGACAGACACAAGAATTAAGGCAGACCCTGCTCAAACGTGCTTACAATGTATTAGAACAAATTGATATGTTCTTAAATAGTGTGTTCTCGGTGACTTCTGTTCATAACTCTGTCATTTATGCCGCTTATTGAGAAAAGTTCTCTCCTTACTGGGTACCCTCACGACTAGACATTTATTGCCTAATCCATGGTGCTTTGAGTACTAAAGTTAAGGGGAGAACCCAAATCCTGAATGTAATATGCAGTGTAACAATGTATAGGTAGGAGTAATTTAAAGGAACACAAAGGGCACCAGAACAACTTCATTGAAATGAGGTTGTTATTTTTTCCCGGAAGTACCTGACACTGGCTTTAGGGTTCACTTCCATGAGCGTTTTATCCCCACATTCTCCTCTCCAGCGCCAGCTCTGCCCCGTCTAACTTCTGTTTGCTGAAAATCTTGAAAATGGAATACGACTCTCTCAGCCAATCAGTAACTCCCCATTCATAAAAACAGCTTGAGAAACGTATATCATTTTTTCACTGCATTTTGTAAATGGGCTTCCGCTTGCAAGCTTTTTTTAGAAAGCAGGTGCTGGAGTGGGCATAGCAATCTGGCGTTGGAGAGGAGACTGTGCTATTAAAATGTTTGTGAACTGTTTAACCACTGAAGGTAAGCCCGTCCCAGCATAATAGTTTTGTTTCGATGCAGTAGTTATGGTGCAGAGAGTGTTCCTTTAAGATTCATACTGTGTAAAGAATTTTAGTTGGAACACAAGCTGTAGAGCATGTGCAAAGATATAATATTTGAGGAGTATCTCTAGACTCAAGTCTAGTGGGTTAGATTGCTGTTCACATCTAGATTCAGAACAAAAGTGTGAAAGTCTTTGGTTCTTCCTAAAGAGGTATTACCCGCTACCCTGCAGCGCTTCCTCTGTTTTCTGTTAGAGGAACTACGTTAAGGCTTTTATTTCTGTGTTATTTAAAGGGACACTATAGTCACCAGAACAACTACAGCTTAATGTAATTGTTCTGGTGAGTATAATAGTTCCCTTCAGGCTTTTTTCATGTAAACACTAAGTTTTCAGAGAAAAGGCAGTGTTTAAATTGCCTCTAGGGAAACCTCCAAGTGGCCACTCCTTAGATGGCCAATGGAGGTACTTCCTGGATCAGTGCTGCCAAAAAAGCAGCCCTGATGTTCAGTGCCCCCACGCTCTGCATGGTGACGCTGAATTTTCCTCATAGAGATGCATTGGTTCAATGCATCTCTATGAGGAGGTCCAGGTTGGCCAAAACGGCATTTGGCCCACCCCCATGCCGATTTTAGCCAATCCAATGCTTTCCCCAGGGGAAAGCATTGGATTGGCTAAAAATCGGCCATTTCAATTATGTCACAAAGGGGGGCGGAGCCAGCACTGGCAGTCCTGCGTGGTGCTGGAAATAAGGTGAGTTTTAAACTTTTATAGGAGGGCTAAGGGGGGGGGGGGAAGCCACCTTAATGGTGGGTTAAACCCTATAGGATCAGGAATACATGTTTGTGTTCCTGACCCTATAGTGTTCCTCCTTTTTTTTTTTTTTATACAAGCTAATGCATTTTCTTTGGGACACAGCATAGATATCTAGCAGATAGGTGCATGATATTTTAAATATCAATCATTGCGCATCTACTATAATATTAATGGTATGTATGTTTCACCCTAACAATCATCAATGAGCACATTAATTATGCATCATTAATGCTAGCATAAATCATTATGCTCTGCAAGAAGAATATATAAGTACCCAGATAATTGATATACTGGCAGACAGATTTAATACAATGTTAAATGTATACAGTATACATATATAGCTATGTACTCATTCCTATGTGTGTTTTTCAGGCTCGCTTTCTGCTGTCTAAAGTGAATCCATCCCAGACCCACAACAACATGTATGGCTGGGGACAGGTCAGTTTTGTCCTGCGTGTTAAAATAACAAAAAAAATCTATATGTTTGTTTGCTAGTGTAGCAATGTCAGTGTGTGTATAATGATCCTTTCTTTAAAGATATGTTCTACAATGATAGGTTTATATTTTGGATGTTGTTGGTTGCTTTAAGTATGCATCTGTGGCTCTTTTTGGAGATTTTGAAGGCTAGCCTCAAGGATTTAAGGTCTACATTAACAGTCCAATCCAGATGGTTGAGTGAATAATAATTTACCAGGTCTAATACTTGTTGCTTTTCATTCATCATGTGGTTGGCATTAGTCCCATGCCAAAAGATCATTTATTGCAGAAACGTTAAGGGTGATAGAGTTTCCACCAACATTCTAATAATCAGTCTCAAGTCGTGAAGCTTTTTTTTAATGTTGTCACCCTTAATGCTCTGATATTATTACAGATATAACAGAACATTTCACTAAAGTGGATGTTGGCTAGAACATTTTTCTAAATAGCTGCTAATTCTGGAATGTGGGTTCAGGATCATTATGTCCTGAATGTTACAGTGCCAACATGTATCAACACTTCTGCTCTGTTATTGGTTCCCTGCTTGGCATTGATTTACTTAAGACGTTGTCAATGTTTCTTTCAAAGTAAAGGATTGTCCGAGTGACTTGACATCACTGAAAAAATCACATGCTTGGCCTTGAACTGCTATGATTTGACAAACTATCAGATTAAGAAAAACTTCTTCAAAGACATATATAAACATGGGAAGGTAGTGACTGTTTGTTTTTACATGTAGATGTTGTTAAAGCAATGTTGTTAATCAGTTTAATTTTATTACTGAATTCCACAGTTTGACTATGACTTCTGCAATGGCTTTACATCTTTGCATTTTATAGTAGTGTGATTATAATCCTGATTCTCTTTCAAACAGGAGTCTGGATCTCCGATACTTACAGATGATGTCAGTCTACAGGTTTTCATGGATCATTTAAAGAAACTGGCTGTTTCCAGCGCTGCCTAAAAAAAACGAAACTTCTAATTCCCTTCCTTGGGAAAGTTATTGATTCGTATTCAGATATCTTTGTATGGGTCCTGAATGCTGAAAAAAATGACTGCTCCTCCATCTACTCTTCTTCCTCAACAGAACAACATGTCTGTGACGATGAACAATTTCTAAGAGCGAACTGAACAAAAGAAAAATGTGAATTTAACACACACACTTTGGAGTACACTTAGTACTTCAAGCTGCGAAAAGTAGACTGTATTTTGCAGCTGTAGCCCAAGATGTCCGTATAGATAATATTTTGAGTAATTAAGTAAGAAGGGAAATAGCTAAAATATTCAGCGTCAAGGTAAATATACACTAAAAACAAAACACTACATTAGCAATTTTCCAACAGATGGCATCTGCAGCATATTGCTGTACAATATGATAAAGCGTTGGATTTGCAACCCCCGCGCCCCCACCATATGCGCTGCCCTTTCTTACATCAGAGTTATCCTTTCCTCTGTGTTTTTTTTACACATTTGCTCGTAAGTTGCTCAACAATGCTTTGAAATGTTAGTCAGTATTCTACATTGTTGATTCTATATATTTTTGCATGCATTATTTTTCTGGTTTGTTTTGTTGTGTTTTTTTTTTTTTTCGTTGCATTTTATTTCCTCAACTCATTCTTATAATTAAGGATTTGAAAGACACCAATTATGGCTTATGTCTTGCGTGTAGTGTTTTTGCTGGGTAGCCAGAGGCTTTATTTAAAGGGGTATATTTCTACAATATTTCTTTAGTCCAGAAAGACCCAGAAAAGTTTACATTTTCATGTTTTAGCCCATTACTTGCTGCCTAGTTAGAATAAGAAATATTATATATATCTATATATCCACTGCTTAATTTCACTTTGTACAAGTTAAAAAATTTTTAAATAAACTTGTCCGCTAATCATCACAACAAACATAGCATACAATGCAAGGTGATGTTTTAAACCAAAGTTGATTTTGATGGTTTGTAGTCGTGAGCATTACATTTTGCCAATGGTTGGCAAGGGATTTAACAGATTTAGAGATTTTATAAAATAGTCTCTTCAGTTTACACCTGTTATAATGACATCATATAAACAGTGAAATGCTTATTTTCTGTCTTATTCAATCGTTTGAATAAAATGACTGATATCCTCTTGGTGCCTTTATTTTATAGTCTGTATGATTTATTTCATTTACGCCTAGGTCTTTTTGTGATGTACTTTATATGTCAAACCAGTTTCTGTAGGATGACACATTTCGAGTGCCAAGAGAATGTATAACCTTCTTTATATGGGACCAATTTACAGGTTATGGTTTTGGTGTCAATTTGTCATCCAATGTAATAACCCACTGGGGTTGTGTTTGGTCCTGGAACTCCATTATAAGCACGATCCTCAGAGATCCTGAGAGTGAGAACAGGAATCTATTGGGTTGGTGATGGCCAGGGGACTTTTAAAGGAACACTATAGGGTCAGGAACAAAAAAATATTTATGATCCTGTAGTGTTAAAACCACAATCTAGCCCCCCTGGCCCCCTCTTGCCTCCTTAAATATAGTAAAATCTTACTCAGGGCTGGTGCAAAGATTTCTGCCGTCCTAGGCAAAGATCCATTTTGCCGCCCCCCTCATGTCACTGACACACACACAGACACTTACTGACAGACACACACACACACACACTGACAGACACACACACATACACAGACAGACACTCACTGACAGACACACACTCACACACAGTCAGGATTACTAATTTATCCAGCACGCAGAATGGTATCACACCAAGAACTAAAAGGTAACATGTTACTGGGCCTTAGAATGGACGGACTTAATGTACCAAAGAATAGTCAGGATACTTGCAGAGGTCAGAGACACGGAATGGGACACAACAACGAGGGAAAACCAATAGTAAAGGATACCAGAAATCAGGGAAGTCAGAACAAAGCCAAAGTCAAATACCAAAATATCAAGATCAGGAACGCACTCTCGGATTTCAATCAGGCAGAAACCACGACAGGGAAATGAGAGAGTGTAAAACTTAGTTTAAATAACCCTCCTGTTATTCCGATTGATAGTGACCGACCTTTGGCCCCAAAACGTGCATGCGCACGTAACAAAGGGTAACAAATCAGCCCAGTTATACTGAGTACTCTTCACAAAGCAGCGTAAATACAGCTCAAGCGATTGGTTAGCCCTTTCAGCCATACGATTGGTCTGGGGATGGTAAGCAGAGGAAAAAGACAAGTTAATGCCCAACTGTTTACTGAATGCCCCCAAAACCTTGATACAAATTGGCAACCCCTATCAGACACAATATTTTGAGCGATCCCATGAAGCCTGAAAATGTGTATAAATATGGAAACCAGACCCTGAGAAGATGGCAATTTTTTGAGTGGAATGGAATGTGCCATTTTGGAAAAGCGGTCAACTTTATAAGGATGGTGGTATAACCATTAAAACTTGGTAGGTCAACAATGAGATCCATAGATAAATGAGACCATGGAACACTGAGTATAGGAAGTGGATGTAACAATCCACATGGGAGTGTGTGTGGACCTTAGACTGCACAAACAGAACAGGGCTCCACATAATCCTTAATATCCCTTCTGAGTGACTCCCACCAAAATGATCTGGAAAAAGCGGATACATTCTTATTAATACCCGAATGCCCAGCAGTCACATTGTCGTGGAATACTTTAAACACCTCTTTCCTGTCATGTAATGGAATAAACAATTAATCCCGAGGTTTATTGGAAGGTGCCTGGGACTGAGCCGCCATGATAGCACAAAGCAATGGTGATGACAAGAAAAGGACAGTGGATGCTGTAATAGATTCAGGAGGAACAATGGTTGACGTCTCCTGTTCTAGTTCTGACTCTTCGTCAAATTGTCTAGATAAGGCGTCAGCTTTAACATTTTTAGGACCAGGTCTGTAAGTAATATTAAAGTTACAGCGGGACAAGAATAAAGACCATCTAAATTGTCTAGAATACAGACATTTGGCATCACCATTATAGGCCAGATTCTTGTGATCGGTTATGATCAGCAAGGGGTCTTTGGAATCTTCCAAAAGATGTCGCCATTCCTTGAGCACCAATATAATGGGCAACAGTTCTCTGTTACCTATGTCATAATTACGCTCAGCTGGAGACAACTTTCTGGAGAAATAACCACAAGGATGCTTAGAGGAATCCTGATCTCTCTCTGAGAAAGGACAGCCCCGACCTCTGTTTCAGAGGCATCAACTTCAAGTATGAACGCTTTGCTGGTGTCAGGATGTATCAATATGTCTGCTGAAGCAAACAATTTCTTTAGAAGTTCAAAAGCTTCTTTGGACCAAATATTACAATTAGCCCCCTTGCGTGTCATATTGGTGATGGGGCTATTACTGAAGAGAAACCTTTTATGAATCTCCTGTAATAATTGGAGAAACCAATGAACCTTTGAATAGCCTTTAACCCGTTGGGTAATGGCCAGTGTAGAACAGCCTCTAGTTTGCGAGGATCCATTTGGAAACCAGAGGCGGAAATGTTATACTCCAAAAACTGTACTTCAAGTTCATCAAACATTCATTTTTCAAGTTTACAATAAAGACCATTTTTGAGTAAAGTTTGCAATACTTGTTTAACATGATTATGATGGGCCTGGAGGTTGGGGGAATAAACAAGGATATCATCGAAGGTATATAAGTGCAAAAGAGTAAATATAATCCCTTAGCACATCGTTAATGAAGTCCTGAAATACGGCCGGGGCATTGCATAACAAGATATTCATAGTGTCCATTTCTACTGTTAAATGCTGTCTACCACTCGTGATCATTCTTAATCCTGACCAAATTGTATGCACTCCTGAGGTCAAGTTTGGCAAAGACCATAGCACCCAGGAGTCTGTCAAACAATTCGGAGATAAGGCGAATGGGATAGGCATTTTCTATGGTGATTTTGTTTAATGCCCTATTTTAAATGCAAGGACATAATTCTCCGTCCTTTTTTGACACGAAAAAGAACCCTGCACTAGCAGGGGAGGATGATTTGCATATGTGTCCCTTACTTAAGGCATCTCTGATGTACTCCTCCATGATATTACTCTCTTGTGGGGATAAAGCATATACCGGTATAGAGTGTTTTTTAACAAAATGCATGTCAATAAAGTTACCTGCCGCACCTGAGTCTACCAGGGCTTTGCATGAAAAGGCGTTCTTGTTGCAAAGGGTGACAATGTCAAGGAGAAATCTACTTTGGTTATTACTAAAGGACGTATCTATCACACCTAAGACCTGTCCCCTTAAGGTTCTTAGGTGCGGAAGTTTTCCGGACGTATAGGACAAGTATCTCTCATATGTCCTTTTTTGCGACAATATAAGCACATACCCTCTCTTCTCCTATACTGTTTCTCTGCCTCTGACAATATTGTAACCCCTAGCTGCATAGACTCGGATTCAGATCGCATCGGGAGGTCAGGGACAACAGGCTTGGAGAATCGAGGTGCTAGTGACAAGGTCATACGTCTGGTTCTGCTTCTAGTAATTTCTCTGGTCCTAAGTCTATTATCAATCTGCATCATGAAGGTAATAAATTAGTTGAATTTTTTCGGTAGATCTTTGGCAGCAATTTCGTTAAGTATATTCTCGGATAATCCTTTGTTAGTCCAGTCTACCTCAGAAGCCAAGGTGCGAAATTCGATGGCATAATCTGAGATAGACCGGTTCCCTTGTTTGATATGCATTAAGGCAGTAGAGGCATCATCCTCCCTGCCCAATGGTTCAAACATTAATTTGAATTCCGCAAGGAATTTCTGGTAATTACAAGAAATACTCAAATTACTCTCTCATATGGGATTGGCCCAAGTTAAAGCCTTACCCTTGAATTGATTCATCAAATACCAAATCTTAGCTATATCCGTGGGAAATGAACCACGTGAGGCCTCAAAGTGGTACTCAATTTGATTGAGGAATCCCCTACATTCCAACACATTACCATCAAAATGCGGGGGAGAAGATAGAGACACACAGGGAACATGATAGTGTCCTATTCCTTGTGTGCCTCTCTCATTGTGCTTCTTTTGCTAGTGGCCGAGCCTCACTAAGGAGACCAAGCACCAGCAGGGAGAGAATAGGTCAAAAAAGTCATGGAGCTGCTTGTAAAGAGGGAGTCCACAAAGCCATGGACTGGTTGCATGCTAAGTGTAATTTCTGTTTCTGGTGTGCACATCTGTACTTACTATAAATGTATTTTGGTTTTGGCCAGTCAGACCTAGTGCATAGTGCACGGGGGTCAAGTACAGTCAACATCAACAAATAATACTGTTAGGTTTTATTTTTTTTAAAACATATTTTCAGCTTCCACAGCCGCACATGTGTAAAGGGAGTGGGCCAGGCACTACCTAGAAAAGCCAGTACCCCCTTCGTATATGAGACATATTGGTGATGATGTGCTTCATTAATCCCATAGAGGATTGCAAGGGATTCACGGTCTTTACCATATGTAACTACTACCACATCATGCTCTGGCACCAATGTGACTACATTGCTGTGAGTGTAATATTGTTACATTTAATGGGTTATAAATAGTGGCTGGTAGAGGGATGTTGATAGTGAGTGGAAAGGATGGTACATGGAACGTATGGACCAGATCCTGTTGACATTTTGATTAGCACCTGCCTTCCCCTCAACCAACCTCAAAGGTACAGAGCTATCTTTTTTATTGTGTATATATATATATATATATATATACCTGTGTACCTATCAGTTCATGTGTGCCAATCTGTGTGTATGTATGCCTGTCTGCGTATTTGTGTTTGCCTGTCTGTGTGTGTGTAAGAAACTGTGTGTGTGTCAAGAGGCGTCTTAAGTGGTAGAATTAGGGAATGGCAGGAGTTTTGGGAGGAACCAGTGGTGGGTTTTCATGAAGTGGTCAGCGAATTATTTTGGGCTCAAGCAAATGCTGCTTAGTAAATATATATTTTCCTAAAGGATGTATGGGGACTTAGGTGCTAACTTCTTTTCATCGGATCAAAGATTGGTGGTAACTTTTTTGTGTTAGCGGCAGCAAATAACTAGTACAGATAAGGTTGGAAATGAGTCGTTAAGCAGAGGTTATCAGTGCCTATAGATTTCAGTAACGGCAGCTCTGTGCCAATTCCTGTGAAATTTTGCAGTCGCTAAGCAGATGCTAATCCCTAAAAGTAGCAACAGACATTGTAAAGAGAAATGGCTGGCCAGTAAAAAGTCACAACAGCATTGGAAACAAGTCTATTTTAATATTTTTCCTTTTATGTAAACATGCCATCGGATCTCAGCAATGTTATCTCCCAGGTATTCGACAGCCTTCTGTTGTGTCCACTAAGCCTTTCTCCCTACTCAATAACCACAATATTCTTAAACAAATATAAGTACTAAAGGACATCACTTACCTTACCCCTAATGGGTACACCAATATATCTAACCCACACACCTAATTTTATTTTTATTTTTTACTACAACACCCATATCACTACTGCACATAAACTTTTTCAATATTATAATAAGAAATAAAACGATTCAAGGTCACGTTCTAATAATTACTTGTGTAACAGATCTTGGACTTTGCTAACTTCTGATTCCTCGTTGTAAAAGAGCTATAAGGAATCATTAAAAAATACTGCTGAACAAGAAAATTATTTGATTAATAGATAATGCAAGATTTGGTAATAAAACAAAAAGATTAAGAAAACCTTTGCAAGTACTAACATAAAAATGCCTAAATAAATCAGCGAATATCTTTGATAGATAAAGAAAAGGATTTTTTCCATCAATATTCTGCGTATAAATTTGTGATTGGCTACTGTTAATCATGTAATTGATAATAGAAAATATATAAAGGTCTGTCTTACCATTCTCAAATCACATTGCTTATATTCTGGAGCAAGGTAAGAATATACTCAACATACCTAATTTTTACCATTACTACAATTTTTGTAATGTTTTAGCTATTTTCACTTGTATTTAGAATCTTCTGAAATTTGTACTGTTTTTGAAATGGTATGTAACAGTCTGAACTAATTTCATAAAATGTAATGTTAAATTAATCACAAAAAATAAAACACACATACGTATATACATTATAGAGATGTGTTTTTCTACAAAATATTTAAAAGACTACTACAGATTCTAGATCTGGAAGATGCAACTTTTTGAAATTCCAGTTCTGTCTAATAGTTAACTGTTTCAAACTACATGATGGACAGCTATCCCATGGCTATATCTATTACGGAGTGAGATTCTGCTTAGAGATAATTATTTTATAGAACAAGAGAAAGATATATGAGATAACTTGTGATAAGAAGTGTATTCGCTAAATTTAGAGAAGAGAAAGCAAGGGATTTATTAATTTTTTTTTTAATTTTGAAAAACCAAGAAAAGTACAATAGATAATGGCAAAATAAATTGTGAATACCCTGTAAATGGATTACATGGCCAAGAAAAAAGAAACGCAAATATAAGTAGAAAAATATATTTATGATTTGTACAGCAGGGAGGAGATAAGGTCCACTGGGAGATAGAAGAATAGGTCTCAATATCTAATTACGTTAGGGAAGATATTATTATAACCAATACGGTGGAGGTAACCATTAATCTACTAATATATCGAGATTATGGATATCAAGTAGAATTATGTGAGAATTATTGCGATAGTCCAACCATTCTGCTTGTTTGAGTGGGGACTTCATCACCTCTAAATATCTCCTTTCTATAATTATAAAGCTCACCTGAATATTTTGACTCCATAAAAATGCTAATAACTTCTTCCTTCTGGCTAATTTCTTCTCCTCTATGATATGAATATGCAGGAGTAGGGAGGTCTGACTGGTCTGACTTTTTCCAAAAAGAAACTACAGTCTAGGCCTAATCCTTAACCTTATTAGGATAATTTTTTATTAAGGAAACCTTACATGGGGAAAGCGTCAGTAAAGTCTCAGCCAGCTGGGTAATTAAAGAGAATTGCAGATTGTAAGCTAAAATAGTCGACAACAAAAAATCCCCAACTTCGTATGGATGTTTTGGCATTAAATGTGTAATTCTATTATCATAACTTTAAAATTCTCGGTTTAGTTCATTTCCTACTAGAAAGTAGTCATAATAGAAGGCTACCAAAAGAGATCAAATAAAAAAATATGTATCAAATTCAGGTTGGGGGTGACTTGACATTAATTATGCGATTCAGCTAACAACTCACCAAGGGTCATTGGGTCACTGTTAAAGGAACACTGCAATGGAAAAATAAATCATTTTATTTTAGTTTAGTAGAAAATGTGTGTATTCATTGCTGCATTTTATCATTGGGGTAGATCTCTTATATGCAGCCTTTGCAAGCCCTCCCCTTCTAACTCCGCCCAGACTTTCTGTGGCTGTCCAATAACAGACTTCCCAATGTAGCTCAATGAGAAGTCTTCGCAAGGCAGGTGCTCTGAGCAATTGCTGTCTCTTTGGATTAGCTCCACTCAGTTAACCAAACCAGGACGTAACAGAACCAGTTGTCTGATTGGCAGCCAAGGAGGTCATTTGTAAAAGTGTCAATATCTTTTGAAAAATAAAAAAATAGGGCACAGTCTTCACACATAAAACAAGCTAAAGTGCTTTAAGCGATTGAAGTATTCCTTTAAGACAGTAAATAGACACCTATTAAATATATACAATAATTCTACAAATACTAGGCTGTGCTTGCTATTTAGTGGTTGTATATTTGTGAAGGAATCAAAGCAGTCAGTTTGCACTGTGGTAAGAATTAATTAAATTGTATTTTGGCTACTAAATAAGCAATGCTGATGAACAGCTGGACTTTGGCTTTACTATTTACACTACAAAAAATAAAAGTATAAGAGTACTAGATGGTTTCATTCCTACACTGGGATCATGATGAACTAACAGGAAACCGATGGCAAAAATGAATCCAGAATCGCTGAGCTAGAAACTTGTGTAAGATGAAGAATATTTTAAAGTTTTAAATGATCTTCACCGTTCACTGCCATTAAGTACATAACTTAGTGGAACTGTTACATTTAGCACAGTGGATAATCAAAGCAACAGTTATTAACTATAATTTGTTTTGACATTCCTTCGCAAAACTAATATTTCAAAGCAGGTTAGGATGCTTAACCACCCAACCAAGAATTACTTAGTGAATAAATCTCTTTTCCATGTGGGCAAAATAATACAGTGTAATAGGGCTTCCTTTGAACCAGGTGAGGTCAAGCACTGGCCCCTTCTCTGGGCTCTCCTTCTACCCTCCAGTTATACCATATTTCAGGATGCCTACAAAGGCAATGCAGGTAGGATATAACTTCTAGTTAACAGGGTTGGCCCAAGCAAATCGACCTTGTATTAACGGGACACTGTACTTTCACAACTTTATCTTTTGAAACTGTTATAGTGCCTGCAGTCCTTTCCCCCATTCTACCCCACAAAACCCAATATTAAAAAAAGAACAAGTTTATGTATTCCTTACACTACAGTGTTCCTTTAATAAACTGATAGGGATGTGGTCATGATTGCACTAATAAAAAGAATCTACTTGCTTGGAAAACTATCAGCAATTGCACCATCTAGTGGTTTCCAAGCAAACTACAAACCAAAGTCTAAAAACAAAATCTAAACAAAATAAGATAAGTAAAAAGCCAAAGAAAAAAGTTACTTGCGCACTATCCCAATTCCCTATGCACATTTAAATAACTGGAGTCTTTTTAGCATAGTGCACTGGCCATTAAAATGTAAGCTTGCCTCCCAGGTAAAGGGAAGACCTCTTCGGTGGGTCCTATACTAATAATTCACCTTGCTGTTTTCAGCCAAAAGGCAAAATATCTAATGAAACAGAGAGGGGTATTTTTCTAAACCTCTACACACTTCTTAACCCTGTACTTAGCACTGTAACATGGCCTTTAATTTTGTCTGTTTGTATTTACTTTTGTATTACACATCCATGTTACAGCGCTGCTTACAAGATAAATATTGCACACTAGTGTAGAATTCACAATCCAGAAATACTATGTTGCATACTACACCATCAATAGCCAATAATGTAATGTTAAAATTGCAGAAAATAAGCACAATGTCTTTCTTGAACCATCTGTATAGAATACACATGGTTTAATAAAGCGATTGTGAGCAATATTCCCATTTCCCGTCAATCTATGTTCTTTCTCCTACAGATGAAGGTCACATTGGTCTGCCTTGTCGTGTCCAGCTGGCTGCTATTATCTAATGCAGTGGCTCTGCCCCCCAATGATGAAAAGATCTCCAGTGATTCCAAGGATGCAAACCGCGATATTAAGGAAAATGTTCAAAATGCTGAAGGTATCTTTCTTCATATCAAGTTTGATGAACAACAGAAAAACAGAGTCACTGTGTTTCCAATCAAATACAGGAATGATAGATAAAAAAGAGAGAGATTGAGAAATAGACAGATCGCAGACAGACAGACTTTAGCAAAATATAGATGTTCTTTTTAAGTGATTCTAGGTCTTCTTTGGCTTTTATTGTAAGACCCTCTACCTATATTGATGATTGGAATATTTAATGTGTTTTTTCCCATTTGGGAAAATCATGTGTACCACTCCATATTAAATCACTATTATTAGATCCCAATAAAAACTCACATTGATTTGTCCATGCGCACTTTATCATCAATATGTATTAAAACATAGCAAAGTTTAAAGTGCACTTTTTATTGGTATACTGCTTATGCACAAATAAAAGAGTAAGGAATTCAAACTATGCTCTAAGCGATCAGAATATCTAACAATTGTATAGATTTTAAAATAACCAAGTCAAAGACATTTTCAAAACTGGCTATTATGGGTTAAAGGTCTCAGTTCCATGGTCGATTCCTGACTACGATCAATTTAACAAATAACCCTGTAAGATTGGTGACATCCCATGGAACACCCTTTTCACATGAAATTAATCTTCCTTTTAATAAGTGAAATTAACAAAAACATGTTTTTCATGCACAGATAACCATCACGAAGAAACAAAAGAGTCCGTTCCTGACTCCACGCACCACAACGTTGATCTGTCCATTCTCCCGAAACACAGGGAAGCAGAGATTGAAACCGTAGAAAAAGTGGCAGCTCCCTGGGACAGCCGTCAGTTCATTTATTATGGCCATATCAACCTAAAATGGGTGACTTGGTCTGGTTCCCTTCCAAATGGTGCCGTCTCCATAAAGAATGAACATATGGGGGGGCGCATAGATTATGTGTGTTCCCAGCAGAGCTGCTCTACAGGATATTATTCCCCTAGTGCAGGTTCATTTTGTTACTATCCTCGGAATGGCAAGGAATACCGCACATCCTCGTTTAAAATTTTAGTGAACGAGGATAATTTTGAATTAATACAGTGGCAATCTGGGTCTTATGGGAGTTATCCCCTAGACAACCCAATTGGTAGGTGCCCTGGGGTCTATGTTGGGAAAAACCAATATGGATTAGGAAAATTCATTCCCAGTTCTAAAGTTTTCTTTTTACCATTCAGTGGTTCAGAATACACGTATGATTACTATGAGGTTCTACACCTGTATGCAAACTACCATACACAGTACATACAAAATTTAAACTATAACACCAATCGAATCGTATATAGTAGTCAACCCATTCAGGTTTTGACCTCATCAAAGGTGATCAACAATTTCTGCCAAAAAATGAAAAAAGTAGTCTCTTTGAGTAAAACCACTGTCAATGACCAGAAGTGGGACATACAACGCCCCACAAAAGATGGGGTAACCTCAAAGCTAATCACACAGGTCCCATACCTTTCTGGAAATTCCATAACATTTATGAGCTCAGAGGACATTGAATGGAGAGAAGGTGTATCCCACTCGAAAACCCAGACACACACAAAGTCCATAGAAATCTCTGTAGATCCAAATCACGAATGTGACCTGGTTTTGCAGGGAAGAATCATGTTGGCGAACATGCCTTTTAATGCCGAGCTTAGCCGTTTTTACCAGAATGGAGAGAAGCGTTCTACCATCATTCAGGGAATGTTTTACAATGAGCAAACAGATGAAGTGGCTATTTTCAATAAAGGGTGTAGGCGAATCCCTAATAGCGCCCCATGCCCCAATCCTTAAACCCTTAAGGACACAACTTCTGGAATAAAAGGGAACCATGACGGAATATTTCCGTAATGTGCCCTTAAGGGGTTATGGTTACACTAAACTTGTTTCAAACATGATTTATTGTCGTAAAGGAAAACACCTTTTACCCTTTCCATAACATGAATGTGAAAAACGGATTTATATTTGTGATCAATAAAGGCATGCGAACTGAACTTCTTGTACTGATTACGTTTTGAGTCTTGAACATCATTACCGAGAATCTTCCATTAAAGAAGCATTGATAGAAATTACCTAACAGCCTTATTTTGATTGGTTAGAGTTGAGGGCAGTTTAGGTGTGTTGTAGATGATATCAATTTGCATGTTCCTTAAAAGATAAATAACTTTGGCTACTACATGAGGAGCTGAAGTTAAATGTAAATGTTAATTACACACTGACACCTTCTTAATTTTGATGGATGTATTATGTTAATCCAGGGTAATTATAAACCTAGGTCACTGAAATTATATTAAATTAAAGCGGATCCGTCACTATTGGGTTCTTGCATATTTAGCAAAGACCCTTGAAGGTGATATGTCAAGTAATTGTCAGGTGGCCATGGGGTGCAGTGGGAGGTAGGTTTACGTATATGAAGCTGTCCCTCACTGCCATCGCTCTCTTCTTCCTGGAGGTCTTGTTCAAAACCTGGTGCTTAAAGGGACTCTCCAGTGCCAGAAAAACATATCCGTTTTCCTGGCACTGCAGGACCCTGGAGTGCCCCTCTCCCTCCCACCCCCCATCCCATGTTGCTGAAGGGGATAAAACCCCTTCAGTGACTTACCTGAATCCAGCGCCAATATCCCTCGGCGCTGGGTCAGGCTCTGCCCACGCTCCTATGGGGAGGTCTAATGCACGCGCGCTGCGGCAGGGGAGACCTAATGCTTTCCTATGGAATTCAGAAGACGCTGGAGGTCCTCATGCAAAGTGTGAGGACGTCCAGCATCGTTTAAAACACTTTTGTGTTCTAAGAACACGGAAGCCCCTCTAGTGGCTGTCTAAAAGACAACAACTAGAGGAGGATTTAATCCTGCAAGGTAATTATTGCAGTTTATAAAAACTGCAATAATTACACTTGCAGTATTAAGGGTGGTGGGAGTTGGCACCCAGATCACTCCTATGGGCAGAAGTGGTCTGGGTGCCTGGAGTGTCCCTTTAAGTTGCCAGGAACTGCGTCAGTGGTGTATTCTTGCGCATGCATGAGAGTACTACATTGAGATCTATGGAGGATCCCACGAGACTGAGAGATTGTCCATAGATGATGTCTTCCAATGAACAAGACCTTGTCTATATCCCACAGCCATCCAATGCAGGCAGAATCAGTATTTCATAGAGATTATATCTTTATGAAATTATGAGAAGTGACGTTGCCGCTTTAAAAAAGTTGTTTAACTCAAGGTGATATTTGATTTCCATTGTTCTATCGAACATTAATCAGGAAAGAAGACAGCCTCTTTTAATACATACTGAGAATTCCGGTAAGGTTTCACCGTATTCTATTCTATGTGGGTTATATTGGAAAAGTGGGCACTCCTGGTTTTATTTGTGGACCTGCCCCCATGGTCTAATCCTAACCAACAGCAGCAATGTAATAAATCAGCAAATTTAAATGTGGTGAAAAGAAAAAGGTGCATCCATACCGCTGGTAAACATTATTCAAGCACCGGCACTGCTGGTTCCAAAAACATCTGGAGCTTCAGCCCAAGAGAAAACTTGATGACCCCCTACACTAAGGAGAGATGGAGCTCCTTTAAAAAAATCTTTGAAAACACACTTCTTCAGGAAAGCATATCATTGAAACTGTTAGCAGGTTTTCATCCCCTCCTCACCATGACTCCTCTCCTGCACCTGTCCAACATAACCTACTAAGTTCCCAGTGAATACTTTTCTAGCAACCTGTTTCATTACCCCTACTTATACCCTTTCTGTCACTGTACCCCACTCCCTCTAGCATGTAAGCTCATTGAGCAGGGCCCTCAACCGCTCTGTTCCTGTGCGTCCAACTTTGTCTGGTTACAATAACATGTCTGTTAGTCCACCCATTGTACAGCACTATGGAATCTGATGGCGCTATATAAATAATAAAATAATAATAATAACTCTTATTGCACATATCCACCATCTTTTCACGTGCTCAGTCACTCTACAGCTGAGACATGTTATGGTGCTGGGAGTGTTTCTATAAAAATAATGTTTCTTTCGGTGGCTTGATGGTAAAAGGTTGCCGTTAAATTGATAGCGATTTATGTTTTGCTGCGTCACTTGTAAACCCCAGAATCTGGAGAATAAAGGCAAATGATGCTACAATTAGATATTAGACATTCCAAACAGAAGAGAAGGACATTTCAATATGAAAATGGGAGAGACAAGTTCCGTTTCCATTATATCAGTGAGATTAAAAAGTGCCTAATTGTTTTCTTATATTTCCACCTCTTCTCTTTTATACTGCACGCATGTCGTTTATCTTTTACAATTTACACCTTGTCTCTGTCTGCTTCTCTCTCTCTCCCTGACACTCCACCCTCTCTCCTCGTCTACTTCTCATCCGCACTCTACAAAGTGAGCGGCTTGCCCCTTCTTGTTTTGCAATTGTACCGAACCCCAAAGACTTCTCAAACCATAAGCACCATAATAAACTGTTGTGGTTATGGTGCTTAGAACATCACATTAATAAAACTGTACATTCGATCAGCAAGAAGGTGGCGCTGTAACACAGCATCTCATGCCATCCCCATTAAAAAAACAATCCAATACAATACAAAAAGAGTGCAAAAAATGTATGCATTTTGTTCCTCTTTAGAACGCATCGTTGCAGTGTTTCAACATTTTATGGTTTTACAGTACCAGAATCTGGCTTTCCTATAAAGTGTGTTACATTATTCACTAAACTCTGAATTGTAGTGAATTAATTTCCAACTGAACAATATGGACTGTAAGCTCGTTTGAGCAGGGTCCTCTTCAACCTATCGTTCCTGTAAGTTTTCTTGTAATTGTTCTATTTATAGTTAAATCCCCCCCCTCTCATATTATTGTAAAGCGCTACGGAATCTGTTGGTGCTATGTAAATGGCGATAATAATAATAATAATAACAACAATGTAGGATAAACGAGGCAGTCTGTTACTATAGCTAACTTGGAGACTATTTACAAATCTGTTGTTGTTTTTTGCCTAAATTTTGGAAATCGTTTTTTAATTCATTATATTTCAGCTTGAGTGAATAAACTCTGCATTTCATGGACTTGTGACTACATTTCATTATGTATTGTTTTGCAATTCTAGATAAATTTTAGACCTTGTGTTTGATCAAATATTAGAATAAGTATTAAACTTTACAAAAGTACAATATTATTTTATATGTTTTATATTTAAAGCCTATAGACGTGCATACAACTATGTGTGTAAGTATCATTCCAGTTTATTTTCACTCGTTCATTCTGTAGTATGTGTATTTTATTGTAGACATCCACAAGCCTATTTATTATTATTATTATATTTATATAGCGCCAACAAGTTCCGTAGCGCTGTACAATGGGTGGACTAACAGACACGTATTTGTAACCAGACAAGTTGGACACACAGGAACAGTGGGGTTGAGGGCCCTGCTCAATGAGCTTACATGCTAGAGGGAGTGGGATAAAGTGACACAAAAGGTAAGGGAAGTATCAGGGAAGTAGATTGGTAGAATAGTTTTCAATGAAGACTTAGTGTGGGGTTTTTTGGAGCCATTAACAGTTTAATTGATATGCTTAATGTAATCCCTTTAAAATGGTTATTAGTGAATTAACAGCTCACAGACTGGCCACTGGTGTCACATAAGGACTCCACGTTTTGGCATTTACTATTATTTGCTAAACAAAGTTTGATTTGATATAGGGGTCATATTCAGTAAACTTTATCCAGAAATTTATACAGAAAAATTGGGTCAAATTAATTGGGTTGGGAACAATTTACAACATGGGTGCTCGAAAGGTAGATACTCAAATGTTATAGAACTGCAACCCCCATAATGATTTGAATGCCTTTAGAATGGCAAAGCATCATGGAAGTTGTAGTTTTAAAACATCTGGGGATCTTGCCTTGGGGCATTCTAAGCACCAAGACAACATTATCTTAACGATGTGGTTTTGGTGTATAAATCATTGTCCTGCAGTCTGACTGATCAATTTTCTGCCATTTAGTAGTTAAATCGCTTTGTTTATGAGGCCTTAGTTACACCTCCCTGCATGTGACTTACACAGCCTTCCTAGTATTTCCAGTAAAGAGTCATCTAATGTTTACACTTTCTTTATTTCACAGTCTGTCTCATTTAGAATAATGTATATGCTGTTCTGTAAATAGCCTGCTAGAGCCTGCAACAGCTCAATGTGTGTAATTAAAGAGCCACTCCACACCCCAAAAGCACATCATCTTGCTTCAGGGTGTAAAGAGATTAATTTATAACAAGTTCTAATTTCTACTGAAAACTGTACATGTTGTAATAAATAAATAAATAAAATGAAGATAATATTTGCAGTGTCTGTACACTGTGATTGGCTTAGACCAGTTTGGTGATAGCGATAACTTCCTGTGAGTCCATTGGGCAGTTTGTAAAGGGAGCTAATCTGCATGTTATCTATGTCAATGTCCTAATGTAAACTGCGATAAATTGATAAAGATACAGAATCTGTGTATGTTTCAAAGTCTTGCATTCATAAGCCCATTTCTTCAGCTTCCTTGTTTTTGGTTTCGTTGCGGTTCTAAATATATATATTTTTGACTGACTGTGTAACGTCAGTTATTTTGCAGAGGAACAAATGAGTTCAGTCTGTATAAACGTGGGATATCTGGATTGAGTTGTGAATCTGACCATTTTACATGAAGAGTTGTGGTGTGGTGATAATAATGTATCATATATTAACCCTTTCCCTCCTATGTCTCGCTATACAAAGGCCTAAATTCATTTTGTGTTGCAAAGCAGGGCAAAAAATATATATTT